CTCTTACACCGTCCACTATGCATTTGAAATAATAAATTTGTATTTAAAAACGTAAGCTTCATAGGTACGCTATGACGAACTCGTTACTCTTCCCATTCTGAATCTTATAAATCATTTTGCTTACCACTATTATCATCTCACTACATCCCTACAAGTCAAACTCATTTTCTATTTATTCTTTGTCATAAGATCATCAAAAAATGAATGGAAATTGCCTCTTTTGAACGGAAATTTTACTGGACAAAGTGGGCTACTTTAAATGCAAATTATACAGGGCAAAGAAGGCGACTTTAAATGCAAATTATACAGGGCAAAGAAGGCGACTTTAAATGCAAAGTTTACGGGGCTAAGTAGACAACCTTAAATGCAAATTCTACTGGGCTAAGTAGACAACCTTAAATGCAAATTCTACTGGGCTAAGTAGACAACCTTAAATGCAAATTTTACCGGATGAAGTAGACAACCTTAAATGCAAATTTTACTGGTCAAAGTAGACAACTTTAAATGCAAATTTTACTGAGTAAAGTCATGTAAGAGTCACAAGAACCGCTTGCTCCCGCTTGATGAGTAAATTCGATCTTATGGTCCTTGAAAATTTGGGGTTTAAATCTCGCTAGAACTAAGACTCTTTCAAGGGCATTTTTTTGTTGCAAGCCCATGAAACCAGGTCCTTTCCTGGCTGCTGGCCTTGCCTTTATGACAGACTTTATTTGACTCACAAAAAAGTCCTGGACTTGGAAAAACAAAAGTTCTGAAAAACCAGAACTTAAGTAAAAGCCTGACTTCTAGCTGGGCTTTAGTCTGACCTGAGCTTGGCTTAAAGGCTTTAACTAAAACAACTTGAACCTAATCCTTTGAATTGAACCTAATCCTTTGAATCTGTTCTAAACAAACTAAACATTTTCCAACACCCCTTCAATCCCTCACTTTACTTCTCATTACTATTCTTTTTCTCAAAGTTTTTTTTAAAGTCTAAACACCTACACAAGTAAAAGATGAGATCGTTGAGATGTGCGCTTTGGATGAAATTGAAGTCTCCGCACACCCAGCTGGGTCCGGGTAATTTCCGGGCTTTTCGCTCCAACGAAGGCGCGAAATGAGACAATGAAAAGGGCCGAGACTCATCGTTTTCCTTTCGCTCATCACCGCGGAAAAATTTTCTCCTTTTTTTTGCTAGTTTTCGATGAAAACCCTGGAGACTACTGTAGCGAAAATACGACTATTTTTGGTGTTATCAACAACATTCCCTTTCTCAGTCTTTTTTGAAGCTAAAGATCTTGTTTTGGTCATTTCGAAATGTATGAACAAAAGTGTTTCTTTTCTGACACACTCTTCTTAGGCAGATGATTCATTTTCGAAGAAAGTTTCCTTTCTTGTCGCTGATCTTTCCTATATAAACTATTGAAACAATTGTTGATTGGGAAAATCTTCAATTAAAATTGATTATTTCTTTATTTTTTTTCATATTAATATTTAAAAATTCGACTTTTGCGTAGTTTCCGGGTATTTTGAACGGGTCGTCACCATTTGAAGGCTTATAACTTTGTCCAGGGATAATATTTTGATTAACTTTTATATCATTGTATAGAGAACATTCAAGGCTTTCAAATGATACCAAAAAGAGCTTAATTGGATTTTTCATTCCCATGCAAACCAGGCGACATGACACCCAAGTTGGATAGGCCTCATTTGCTCAGAGTTGGCTCTGATTTTCTTGGACTGGATTATCGAACCAAGCTCTATTTAGTATCATTTGAAAGCCTGGAATGTTCTCTATACAATGATATAAAAAGTTAATCAAAATATTATTCCTGGACAAAGTTATAAGCCTTCAAATGGTGACGACCCGTTCAAGACCCGGATTTTTCCAAAATACCCGGATTCTTTCAAAATACGCGAAAACTACACAAAAGCCTAAATATTCTAATCTTATTTTGTTCTGAATCTTTTTCATAGCAGCAAATTCTCTGTAGATTGTTTTTAAATCAAAACGGGAATAGGATTTTATGGATTGCTGTCGATTTTTGTATTGGTCAACTAATGTTTTGTGTTTCACGAATACTAAAATAATTTTAAAAACTAGATGATAGTTTCTCAAGTTTCCCAAGCAAATATAGAACCCTTTTTTCAGAAAATTCTATTCGAATTTGATCTAGATCTTGATCTAATCTATTCAAACTTGATCATAAAAAACTTTTCGTTTTTTATGATCGTTCAAAATACTCATAAATTAACCAAATCATTTTACATTTTACTTTATTATGTTGCCAACAAGTAAAAGTTAAGGAAAAGTAAGTTAAGGAAAAGTAAGTTAAGTAAAAGGAAGTTAAGTAAAAGGAGGCTAAGTAAAAGGAAGTTAAGTAAAAGTAAGTTAAGTAAAAGTAAGTTAAGTAAAAGGAAGTTGAGTAAAAGTAAGTTAAGTAAAAGGAAGTTGGGTAAAAGGAAGTTAAGTAAAAGTAAGTTGAGTAAAAGGAAGTTAAGTAAAAGTAAGTTAAGTAAAAGGAAGTTAAGTAAAAGGAAGTTAAGTAAAAGGAAGTTAAGTAAAAGTAAGTTAAGTAAAAGCTTTACTTATAAAGAACACTTTATTCTAATAGTATGCTTTACTTTATGCCAGTTTTATTCCAGTTTTATGCCAGTTTACTTTATGTTTCAAAAGAAAATGCATTGCCTGATGCCTGAAAATGCAGAAAATGCCATAAGTGTGGGTGTTTTGTTCTGTTTCGGTTGAAATGAATCATTTGAGGAGGAGGAGAAAGATGAAAAAGAAAGAAAGATGAAAAAGAAAGAAAGAAAGATGAAGAGAAAATCACTGATACGGGAGAGTCTGAAGAGATCTTCTAGTTAACACCTTGCATTGATTTTCATTGATTTTCTTTCCTTTTTCTTTCCTTCTTTTCTTTCCTTCTTTTCTTTCCTATCAATCCATTTTTTTTCTCAGTTTCAGAGCTAGCAAAGTACTCTATTTTCTCTCATTCTTCTTCTAATTTTTTGATCTAGAAAATCAGATAATGCTTCTGTTTTGTTCTAGAAACATTCTTTAACGATATTTTACTTAAAATCTTCAGAAAATTTTAACCAACTCTGATCTAGAACGTAAACTTTTTGAAACTAAAAGATATCGAATCAAGAATGACAAAGAGAATCAACTCCTGTGATCAACTCCTGTGATCATCTTCTTTGATCAACTCCTGTGATCAACTTCTTTGAACAACTTCTTTGATCAACTTCTTTGATCAACTCCTGTGATCATCTTCTTTGATCATTTCCTGTGATCAACTTCTTTGATCATTTCCTGTGATCAACTTCTTTGATCATCTTCTTTGATCATCTTCTTTGATCATCTTCTTTGATCAACTTCTTTGATCATCTTCTTTGATCATCTTTGATCATCTTCTTTGCCTATCTTTTTCATTTTGAATCACGAATCTTCGAAAAATTTGTTTTTTGTTGTTTTTCTTTCAATCTGTTGAACTTTTTCAAACGAAAATTGCTTTTTTCTCCAAAATTGCTGTCTAACTTGAATAAGTCAGAAGAATCTCTGCTGTTTTATAAAAAATGTAGCTCTGGATTTCAGATTTCAGAGGTTCAGGGACAATCCCAAAGACCTCTGGCCAACTGATATTGGTATAGAAATGTAGCCCTGAAAAAGATCGGTCTAAAATCTACCAATGTCAGCTGGCCAGAGGTCTTTGAACCTCTGAAATCTATACCAAAATCTACCCCCCGATACTAGTCTATCCGTTTTCGAAAAAAACTTCAGTTGTAGCTGACAAGGGGACGCCAAAAAATGGCCTAGCAGATTGTCTAGCAGCTCGGAAACTCTGGCCAACATACAAAAAATCTACACCCGCCGCCCGATACTATAGTTGATCCTTGAAAACATTTAAAAGCAAACCTTTGCATATTGATTTATCAATAATAGAATTGCTTTGGTTAGATTATAACATAATTTAGCATTTTAGCATTTATAGTTCCCTTATCGTTCCCTTATAGTTCCCTTATAGTTCCCTTATAGTTCCTTTAGAGTTCCTTTATAGTTCCTTTATAGTTCCTTTATAGTTCTTTTATAGTTCCTTTATAGTTCCTTTATAGTTCCTTTATAATTCCTTTATAGTTCCTTTATAGTTCCTATTTAGTTCTTTTATAGCTCCTTTACAGTTCCTTTATAGTTCCCTTATAGTTCCTAAAGTTTTATGTTTTATAGAAAAACTTGGGCACAGAATTCTTGAACCCAAAAATTTCTCAATCTCAAATGATGCGTAAATAGAAAAAAAAACCGAAGCAAAAAAAGATTCACACGCTTTTCTTTTTAAACTCACTTACTAAAGGCTTTACGGAAATCATTTATCAGCTCATTTATTAGATCATTTATCAGCTCCAGCTTATTTATCAGCTCCAGCTCATTGATCAGCTCCAGCTCATTGATCAGCTCCAGCTCATTGATCAGCTCCAGCTCATTTATCAGCTCCAGCTCATTGATCAGCTCCAGCTCATTGATCAGCTCCAGCTCATTTATCAGCTAGTTTTTAGACAGATCAGATTTCAAAATTTCCCCAGAAATCAAAGAATCACGAAATTTTCTCGACTATTTTTCGTCTTAATTTCTTGCACAAATTTGATTGACACCGAATCATCTCGAAAATTTCCTTTTCTTTTCCTTTTTATCTTTTTTGTTTCATTTTATTTTCATTTATTTTCATTCACAATGTCTAATCAAATTTCATGTTTTTTTCTTTCAAAAAAGATGAAACAGAAAAAAATTCTTGTGCCACATTGAGAAATGCATCTGGGTCTCGGCCTTGTGTAATTGCCTCCAATATGGCAATTTTCTGGAGAGAATTTCGGAAAACTCTTTGAAATCTTCTGTTTATTTTTATAATTGTTCAAAATTTACAAAAAATAAAATAAAATTACATTTCAGATGTCAACTTCGCATCTAGCCATCTGAATTGATTCGATTTTGATTTTGATTCGATTCTCAAAATTCTCATCTCGTCAAAATGAGCGCCGAGAACGAGATGGAAAAGGTCAAAGTGGCTGTGAGAGTGAGGCCGTTTAATAAAAGAGGTGAAAAGTTTGAAAGAATTCATTTTTAATTGTTTTGAGTTTTGAGTAGGCAATGGTCACATAAACTAGACATTTTTGGGCTTCTAATGAGCTATCACGAGTTGCTAGCAAAAGCACCAAGTTATTTGCGCCGCGTATCATTTGCGCCAAGTATCATTTGCGCCACATATCATTTGCGCCAAGTATCATTTGCGCCATGTATTATTTCCGCCACGTATCATTTATGCCACGTATCATTTGCGCCAAGTATCATTTGCGCCAAATTATTCGCGCCAAGTATCATTTGCGCCAAGTATCATTTGGGCCAAGTATCATTTGCGCCAAGTATCATTTGCGTCACGTACCATTTGCGCTCAGTTGTAGCTGACAAGGGGACGCCAAAAAATGGCCTCTGGTCTCTCTGGCCATTATACAAAAAATCTACACCCGCCACCCGATACTATAGTTGATCCTTGAAAACATTTAAAAGCAAACCTTTGCATATTGATTTATCAATAATAGAATTGCTTTGGTTAGATTATAACATAATTTAGCATTTATAGAAAGTATTTCCGCCAAGTATCATTTGCGCCAAGTACCCAGTCGAGTTTCTAGTCGAGTAAACAGATTTCACGAATTTGATCAAGAATTCGTTCTTTCGATCTTCTTTTTTTTACTTTATGTGTTCTTCATGATTAAAACGTTCTCTAGAAGTTGGGCAATTTGGAAAAACTATCGTAATCTTGTAGATTAGATTTTATACGTTTTAATTGATTTTGTTTTCTTATCCAATGAGATTATAATCAAGTAGAAAAGATGAAAGTAGAAGTAGAAGGGAATCGAGTAAAAGAAATAAAGGCTAAACAAATTTGCGGTAGTTTTAGTAGTAAGTTTAGTCGTTTTAGTAGTTTTAGTCGTTTTAGTAGTTGCGATAGTAAAAATTAGTAAACGTTTTAACGTTTGAAATGCGTTTTCGTAAACGGAATTGACGAAGAACACAGTCATTTGACCCCAATCATCTTTAAATGAAAAATTTCAGAGATCGATCTCAAGACGAAAAATGTGGTGGCGATGTGCAAGGATCAGGTCAATCTCGAGCATCCGACTGATGAGTGAGTGCAGATTTCGGCAAGAAAATGCTCTGCTATAAGCTGGTTTTAAAAAAATGAAACAAATGATTTACTATGGGCAAACTGGTGTCAAAATAATTAGGAAATTTCCAAAATGATTTCCAAAATGAAACAAACGATTTCCGAAATCCTAATCCTTTATAACTTTCAGTAAACAACCAAAGAATTTCGCCTTCGATCACGCTTTTTACTCGACCGAGTACGATCATCCGGACTATGCAAGTAAGTGATACGATTTTCTGATTCAGAGGGGAAAAAGAATCTTAGAGCTTAACAAACATAAACTTTAGTTTAACAAACATAAACCTTAGCTTAACAGACATAAACCTTAGCTTAACAAACATAAACTTTAGAAACATAAACATAAACAACTTAATAAATATCGGCATGTAAAGTTTAACTGAATTTCAGGTCAAGAGGAAGTCTTTGAGTGTGTGGGAAGAGGAGTGCTCGAGAACGCTTTCCAAGGCTACAATGCTTGCATTTTTGCGTATGGACAAACTGGTGGGTTTTGCGTAATGAAAATATGCTGAATTTAAAGATTATACCAATTATCGTATCATCTTTCATTTGATTTCTAGGTTCCGGTAAATCTTATTCAATGATGGGCACCGCTGATCAACCGGGAATCATTCCGCGACTCTGTGATGCCGTTTTCGCTCGCATTGAACAAACCTCGAATGACACTTTGAATTATAAGGTTTACATCTTCTTTTGAATCTCTTGAATCTTTTGAATTGTTTAAATGGATCATCTGAAAACCAGCCGAAAAACCCGGGTTTTTCAAGCTGTTTTGCGGTCGACTGGCCACCATGGCGTAGTCGGGAGCGCATAAGTCTACGGCCTCCGGGTTCGATCCCCCGTAGTGCCACTCAATTTAACTTTTTCAATTTTTTATTTAAAATACGACAACTATATTAGATTTTCAGACTTTTTGAAGAATTTCAGTTTTTTTTTTGCTTAAAGACGGCTGAGAAAAAGCCCATACAGGTGGAAAGGCAGAAATTGCTCTTTTATATATAGTAAAGTAGCTAAATAGATGTAAAAAAGAACTGAGTCAAAGCGCTGGTGCGACAAAAGCGACCAAATTTTATGAATACTCTAAATTTTAGTATATTTTTAGTATAGTAGATGCATTTTATGCAAAGTCTCTCAAAAATTCTGACACTTTTTCTATAAACAGTCATTTGTTAACTTGAAAAACATGTGAATTTCAAAAAAAAACGCCGGATTCGAAAAATTCAAATATTTTTACCCAAATATGCCATTTTCATGAAAAGATTTCAATTCTAAACAACTCTTTGACTAGGATTTGAAGATTTGAAAAAGTTGACTTAAACTTTTCAGAATCGAATTTTTTTGAAAAACTGTTGTTACCATTTGATAGACCAAAGTTTTTTCTTAAAAACAAGCCACAAACGAACTTTATATCTTAGAAACGAAAAATTTTCAAGCGATTCTACGAAGGGTACCCAAAATCTTAAAAGCTCTGACCACCTTTAACACGTTCGGGACGGTTCGGTCCACCGGTGGATGAAGGCCGTCTGGTTCCTGGGACGGTTCGGTCCCCCGGTGGACGAAGGCCGTCTGGCCCCTGGGATGGTTCGGTCCACCGGTGGATGAAGGCCGTCTGGTTCCTGGGGCGGCTCGGTCCACCGGTGGATGAAGGCCGTCTGGTTCCTGGGACGGTTCGGTCCCCCGGTGGACGAAGGCCGTCTGGCCCCTGGGATGGTTCGGTCCACCGGTGGACGAAGGCCGTCTGGCCCCTGGGGCGGCTCGGTCCACCGGTGGATGAAGGCCGTCTGGTTCCTGGGCGGGTTCGGTCCACCGGACGAAACCCCTTCCGTCCCAGAGACAGACGCTCTACCGACTGCGCTATAGTAGACCTCTATTCCGCGTATCCCAATGTTGGCCGCTATAGTAGACCTTTTTGGGATAAAGTCTTATCAAAAAATGATGTTGATATGAAATGTTCATCTAGCTGAGCTCCATCTAATAAAACAAAAATCGTGGAAAACAGATCATCGGAGAAAGAGAAATGCGGCGTTTTGTCTCACGAGCCAAAAAGAGCCGATATCTTTTTGAGGCAGCAATATTTTCAAAAACTGATTAGAGATTTGATTAGAAATTTGACATATAGGAGGTGTATTTCGGGGCTAATAGCTTTGCGAGACACCCCTTGTCCACTGGGGCAGTAGCGCAAAAAACGCCTCGTCGCGAATGTGTTAACACATCCTCATCAAAGAGTTGTTTAGAGTTGCAACTTTTATGCAAAAAAAGTATAGTTAAAGTAAAAATATCTGAATTTTTATAATCCGGCGTTAGTTTTTCAAAAATGGCACCTTTTCCGAGTCAAACTGTCCGTTTACAAAAAGTAAAAGAACTTTTGAGACACCCTCTATAGAAGATTTTTGGTTGGTTTTATTGTATGTAAAAATTATGCAAAACCAATTCCAGGTCGAAGTCTCTTACATGGAGATTTACAATGAGAAAGTTCGAGATTTACTCGATCCAAAGAGCGCCAAGAAGGGTCATCTGAAAGTGAGAGAGCACAAAATCTTGGGTCCAATGGTTGACGGGCTCTCGGTGTTGGCCGTTTCGAGTTACGAAGTGAGAACCCTAATCTTTTAGTGAAAAACTATTTTCAGACAATTGAAATCGAATTGAAATGAAAACAAATCGCTTCTCTTTCAGCAAATCGCTTCTCTAATCGAGGAGGGAAACAAATCGAGAACGGTTGCCGCGACAAATATGAACGCCGAATCGAGTCGATCACATGCCGTTTTCAACATTCGTCTCACTCAAGTGCTAATCGATGCTGAGAATGGGGTGAGTTCGTTGTTTTCTCTTCCACTTTGTCAATGTAAAAGTTTAGTAATGATTTTGCCCAACTTCAATCCACAATTTAGACCCTTTTCTGTGAAAGATTTAAAAAAAACTCAAAACTATTAGAATCTACAAAGTCTAAGCTATCTAATAATGCCTTAAAGTCAAGATTGAACAAGTTTAAGGTAACCAAATCAGTGACACAGAGTTGGCAAAATCATTACCCCTTACTAAAGGAGTATTAAACGTACCAAAAGTACCAAAAGTACCAAAAGTGCTAAAAGAAGTACCAAAATTGCTAAAAGAAGTACCAAAAGAAGTACTAAAGTTATCAAAGAAGTACTAAAACTACCAAAAGAAGTACCAAAAGTTTACTACTGATTTCATCTTATCAGTAACTTAACTAAATATAATTTTAAGTAAAATGACGTTGTAACAAACAAAAATTGAGACAAAAATTGAAACAAAAATTCCCAGGAACTCAAGAGCTTTTTTAGTTCTCCGGCGAAAAGGTGGCCAAAATCTCGTTAGTCGATTTGGCGGGAAGTGAACGAGCTGGAAAGACGGGAGCTGTTGGGAAAAGGCTTGAAGAAGGAGGAAACATTAACAAGTGGGCAAGAGTTTGGATTTAGGGAAATTAGTGAACGACTAGAGATTTTGGGAGCCGAACTACATGATTGTGGAACATTTGATACGCACTCCCCTCCTTTTGCCATTGGCAATCTAACTTTGAACTCAAATATCTTTGTGTATGGCTGTCCAATTTCGATATTCTTGGTATCGTTGGATGCGCTAAGTCTTTCTCTGTCGATTGGTACAAAAACTATTTAAATTGAACAGCGCAACATCAAGATATTTGAGCTCAAAGTTGGCTTGTCAATGGCAAAAGGGGCGGGGCGCGTATAGAAGGTCCCACAATGGTCCCGCCCCTTTGCCATTGACAAGCCAACTTTGAGCTCAAATATCTTGATGTTGCGCTGTTCAATTTAAATAGTTTTTGTACTGATCGATAGAGAAAGACTTGACGCATCTAATGATACCAAGAATATAGAAATTCGACAACCCAACACAAAGATATTTGAGCTCAAAGTTGAATTGCTAATGACAAAAAGGGCGGGGTGCCTATCAAATGTCCGATAACCGTACTACATTGCTTGAAGTACTACAAAGTACACTGATAACTGAGAAAAAGTAAAACATTTAGAAAAACAGTAGCAAATTCGGTGAATAGCTTAAACTATGATAGGTAATTAAAATTTAGATCTTTGACAACCCTCGGAATGGTGATTTCTTCATTGGCGGATCGATCGAGCAAAGACAAAAAGGACAAATTCATTCCGTATCGAGACTCGGTGTTGACTTGGTGAAAGAGAAAAGAAAACTGTAAATGATTTCGAGTTTAGGCTTTTGAAAGACAATCTTGGGGGAAACTCGAGAACGGTGATGATTGCCACGATTTCCCCAGCTGCCGATAATTACGAGGAAACGCTGAGCACACTCCGATATGCGGATCGAGCAAAGAAAATCGTCAATCATGCTGTCATCAACGAGGTTTGCCTTCTGATATCCTTAAACCAGCCAAAAAACTCGCCTAACAGCGGGTTTTTCCGGCTGAGCGCTCCGTCGCCGTGGTGCAGTCGGGAGCGCGCTGGTCTACGGGTCACACGGCCGGGTGTGGGCCGGGTTCGATCCCCCATAGTGCCGCTCAACTTTGGCATTTTTAAATTTTTATTTTAAATGGCACAACTACATTGTATTCTAAGGTTTTCTAAAGAAGTTTTAGCTTTATTTGTTAGAATACGGCCGAGAAAATGCCCGTACAGACAGACACTGCTCTTTTATCTAGTAGCTTCCTAAAGTCATCTAACTAACCTATATTCTATCTAGAAAATCAATTTTCAAGTTATTGTCTTCATCTATTTTAGTCCATGATAGTAATTTCTCACTTTTTTCGCAGCAAATTCTCAATTCTTGGTCAGAAAAAGGTCACGGCTATAACTCAATATCTAGATATGTTTTGAAACAAGTAGAATAGCTAGGCAATCGTTTTCTTATTCAAATCTTATTCGTTCAGGATCCAAATGCAAAAATCATTCGCGAGCTTCGTGAAGAGGTCGAACAACTCCGTTTGCAAATCAGTCAAACAAAGAAAGAACACTCGGAAACGCAAGAGCTTCGAGATCGATTGACTGAATCGGAAAGAATCGTCGAACAGATGAACAAATCCTGGGAAGACAGGCTAAAAGAAACCGACAGTGTTTACAAAGTATGCCTATGAATCTATCATTTCTAATTTTTTTTCTAGGAACGACAACGAGATCTGGCCAACATTGGGATCTCCGTGGAAAGCTCTGGAATCAAAGTGATGAAGGACAAGTTCTACCTAGTCAATCTCAACGCCGATCCTTCTTTGAATGAGCTACTCGTCTATTATCTCAATGTAAAAGGGATATTGTAAATTTAAAATGAGATTTTTAGATGGTGGCAATCATTGGAAGCTCTGAGGTGGAGTCGGAATCAGATCGGCCGGACATTGTGCTACAAGGACTTGGAATTCAGCCGCACCATGCTCTATTGGAGATTGTTGAAGAGTTTGGAAGACACCGACTCTACATCACTCCACTTTCGAAAGAGGCTAGGTCAGTGGGATTTGACATTTGATCTGACATTTGATAGCGCCGCCCCTTCGCCATTGGCAATCTAACTTTGAACTCAAATTTCTTGGTGTTGGGCTGTTTAATTTAAAGATTTTTGGTACCATTAGATGCGCCAAGTCTTTCTCTGTTGATTGGTACAAAAGCTATTTAAATTAAACCACCTAATACGAAGATATTTGAGCTCAAAGTTAGATTGACAATGGCAAGGGGAGCGGCGCGCATATCAAAGGTTCCACAATCTTTAAATTTGTTTGACTCAAACAAATACAGAAAATCGTCATGAAAGTGTTTCTGTTTTAGAATTTGTGTAAATGGAAAAGAAATCGAGGACAAGACCCTATTACGGCACGGATTTCGTCTCCTCATCGGTATCAATCATTACTTCAAAGTGAATTGTCCCCGCGAGGGAGACATGGCTCAATCGATCATGGATGAGAGTGCCGTCTTTGATTATGATGATGCTTGGCATGAGGTGAGTTGAGAACAAGCATTCTGCTCTTTATCAAACAGCCAGAGCTTCTGCTCTTTATCAAACAAAAGTTTGATAAAGAGCGAAAGCTCTGGCTATATAGCCAATAGGTTGTACCTTTTCCTAATAATTCAATTTCCTAGGCTAACTCCGGCTCATCTGCCAACGTCGATCAATACGTGGAGCAACTGGCCAGGAAACACGAAGAAGAAAAGCAAGCCGCTTTAGAACAACAATACGAGGCATTCGAGCGATACATTCAAAATCTAACTGCTGGAGGGTGAGTGAAAACAAGTCGGATTTTAAACGTCAAACTTCAGCATGACTCCTTGCACTCCAATGACACCTGGCTTTGGTCTAATGACTCCCTTGGGAACCCCAGGATCAGCGCTGCCCCCTTTCGGCTTTCCGACGAATCCCCGGCAAAGCGTTAGAAACAAATTTTTCTATTGGGCTCAGAAGAGGTTTGTTTTCAAGAATATATTAATAAGTTTTTGTTTAGAGAAGAAATGTTTGCCGAGGCATTGACGAAACTGAAGAAAGAGATCGTTCGAGCAAATGCCTTGGTGAGAGAGGCGAATATGATCAGTCGAGAGCTGGCAAATAGTCGGAGACAGACAACGTATGATGTGACTCTGCAAATTCCGGCTAGCAATCTACGACCAAGTAAAATCAAGGTAAGTGAGTTCAAGACTTTTGTATAGCAATTCTAGATTTGTAACAAGTAGACTTATGACAAAAACATCTGTTGGTCCTTTTTGCTTTGATAATTTAAGGTTTTTCGTGTTTTTCTTAGTACCAACCCTTCGATGTTGACTATTTTGATTATCATTCGATGCTGAATCAAGTTGTGCGTCAAATGATACCAAAGTTAACTCAAAATATAATCTCCACGCAAAGTTGTTGGCTAAAAATCAAAACCCCGCCCATTATGGGCGAAACTTAACCTTTTGCCTCATAACTTTGCGTGGATATTATATTTTGAGGTGATTTTTGTTTCATTCGACGCACAATTTGATTCAGCATCGAATGATAATCAAAATAGTCAAAATAGAAGGGTTGGTACTAAGAAAAACACGAAAAACCTTAAATTGCCAAAGCAAAAAGAACCGACAGATGTTTTCATTACAAGTTTAGTAACAAGAACGATATCTGAAGTTTAGTAATAACTTCAGATATCGTTCTACTCAAATTTCTTAATTTTAATCATTTTCCAGGACGGTGGTTTTGTCTGTGAGCCCGTTGTCGTTGTCCGAAGAGTGGGAATGGCCGGCTGCCAACTCTGGTCACTCACTCAACTCGAGAACAAACTAGTGGATATGAGAGATCTCTACAACGACAAGTTGAATGGAATTGAAAGGTGAGTGGAAAATTGCTTTTCATTGAATCTTTTCATTTCCAGATATTCACCCCAAGTCTCTCCTGAATGCTCACCGATTCGCGTGTTGCCGAATGGTTTCGAGGAACGACCCGATGGAAGTGTCACTTTTGATCCGTTCTTTGATTCTCAACAAAATCATTCACTTGTCGGAGTGGCGAATGTGTTCTTGGAGGTGCTCTTCCACGAGTTGAAGCTAGATTATCAGGTCAGTTTTTTCAATCATTTATTCAAGAATCCCGTGCAATAAGAGCTTAATGTTAGAATAATTGACTTAATTCTTGCAGAAGTTATTGATTTCTAGCCAGCTTATATTACAAAATGTATACAGAAGGACAATTACACTAGCTAGTCAAAATTAGCTCTAGTACGCTAGTTAGTCAAGCTCTAGTACGCTAGTCAGTCAAGCTACGCTAGTCAGTCAAGCTCTAGTCAAGGATTAAGCCGTACTTATCAACCAACCTAATATTTAAATAGTCTCTGATCCATTCAAAACTGTGCTTGAATTCAATTACTCATTCAGGTTCCAATAATCTCTCAACAAGGTGAAGTGGCTGGTCGACTTCATGTCGAGGTTTATCGCCTTCCAAGCAACACTTCAAACGATTCACTAAATGAGAGCACTGACAGCGGAATTGAGCCCGGCAGACCGGAAAGTATGCTTGGGAAAACGATTACTTGTCGGGTAAACGGCTAAAGTTAAATCATCCTAAAAAGTTCTTTTAGTTCCGAATAAAGAGAGCGATCAATCTGCCCGCGAATCTTTCTCACTTTGTTTTTTGTCAATATTCGTTTTTCAACTTGAGCGAGATGCTTGTCGTGGCACCAACGTTTGACCCATCGATCGAGGGTGAAGGGCTTGTACATCAAAATAATTTCGTTTTCGATCATCAAAAGGTCTAATGGATTTATCAAATCAAATATTTCTCTATATTAGGACTTTGACGTGGTGGTAACGGAAGAGTTTTTGGAGTACTGTCAAGAGGATGCATTGTCGATTGAGGTTTGGGGGCACAGGAGTTGCGGCTTCGACTCAAGCGAGATGAGAATGGAGTTGGAGCTGAAAAACAAAACGTTACAAGTGGGTTTTGGGTACTGGAAAATCATTTACAAAGTTGATTTCTTGGAAAAAATAAACTTACAGTTAATTAATGAATTCTTTTCTGGTATATAAATATAAATCTAGAGTGAATTTAAAAACTATTAATTTAGATTTAGAGTTAACGTTAAAGTTCTTAGCGTTTAAAATTAAATTAGATGCTTCAAATTAATTCAGCGGACGTTACTGGTCTCCCCCCGCCCATGGGAACTGACGAATAGTTGATGGCGATTACCTAGTGCATAATTACAATTACTGACAACATTACCTTATGGCTTTATATGTTGAAAACGATGTGATAGATGAAATGCGCTTGTCCGCGTGCACAAAGAACACTAGTCAGCACTTCTTGAAAAAAGTAAAAGAAAAATCTAAAGTGGGGATCGAACCTGTGAGGTCTCGCTCTGGAAACGGCCACCACTCGGCCACGGCTGGACTCGAATGGGTCCGCAAGGAGGCTGCTAAGACCCAAATGACCACAAGGGAAACCTCTAAGACCCAAATGACCACAAGGGAAACCTCTAAGATCCAAATGACCATAAGGGAAACCGTTAAGACCCAAATGATCACAAGGGAAACCTCTAAGACCCAAATGACCATAAGGGAAACCGCTAGGACCCAAATGACCATAAGGGAAACCTCTAAGATCCAAATGATCACGAGGGAAACCTCTAAGACCCAAATGATCACAAGGGAAACCCAAATGACCACATTTTCAGACTCCTAAAAACTTTAGACACCTCCAACTCCTGGTACATTGTCATTTAGCAAAAACGGAATACAAATTCGGAATCAGCATAAAGTTCTGCGTGGAATGGTATAGGTCACATCGCATTTGGCCGGCTCAGCCAGTTAATCTTCCCTTGTTTTTCAAATTACGCAGCTAATTGTTAAGTTACTAATCCAGTCAATTCAGTCAAAATCTCATAACAAATCAACCGTTCGCTTTTCAGGATCGTTGGCGTGAAGTCTCAAGACGACTCGAGTTATCCATTCAAATCATGGAGATCAACGACAGTGGAAACTATGCACCAGTTGAGGTCTTGGAAAAACCTGATGTACCGACTGGAGGAGTGTATCAACTTAAACAAGTGAGTGCTCAGATTAAGATTAATGAGAATTTCTGGAAATTCTGGAAGGCCAAAAATAACTAACCTAAAAAGGCAGACTACCGGATCCCAAGCAGACTACCGGATACATTGTGTTAAACATTTCCGCATATTACTTTCAGGGCCAACAAAGAAGAATCATTGCTGGCCTTTCTCTTCCACAAAATGGAGGCGGTCTTCCATTGAGTATTGAAGCTATCACTTCTGTGAGTATTGGCTGTGTCTGCACCAGGGTCGCTGGAGCCCATTCAGCTCTTGACTCCTACCAAGAAGAGGTAATTTTTTTGATTCTACAAAGTTTTTATAGCCTCTTGCCTCTTCACTAATCCTTGTTCCAGGATCTCGAAAGACTTCGACGGCAATGGTCTCAAGCTCTGAAAAACCGTCAAAAATATCTTGAAGAGCAACTCAGCAAGGTAAATGGAAGAAGAATTTTGTTAATGATGGATTCTTTAGGTTTCTACGACAAACGGGAGAAGATCAGAAAAAGAATCGGAAAGGGAACATTCATTGATGAGTCAATGGGTGTCACTAGCTGAGGAAAGATCAGCACTTTCTATTCCAGCACCAAACACTGATATTCCTGGAGCGCCGAGTGATTGGTGAGTGATGAGAGTCAAGGAAAAGGAATTTTTTTCCTATAGGATTGTGCATTTGTATGCAAATACATTTAGGATTCCTCCACTTGGTGTTGAGCAACATGTGCCCGTTCTCTTTCTCGATTTGAACGCAGATGATATGACTGGTAGGGTGTGCAGAAGTATTTAGTTAGCTGATAATTAAAAGATTTTACTGAATTCTTAAAGGCTGTGAATTGTGAATATTAATATTATTGTAGGAGAAATTCAAGACGAAGAATTCTCTCCACAACTCCCCGGCGCTAACTGCATTCTGCCCAAAGAGAACAAAGGCGGACCATTGCTACTGCTACCGATTTTGGAAAGAACTGATGTAGGTTTTGAAATGACTTTCTTTAATTCAGTCTTAACCAATTCTCAAACGAATTGATGACCAATTGATAACCAATTGAATATAAATCAATTCTCGAAAGCAATCTTACTTAATCTTACTTATTATTGGGTTGGTGAGTTGAAAACTGCGGGCTATTGTCATATGTGACAGTTTGAGCACTTTCTTCAAAAGAAACCCATTTTGGTGTCAATGGAAAAGTTGTAAAGAATCAAAAATCAAGCTTATATCCAAATTTTCAGAACGATTCAAAAACTGGTTTTCAAGAAATGCGAAATTTACGAATTTTCACAAAACTTGCATTTTAAGCGAAACTACTAAGTGTATCTTTTTGGAAATTTGGCTATAAGCCTAATTTTTGATTCTCTACAACTTTTCTATTGACACCAAAATGGGTTTCTTTTGAAGAAAGTGCTCAAACTGGGATCCCCAGTCTCCATCTCCAGTCCTCCATTTTTGAGTCTCACACTTGTCTCACACACAAACCAAAATCCTACTACGAAAGAGTAATCCGCAAATTGCCTGTAAAAAGGGCACAAGTCGTCAATAATAATGGAAACTATTTGGAATGAATTTATGGTTTTATGTTGAATAAATTTTAGTTCAAAGTCCCGCAGTTTTCAATTCACCAACCTAATATAATGTCTTAATGTGGCCACTTCTGGATCGCAAGTTTTTCTGTTTATCCAGACCATAACTCGAGTTCTATTAGAAATTTCGGTTTGATTTTCAGTGACAAAAATGTAATTCATGTCTGGATTTGGCATGTTAAGTCAGATTTTAAAAACTTTTATTCATTTTCGAGTAAAGTGGGTAAAACCAAAAACCGAAAGCAAGATCAAGGGTTTCTCAAAAAGATTTTGGGTTTATTTTCTCGGAATATATTAGGTGAAATATGCTTACTTTTGGCACTAGAAGATTTGATTTTGTTTCTTTAAAAGATTTGTTTTTTTGAGAAAACGGTGAAGGCGGAGAATTTCAGAGGGTTGGTGGCAAAGATCAAAAGGATTTTTGAGTCCATACTCAACAATCCTTTTGTTCTTCGAATCTTAGATTCAATTTCACTGTTCTAATACAGATTTTAGAGTACAATTGTGCACAAAACTTAATTTTATAGTTTAATATCAACAGATTGCGATTTAGAGGCATAAATTTGATCAGCTCAGATCATCCAGCAGTTGACTTCGGCTCTGCCGGGGATCTGATCCTGAGGCCTGAGCGAAATCTGTTGCTACTAATCTTCATTACTAGATTAGTAGCAACAGATTGGGATTTTCGGTGTGAACGCCAATAGGCGTGCAACAGAAAATGGCATATCTCGGTCAATTTCACTCCAATCTCTTTGATTTTGATATCAATTGACGCAGAATTTAATTTGCTATCGATTGAAATCAAAGACGAAAAGATTCGAGTGAAATTGGTAAAGATATGGCATTTTTCCGTTGGACACCAATTGCCGTTCACACCGAAAATTCTCACCTCTACTGGCTACCGTAATTTTGGACATAATTCTTTAGACAACAGCCACTTGTTCTTGGGACAGCTCGATCCACGACGAACCGTGTCTTAATGTGGCCACTGATGGATCGCAAAGAATCTACGCTATTGTGAAGGTAAAACTGAGTCTTGAGAAATTGAATCATAGTTTATGCATCAAATTCTATCATATAATTAATTCTATAATTTCAGGTTTTAATTCGCCTCTCTCACCCAAAACCGATGGACATTGTGTTGAGGAAACGAATTTGTCTCTCAGTCTACAAAAAACCGTCGATAACGGAGAGGATTCTGAAGAGAATAGTCGGAACGGTAAGAAAAATGATGATTTTATAGAAGATTGTGGGGGTTTTTCAGGAAAGCACCGACATGACAAGTGTCTGGTATGACATTGTGGCTCATGTTCCGAAAACTTCGCACGACATGGAAGATCGGTAAGGGAATTTTTAACCAGAAAAAACAGTATGTAAATGATAAATGAGATAAAATCTGTGCCTATGCTTATAATCCAAGATAGGCTAGTTTCCGACTTCATCTAAAAATTTGGACTAGTGAAACCCTAGTTGCAAGGTAGACTCAATAAAATGAATAGCTTTAATTGATTCCCGAAACATTTGATTGTTTAGTCTATCAGTAATGTAGTCTGAAATTTATAAAAGTGTTCTCAAAAAGACTATATTGATGAGGGGCCTATTTGAAGACTTGGAACATTTTCATTCGTGATCGATTCGAGCCGATTTGGGTCGATTTGGGCTGATTCGGGCCAATTCAAGCCGATTCAAGCCGACTCGAGTCGATTTGGGCTGATTCAGGCCGATTCGAGTCGATTTGAGTCGATTTGGGCTGATTCGAGCCGATTCATGCCGATTCAAGCCGACTCGAGTCGATTTGGGCTGATTCAGGCCGATTCAAGCCGATTCGAGTCGATTTGGGCCGATTCAAGCCGATTCGGACTGATTCCAGGTCGATTCGGGCCGATTTGGGCTGATTCAGGCCGATTCGAGCCGATTCGAGCTGATTCAAGCCGATTCGGGTCGATTCGGGTCGATTTGGGCTGATTCCGATCGATTCGGGCTGGTTCGGGGCTGATTCCAGGCCGATTCTGATTTAAATAACACCATTGTGTTACTTAAACAACAACCAAACCAAGAGAATAATGCGGCTTGAGCGCTTTGTCTCTTGATTTTCTTATAATCCACTCAAATAAACACTTAATCTTAAACGTAAAACATAAAGAACTAGCTTTAAGCTGCTAGAAATACTTAAAATTTGATCATATCAATCACGAAAGTGACTTCAATTTTCAGATCAACTTTGGCGATGATGGCTGCCCGGGCTGGAAGCGAAGACGATTCGTTGACCGATCAAGAGAAAGAGACACGTCAACTCTCCTACATTGAGGCCTACACAAAAAGCATTCAAACGGTGGAATCAATGCTGAAATTGGACAGATTGAGACAAGAAGTGGCTATCACGAATATGCTCACAAAGTGAGTGACTTGGTGTTGAATGATTACCCAAAAGGTTCCAGGAAAGAAAGGCAAGCGAGGATGCAACATTTGGGGCTTAACAGTGGACAATTTCGAATGAAACGTGCGGTCAGCTTGCCGAATACGATCGCGAATGCTGTGAATCAGGTAAGAAAGATGTTCGGACTTATTACTACTTAGTTACTATTACTGCTTATTACCAGTTACTAGTACTAGAGTTACTAGCTTTCTAAAAGGATCTAAAAAGACTATGGTAGTTATCCAAAAGGTTACGGTAGCTTTTCAAAAGGTTACGGTAGTTTTTCAAAAGATTACCGTTGCTTTTCAGCAACTCTCCGTTTCATCTCATCCGACAACAAACGGTCAATCGAACGATGACTCTAGGAGATCATTGGAGTCATCAATGAGCAGCAGTGTTATGACATCATCACTCGGTTAGTTAAATTGGAGAAGAATGTGCTTGGCATAAAATCTTTTTTTTGGTTAGCATTTTCAATTAGCATCAGCTCTGCTTTGGGCTATGTAAAAAATCAAATTAAAATTTCATTGAGAGTCGAGAATTCCCCGAAGTTAGCTAGCTTTTCAAATACATTCAACGAGAATTGACTTGAACACTTACTAGCTGGTGCTCAAGATTTTAAGCCTACTTTTATGGTTATCGGATATTTGATACGCACTCCCCTCCTTTTGCCATTGGCAATCTAACTTTGAACTCAAATATCTTTGTGTATGGCTGTCCAATTTCGATATTCTTGGTATCGTTGGATGCGCTAAGTCTTTCTCTGTTGATTGGTACAAAAACTATTCCAATTGGACAACCCAACACCAAGATATTTGAGCTCAAAGTTAGATTACCAATTGCAAAGGGGCGGGACCATTGTGGGACCTTTTATACGCGCCCCGCCGCCTTTGCCATTGGCAGTCTGACTTTGAACTTAAATATCTTGGGATTGGGCTGTTCAATTTAAGCATGCTTGGCATCATTAGATGCGCCAAGTCTTTCTCTGTTGATTGGTACAAAACTATTTAAATTGAACAGCCCAACACCAAGGTATTTGAGCTCAAAGTTAGATTGCCAATGGCAAAAGGGGCGGGGCGCCTATTAAATGTCCCACAATGTACTTGTATCTAGTGCACCAGATTGTGAATTTTTAGACCTATAGTTAGCAAAGCCAGAAGGAATATCAAGATCGGTACGTTGTGCTCGTGTAAACTCGAGTTCTTTGACAAACACGGCTCACTTGGCGAGCCAGAAGACATGCGTTTACTGGAGCATAGAGTACCGTGAATGACTAGGATCTAGATCAGATCTAGGCCAAGATCTAGGCCATCTACTTTGTGCTGCAAACGCGCGCTTTCTGGCACAAGTAACTCGATTAAAAGGTGATCCAGTGTTCCAGGAAACGTTTAGCAGTTCGTTTAGCAGAACACAAAGTATATTAATCTGTAAATCGATCTTAAACTATAAAACGCTTCGGCTGATCAGCGCCGACAAATCCTCAGTTTGCACTTTTCCCCAAACAAATCTAACTCTCGAAATTGCCGAATGACAACTAACACATCACTCACACTCTCAAATTTCAGCCCGTCCAACCTTCCTAAACCTTAAACCACTAAAGTGTAGGTTTTTTCTCTAACAAAACTCGGATCCACTCGTGTGATTTACCCCGAAGAAAATTTTTTTTCGTGAACCTCCCTGCATGGGGTGACTTTTTCTTCGTTTGCTGCTTTTTGCCCATCGAAAAAATGTGTTGTGTTGTGACTGAGAATTGGAAAAAAAAAATAATTTTCCATTCCGATTAATCCCTAGCCAAAAGATTTTGTCTCAATTTTTTTTTGATTTGATTGTTGTGAATCATGTGAATTTTGAGGTTGAATTAGACAAATGAAATCGTTTTTTTTTTTGATTCAAAGTGTGAAAATGTGAGAAAGTAGAGGAAAAAAAATGGGATTTATGAAGAGAATATGGAGAGATTTTTAGTGAACAGTTTGGTGAGTCCGTTGAGTGAACGATTGTCGGGAATCGATGAGGAGGTGAGGTTTAGAAATGTAAAATAGGGTTTAGAAATGTAAAATAGGGTTTAAAAATTAATCTAGAATTGAAAGAAGATGATTCAATCTAGAATTGAAAGAAGATGATTCAATCTAGAATTGAAAGAAGATAGAACAAGATAAAACAAAATAAACAAGATAAACAGGATAAACAGGATAAACAAGATAAACAAGATCAAATAAGGTTTAAAGAGGTACTCCGACCGAAAGAAAGTCAGTGTTAAAAGAAAGTCAGTGTTAATTTCATATCTTAGTTCAGCCCTTTTACGAGTAGACTGTGACTGTGAACGGCTTATTATAACAGTTAAAATCCTCGCCAAATTAGCATTTTGGATACTTCTAGTAATTCTAAAGCTAATACACATGCGCACTTCGGTGTCATTTATTAGATTCACCAACCGCTTCGGCGTCAAGTGATGATTTTGAATATCTTGCAGACCGCATGCGTAAATTTCGCGTAAATTTCGTAAATTTCTTGCAGACGGCGGCAATTCGCGAAATTAACTGCCCTATCAACTTTTGATGGTAGTTTAGTTGTTAATTTAGTTGTTTAGTTGTTAATTTAGTTGTCTAATTGTTAAATTAACATAATTAAAAACAGGTGCCTAAATTAGGCACCTGTTTTTCACGTCTATTTAAGTCTGATTTTCACCTTTTTTTTAGATTATTCTTTTAGAATGTAATGTTTGCTATATTTAATACAAAAATATTTAGAATTACTGTTAAATTTAAGAAAATACATGCAAAAGAAAAGAAGTGCAAGTGCTAAAAGGCAATTGAACGAAACTTTATATACTTTTTACCTAAATATTCGCGTTTTAGGCTGGGGCAGTAAGCAAAAATTGCGTTTTTTTCATTTCTCCATTGAAAATCTTGTTTTTATATAATAAATAGTTGCAGAGGAGACTCAAATAATATATAAATGACTTGAAAGTATACCTTTAGGCCGGAGTACCCCTTTAAGCCAACTCAAGAATATTCCTAGAGAAAAATCAATACTGACCTTACAAAATAGTAGATAAAATCACCTGACTTTAGCTTTAAACTCTTTAAACTAATTGATCGAATCAGATTTTTGATTATTAGTATCAAAAATTTCTTTCCAGTGTCTCCGTGAGCCAGTTCGATCGTCCACAGTTCCTGAAACCATGCAGACAACTCTCACGAATGCTTGCAGCAAAAATGTTTGTTTTTAAAGTTTGCTAAAGCCAAAGTGAACAAATATTGGTGAAGAAACTAACTATTATAAGCTGAAAGTCTTAAGAAAAACTAAGTCTTGAAGTCTAAACTAAGTCTTAAGCTAAGTCTGAAGTTTTAACTTTCACAGACGACAGGGTGTTCAATATTTATAAGGACCAGTAGATTACTAGGTTTAGAGCTTATTTTGTACAAGTTTAATGCTAAAAAGGAAACACACGTATTAATATTTACGACTTTAAGTTGCTTTTTTCAAAATTATTACCTTTTGCACGGTTGTTTGTCTAGAGACATCTGTGGAAAGTGCCTACTCGAATAAATTGAGTTTTTCACAAACTCTCGTTAAGCTTTCTTGAAAGAATCAAAACTGAAATGTGATTCGAACATTTTTGAGTCAATGATTGTCTCATAGATTCGAAAATAGCAAAGACTTTTTCATCGTTAAACAAGAATTGTTAAACAATCATTAAACAATCGTTAAACAATCGCTAAACAATCGCTAAACAATTGTTAAACAAGAATTGTTAAACAATCATTAAACAATCGTTAAACAATTGTTAAACAATCGTTAAACAAGAATTGTTAAACAATCATTAAACAATCGTTAAACAATCGTTAAACAATCGTTAAACAATCGTTAAACAATCGTTAAACAATCGTTAAACAATCGTTAAGCAAAAACAATCGTTGACTCAAACAATCGTTGCCTCAAACAATCCTCCTTTTAGTCAAATTTGATGATTGAGTTCCGATGAATCGATTTTTGGAATATCAAATTTAGTAAACTGTAAAAATAATCTAGAAAGTCTGCTCCAACTCCAAGCTTTCTTGACAATTTTTTTCATAAACCAACATAAACCATAAACATAAAGAGCTCAAAAAGATCTGTGAGCTCAAAAAAACTCTTAAATATTGAACACCCTGTAGTTAGATAAAAGCAAACTTCAGCTGACTTGTTGTTGTAGTTTTACTGCAAGTCTGACCTACAAAAAGTCCCCACCAGAAGCCAGATTTAGGCCAGAAACCAGGCCTAAATCTGGCTTCTGGTCGGCTCTCGCCTTGCCTGAGCCTGAGTCTGAGCCTGAGTCCCCATAAATATTCTACAGCCTGTAGAACTTTTGCAAAAAAATAACTAATCGATCAGGTAATCCCCAAAATAGTCTCCTTCCTTGTCTCCTTCCTTATCCTATTAAACAGTTGAACTCAAAAAACCTTGTACAATAATGAATCGGCTATAAAAAACTGGAAAAATTACTAACTATACTCTAAAATTTATAAACCAATTCAAGCTAAAACCAGTTTGCCAGCCTAAAGCTAAAGCTTAAACCAGTTTGCCAGGCTAAAGCCTGGCAAGACTAAGCCAGCTGTAAAGCTGCAAAGCAAGTTTTAGAATGAATTTTTTGAAAAATCCCGTTTACAAACGAGAAAAGATACAAAAATTGGCTATAAATAGTGATTTCAGATCTCGGACACGAATGGGAATTCATCTTTATTCGCGAGTGTCTCCTCCACGTCATCCGGTGTCAGTTCGGGAGTCGATGATTGTCGAACAACCGTCAATCTCTCTCAAAACAACAACCTTCTCTCAACGAAACAAGAATGTTAACTGAACTTAACTTTTAAAGTTTTAAACATTGGTGCTTTGTTTGTCATGCATTTTTCTTGTCTCCTTCCTTGTCTCCTTTCTTGTCTCCTTCCTTGCCACATATCCTTTTTTTGAAATCCCTGACTTAGTGGAAACTTTGGAAACTTTGAAAAATTACAAATATCGGGTATAGAACTTTCTTGAAAAAGTTGAATTTTGGATTTTTGATTAGGGTTCAATCGAAAAGCTTTAGAAAATTCTTGTAAATTTTGATGTGCATTCAAATATCAGCTAGAATACGAGTCTTTGAAAATGAAAGGAAAATATTGTAGTCTTTGATGGAAAATTTTTGCTTTGTACTTTGTACTTTAATGATTTTCTGGTGTCCCTAGGATCTCTGAATGTTTTGTTTTTTGATATTGTTGTGATAGAAAGTAGAGAATATTCTTCTGTGTCAAGTGATTTGTGTTAATAAAAGTTTCATACACTTGTTTAAAAAGATTCAAAGACTAAAAGCGAACAAAAAACAAAGCTATGTCAGAAAAGGAATCATACAGCATCAAATTATGCTTTCCAAAAATTGATAGTGTAAACGATCGATGTTTTCATTTGGTTTTCAAACTATTGGGTTGTCCAGTTATGAATGCGCGTTTTTTACTATTTTGTAAATTCTCAAGATACCGAAATCAAGAAAAAGATATATATGTCGTAGCCGATTATGAATGAAATTTTTTGGCAAATCTTTCTAGTAGAGCAACCCTTTAATGTATGGGGACAATATTATATTGTAGCGAATTGTATTTTGTAGCGAATTAAATTCTGCGTCGATTGGTACCAAATTTGTGAGTTTAGGCTAAAAATTACCGGCGCTACAACGTTTCATTCAAAATCGGCGGGACCCCCGTAGCCGATTATGAATTTCAGCCGATTATGAATGAGTGGGTCTAGGAGCGTCCAACCATCAAGTATTTGGTATCATTCAACGCAGAATCATTAATAATTATGTTAAATTTTTTAAATTAGCAAGATTTGATAAAAAGAAAAAAAAACTGTTTGTTCAAGAGGAAACTTTGAGACCCCATAATTTTTTTTCTTTTTATCAAATCTTGCTAATTTAAAAAATTTAACATAATTATTAATGATTCTACGTTGAATGATAACAAATACTTGATGGTTGGACGCGTCCGGACCCGCTCATTCATAATCAGTTGAAATTCATAATCGGCTACGACGTATATATGAGTATTATTCGAAAGCTGAAGATCTCCTCTACATTTTGATATAAAAAGTTTTTGAATTTCTTCAGCTTTTGGGCAAATTGACGGCACAGAAGAAGAGGTGGCCAAAAAATGGAAGGGTGCCTTTGGATCAAGTTTTGGCTCCGCTCAAATTGAGTTAACCGTTTGATGCTTGGCTAATAGATATATCAATACAAGTTTTGTTTAAATATAACAATTTCAGAGCATCTTTACTTTTCTTTTCTTTTCTGGGCGGTTATTTTACACCATAAAACTTGGGGAATAGCTAAGCTGAAATGGATTTTTCCGAAAACGACCTCTCCCTTTGTGCAGTCAATTTCCCAAAAAGTTGAATGAATTGGAAAGCTTTTTTATTCCAAAATGTAGAGGAGATCTTCAGCTTTCGAATGATATATAACACTCATATACATCTGTTCGATATCTTGAGAAATTTACAAAATAGTAAAAACGCGCATTCATAACTGGACAACCCAATATCATAGTTGCTTGTGCTGTGACAAATACAGTTGCAGAACAGGCATAATGCAAAAATCAGAACCATGCAACGTCCAGTTGTCCAGGATTGTGCAGAATCAGATAATCTAGAGCAATCCGAACTTTTTCTTAATGATTAGTTATTCGAGATTTGATTGATTCGATTTGATTCGATGGAATCATCAGGATAAGGAAGGAAAGGATCAGGAAATTTACAACTCTTCAAAGATTCTGGCTTGAATCTGATTCAAAGTTGATTTCTATGCTCAATCGCATGGCAAGACGCATCAAAAGTCTCAAACCAAGATGCAAAAAATCGCAAAAAGGTTCGAACCAGCTGAAGCTGATGTCGCTGACTTGGCACATCGGAATAGACCGACTCTACGCCTATTGCCTGGATTATTGGACTGAACTGGCATGGACTATTGACCGCAAATGGTTCATAAAACTTGAGATAAATAGTTTTTCATTAGAGAAAATGAATATACTTGGGCTCTGTTTAAAAAGATGAAGAACTATTTAAAGAAAAGGAAAGAGAATAGTCTTAATAATGGGACAAAAAAGATTTCACAGCAACTTGTGAAGCTGATATTATGATCAAATCTACATTGTACAACAAAGTTTTTACAAAAGCAGACCACTCCAGAATCTTTCGTTGACTTGTTTTTTACCAAAAGATCAGCAAAAGATCAGCAAAAGGCTAGCAAAAGATCATCAAAAGATCCTCTCAATTTTTGAAGATTCTTGGATTCGAGCGGCAAAAGACAAAACAATAAACAAAACAAAGCTTTTTGCTGATTCAATTTTTCTTTAAAAGCACTTTCAAACGATTATCTCAACAATGTATTCATTTTTGCTTTTTTTGGGATTTGGAATCGTTTCACAGCAATTCAATTTCAATAAACAGGAGGCAAGAGGTCATTTTGCTTGAATTTTTATTTGATTTTGCTGAATTATTGTTTAAAAGATTGAAAAATCGATGTTTTAAAGAACAAATTGAAGAAAAAGAGCAAATCAATATCTAAACAAATTCTGAATATCTGAAAATCAAAAATATCTAATATCTAAACAAATTTTAGTCGATGGCACTTTTTTATGCAGACAAAAACCGATTCCGGAAAATACAACGGTCACAATTTGGGATGACGCTATCAGTAAAGATTTACAAAAGTCTAAAAAGCTTCCTCAACAAATTATTTGTCCAAACTATTTGTTCAAATTGTTAAGCCAATTACTCAAGCTGAGTATCAGACAAGTTTTTGAGCAAAATTTTAGTGAACTCGGCGATTTTGAATCATGCAATGGTTCAATTTAACTTTAATCTTGGTTCAGTTGAACTTTTAGAGGTTCAAAGACTTTAACGCTATTGCTAAAGCCAAAGCCAAAGCCAAAGCTAAAGCCAAAGCTAAAGCCAAAGCTAAAGCCAAAGCTAAAGCCAAAGCTAAAGCCAAAGCTAAAGCCAAAGCTAAAGCCAAAGCTAAAGCCAAAGCCATTTCCTAACGATTGTTACATTTTCTAACCAAAAAAGTAAACTTTAGTTGCAGACGACAAATTGAACGCGACGTGGACGCGCAAGGATGGATCTTTCCGAATTTACGGCCGAGAGTTTGTCTTTTTCTCCTTCAAGCCATTCATCGCCGTTCGTCATCGATGTGGGCAACGGCCAAAGGTGATTTTTTTCATTCTTATTTTTTAAAGCATTCAAAAACTATTGTAACTTCTTATCAAAGTTAATCAACGTCGCTAAAAGTTCACAAAGTTAGTCAACGGTTGAAAGCTGGTTCACAGGCCAGGATTGCAAAGAATATGGGAATTTCTCAAACCTCTATGGCCCATAGAGGTTCGAGAAATTCCCATATTCTTTGCAATCCTGGCCTGTATTGTCAAAAATCGTCCTGGAATGAAACTTTTCCCCAAAACACAATTTCTTGCGTCAGCCAGCAAAAGCCGTTTCTCACGCTTCTTCTTTAGTCCCCGTAATCTTGGACAACCCTGTAAACTCTATATTTCTTTAATACATTTTCCCAATATTTTAGACCTAGACTAAGAGAGACGGTCCTGCTCCGGGACGGTCCGGCCGGATCTCTCAACATGAAACTCTATTCATTCGGAGTCATACCCCTTTCCCTGGTATGTTCCCCTGACTCCTTCCTATCGACGTATTTCTTCATTTCATTTAAATCACTAAAGACTCTCATTACTCATGTAGATAAACAAGTAATATAATCTTCCGCAATGAAAGACAGGTCAGTCGTTTATTTCTGAGGCTCCCTTCTGACTCTGTGTTGAGTCCGGTTGTCGTTTGTGTCAGGAGTGGCAGGGACAGTTCACTTACATCTGTCCTAGCTAGCACTTCAAATGCAAACACCCACATCATTTCGGAAACCACACTCAAATTTTTCCTACTGCTACACACGTGGAAACTTATAGTAGCTTCTAAATCTTATTTTAAATCTTAAATATTTTTAAAAATCGATTCTTTTCAGTTGTGCAAGTACGAGACTCGGATCTGGTTTCCCTCGTCGAACTACGGTGAAGGCGTCGTTCATCATTTGGGAATCATTCAATTGGAGAGACTTCGCAACAATGAGACGGTCACCATCATCGAGTTTTGCTCATAGAGTTGAAACTCTTCAGAGCCAATTGAAATCAATTGAAAATAGCTTTTTTGTGAATAAATCTTGAGTCAATTTACAGTCAAACTTCAATTTTCAATAACAAACTGAGAAAGATAACGCTAAAAGATAAATCGAAGCTAGGCTTTCCCAGTAGACCGTATTTCTTCGAATAGAAGACCGGGTAAAGAGTATCATCGCGTACTCCTGCGTAGCAGCCCTTTTTAAAATTTCTTTTCTGCATAAAAGCTTTCAATGAAGTGCTATAGGGCTGGAAAATGACTCAAAAATACCACATGAGCTAACAGATAATGCGGCCGCATTAGTCGTAAGTGTAGAGAACAAACTCAAGTATTGACGCATTTCAACAGATCCTGTTCAATGATCCTGGCTGTAGCTATTCGAGTGGGATTGGCTAAACCCGGATGCTCAATATGCTCACTTTGTGTGCAAGATGCCGTCAACCAATCTCTGAACATGCATGGAAAAGGAAATTTGACGATTGTAATGTTTTTTTCGTATAAAGATGTTTCCAAATGAATCTTTTGTATTGATCAAGAATTTCTGAAGTCTTTAAGTTTAAGTTTTCAAAGCATTAGCAAGTCAGTCATGCGCCATATGTTTAAAGTAACGTACGGTGAAAAATTTCGAAAAGCTTGGACCACAAGATTTGTCGTTAAATTTTACGGTACAAGTCGGTTATATCCCATTTAATTAAGTCGGTTATGTCCTCCAAATTCATATTTTGTGCAGTTAGCATTGAAAAAACACTAATAAATTAGCTTAGCTTTCAAAATCTGCATTTAAAATAGTAAATCAATCAACTTGATAGGAACTTGATGTAAGAGGAAACCAAATTTTCTGTAACGCTAATTGCAAAAAAGCTAATTTGGGCGATGCAATGGGGAATTCAGGCTTTTTTTTCTGATGCTAATTTTAAAAAATGTAAATTTAGAGGGACATAACTATACATTTCGAGTGTCCCCTCCCCTGTGTCCCCCTCAAAGTGTCCCCTTTTTGTCCCCCTAAAGTGTCCCCCCCTAGTATCCCCCTAGTACACACACACACACACACACACACACACTCGAAATGTATAGACATAACTAGAGTGTGTTCCTCTCAAATCGTTCAAATCATGTTTTCTAAAAGGTGCTCGTTAGCAAAGGCATTTTCTAAACGCTCTTTTTGCGCTTTTCTTTTATTATTTCTGAAAGTTTTACTTCTTTTTTCTATCCTTATCGGAATTTTATAGTTTTAAACAAATATTGGTACTTGTGGAGTATCCGGGGGGTCTTTCAATATCCGGAGTGGTAAAATTTTAAGATCCGGGGTAAACTTTCAAAAACCAACCAAATACCCAAAAATGTTTTTCTTGTTAAAATGGCTTTGCCGCTGCTTGCGTGTGGTAACTAAATTTTATAACTATATAATAAACAAGATGCACGAGTAATGCAAGAACATAAACATAAACCAAACATAATAATTAAATAAATTTGTGAAGTACAACAGTGACTATTTGTAACAGTGACTATTTGTAACAGTGACAATGAATACTACTTGTAAAAATCTATAGAATTTACTTCTAGGCCAGGAGGCCAAAAACGAGCAATATCCTTGAGAATTTGCTCAAATGCGTCTGCGCCTTTGGGCAAACTAAGGCGCCAGAGTCCTTCAGCAATCCATGACTCAATCATGTGTTCGTGGGTTCCATGACGAAATCGATTGCTATCTTTGAAAGGTCGCCAGAAGCGTTCTATTGTTTGCGTATGGATAGCGCATCTTTCGGATCCAAAAAATTCACGCTATTATTTACCCATCCCCAAAATTTTGTAGAAGTTACGTTTTTGATCGAGTATCACCTCGAATAAATTGAATATCTTTACATTTGAAGGGAATTTGCCACCAAATCACTTAAGCGGCTGAATATCTTTAAAAGGGGTCGTGTATAACGTATATAAAATTTTACCCCCCCCCCCCCGATCTTAAAATTTTATCACCCCGGATATTGAAAGACCCCCCGGGTACTCCACAAGTACCCAAATATTTATTTTTAGAAACAACAAACAAGGGAAGAAGATGGTCAACCAAAGGAGAAAAAAAACCAGGTCAGTTTTTTTCTCTATACTATCTATATTTTTAAAATCTATTGGGGTTAATTGCTTTTCTTTAGTGAAGGAACCTAAGAAAGAAGATGAAAAGAAAAAGACGGAAGAAAAGAAACTTCAGGAGACAGGGCAACAAAGAAAGAAAGGTCAGCATTTTTTAAATTCCATAGAGCCTAATTCGTCTTCCATTAATTCTTCGTCGATTAGTTCTTCCTTCGACAGGGATCCTTTTTCAAGTTGATCATGTCACATAACCGACTTGTTTCAATGCGGGATACAGTGGTGGAAAAAAGTATTGAGCCCCTACTTTTTGCTTAAAAAAAATTTCTATCGAAATTTTTTGAATCCGTTCTAATTTCTAGAAACTAGAAGAACTAAGCTTCGTAATGTTATAAAAACTTTTGAATTGCAAAGTTTATTTAACGAGAAAATGCATGTATACAATATTTGCAAAAATTCTTGTATTGAAAAAGTATTGAGTCCTTGTCGAAAAAAGAATTCACTATTATGATGGGCCATCTCGGGCTTCTAAAAACTCAATACTTTTTTCTACCACTGTATAACCGACACTCCGATCGATACATAGAGGGCGGTGTGGGGCGGGTCTGTGTGCCTGACCTTGGCTTTCTCTACTCCTCCCAATCTCATGCACTATTTCCCCTCGCCCGGTGGTCAGCCCAAAGCCTGACCACCCGACCTCATCTGCCCCACACACACCGCCCTCTATATTGATCTTGCAAGGAAATTTTCAAAGATATTTGCCACTATTTATTTCTGTCACTCGCTGATCCAATTGTTATCCTTATTTCATTTTTAAATAAAAGCTGCTACCTTTTTTTTGGAAACTAGCTTCACTCAAAAAACCGCATTTTTAAAATTTTCAAGTCATTCATTTGCATAAATTTTACTGCAGGGTGTTCAATATTTATGGGGACGAATAGATCATTAGATTTAAAGCTCGTTTTGTACAAATCTAATGCTAAAAAGAAACAAACATATCATCTTTAACAAGTTTAAGTCACGTTTTTTTCAAAATTATTGCCTTTCGTGTTGATGTTTGTCTAGAAATTTTTGTTAAAAGCGCTCAGTGTGGCACGGAGATCGGATAAATTGAGTTTGTCACAAACATATGTTAAGTTTTCTTGGAAAAATCAAACTGTGTTATGATTCCCATATTTTTAATGTTCCATAAATTTGAAAACTGGTAAATAGTGAAGAATTTCTTATCATTAAACAAGAATAACTAGGTCTGACCCCTTCAGGTCTAATTTAGTGAACAAGTTTCAATGAATCGGTTTTTCGCATAACAAATTGAGTAAACAGTAAAAGTAAGTAAGCATGTCATGTTTGTCCCAACTTTGTCATTCAATGTTTTCTTAATGATTTTTTAAGAACCGATTTTTGAAGCGCTAAACAACCCTCAAACTCAAAAGCCTCCATATATATTGAACACCCTGTATTATATTCAAGATTTGTTTTTCTGATCTCTTACTAGCGTTTTTCTGATCTCTTACTTAATTATCTTTCCAAATTTCAGAATGAATCCAATTACGCTCGAGATTTGCAAGCATTTGGACACAGTGGCGGCAAAATACGATTTGGACGGAGACTCGATGTTGGATGTATTGGGAAAAGTGGTCGATCATTACAAAAATCCAGTCACATACAACTACTTGAATATGAATGCTGATTATAGGTTGGTTAGAAATGTGGATTTTGAAATAGCAGCGACTCGGAAAAGTTGTATGGACAAGCTTTCAATATTATAAAATATTGAAAGCTTCAATTTTCAAATATTCCAATCTTGCCGATATAAACAAGCAGTTTATATTCAAGTTTAGTAAGTGTAGCAATTTCAGGGCACTTTTCCGAGTCTAAAACTAATACCAGACTTAAGCTATTGAATAAACTTTTGCGAAAACTTCAAAATCTCTCAATTACAGCCGCCAAATCCACGCCCAATCTACAAAAGTCACGCCAATTCCACTCATTGATTTGGATGATGAGAGAGCGACCTCAAGCACTTCTCCAGTGGCTTCAATTTTTGATGAGAATAAGAAGAAGGCATGTCCATGTGTTCCATTTGATCCAACGATGCCCTGTTTCAACAAACAACTCGAATCCGATGAGTATTATGCGCTGGCTGAATTGGAAGAGCTCAGGTATTGGTTTTAACAACAAATAGACGAATTTTTCAAGAGAAGTCCACTTACTGTTTACTTTAAATTACAAAAAAGGTACAAAATGAACTCATTGTTGTCAAATAAATCTTTAAAGTTTTCAGCCTTGGTGACCGCGTGCTCTGTTTCATGAACATCAAATCGGGAAGGATCGTTGAAGGGATCATCACGAGTTTCACGAAAGATATGCGACCACATGTGAAAAGATTGATGGCCAATGGTAGATATACGGATGAGAAGCGACCCGTTGGATGTCAATATAACAGGCACAAAGTCATCTACAAAGCAACAAAGAGGGTTGGTCTTGTTTTTGTGTAGCCGTTAACTTTTTAAGCAATAATCTATATAACCTAAGCAATAATCGTACCGTGTACAGGGTGCGGCAAAATTATGGAACGGATGCTTATTGATGAATTAAAAGAAAAAAATGTAGAGCATACTCCTAGTGTTATATATAATTTGAAAGCTCTTAATAAATACTACAAAATAGAATAGCTAATCAACAATTTGTGCCAATCGTGGAAAAATTTAAGGACCTGAACGTGACACTCCTGAAAAAGATGATCTTCTGTTTTAACGTCACAAATAGCGATTTCCAGATTATTATGCTGATTATATCTGCATTGAATACAGGAATACAAATCTCAACAATTAGTAAATACACTTAAGTACTTTTAAGTAGAAGTTTTGATAGGCACTGAGAAAAAACGTAAATATCCAAAAACTAGGGTATTTTGAGAGAAACATTCAAAATGTTTAAAAACTGGTTTTTAACAGATTAAACCGGAAAACTTTCTTTGTTGAATGTTTTGGGTATCTTACAAAACAGTTTTTCGATTTTTACGTTTAGTGTCATGTTCAGGTCTTTAAATTTTTTCAAGGTTGGCACAAATTGTTGATTTAGCTATTCGATTTTTTAGTATTTATTAAGAGCTTTCAAATGATATTTAACACTAGGAGTACGCTCTTCATTTTCTTTTAATTCATCAATAAGCATCCGTTCCATAATTTTGCCGCACCCTGTAAATTCAATGTTCATGTTTCAAGAGTTGATTTAGATTGGCGAGAATCTCGATGAAGGTGGCTATTCGAAATGGGAAAATTACGAGGAAACGGTATTGTTTTTATGTAAAAGTCTATGGTATTCGTATTTCAGTAAGCTTTTAGTGCAAAATATCAAATGACCCCAGTAGAAATTATTTGCCAAATTACCAGATTTCAGGATGATGATCTGATGGTGATCCCGAAGCAAGATGATGGTGAATACGACTTTGAACTTCAGGGAGGAAAGGTTTGAAATTGGAATTTAAAATATCAGAACAAAATGGATACAAGTTTTGATATCAATAAGTGTTTGCAAGTGAGCAGCAAAAAAGAACAAAGAAGATCTTTAATAATGGGTCAGATTTCAGGTATCGATGGCTGACAGCCCAAATTCGACAGGTGATGGAAAGGCGAAGAGACAACAAAGAACGTACAGTGTGGATTTTAAGTTGGAAGTGGTCGATTACGTGAAGGAAAATCCAATCAAAAACGAGGCAGCACGGAAATTCGGTGTCGCGTCGAAACGAATTCGCGAGTGGATTGCACAAGAAGCCGATCTTCGATCAGCTCAAATCAAAAGGGCACGCCAAATTGAAGAGCTTGAGGTAAGGAAAGCACCTGACAATGAATGAAAGAGGCAAAAAGATTTGAAAACGTTCCTTTATTCATTCTATTGAAAGAAAAAAGGATTCTTGATGGGATTTTTGCATGCGTAACCGCGCTTTAAAAATTCATACATTGTTGGAGCATATTATTAACTTTATATAGTTTTGAAAGTGATTTTTAGGCTTTCTAGTGGAACTTGATTGGAGCACATAATCCTAGGGGAATTGAGAGACAATATTGAGCGACAGATCGGACTGTTCCCTCAGTTTGGCTGCTGTAACACAATGGTTTTGAATCTGAAGAAAAATAGTGGATTTGTAGAAGAATCCAGCCAAATTTAAGGCAAAAATTGATCCCGAGAGTTTGGGCATAGTGACGCCCAAAAAAAAAAGCCCCAGCACTGGCTCAATCGCTCACCGTTCCTCCCCCTTTACGGACTCCAAAAGGGAAGCACTTTATACCAGACGTGTTTGCCAGACGGCTAGTGATTATGCAGCCGCACAAAGAACACCTTGCAAGTCATTTACGTAGGGGTTCTACTTTTGCATTGTAAATGGCACGAAAAGAAGATATTGAGTTGTGAATTTGTACCAGGGGGCTTTCGGGGTCGGGGAATCGATTGAAGCTATCCATTTTATTGAGTCTACCAATTGCAACTAGGTTCAAACTTTTGGAGTTCGGAAACTAGCCTATTTTGGATAAAGGATACACCTTTTATCTCATTTATCATTTACATATTGTTAAAAATTCCCTACCGATCTTCCATTTGGTGCGAAGTTTTCCGGACATGAGCCATAATGCCATATCAGACACTTGTCATATCGGTGCTTCCCTGAAAAACCCACAATCTTTTATAAAGTTGTTATTTTTCTAATCGTTCCGACTATTCTCTTCAGAATCCTGTCCCTGATCGACGGTTTTATTGTCTCTTGGTATATAGGATTTTGTGATCCAATCAAATTCTATTTTAATACTTTTAAGTTATTGGTTATGGATAGATTTTTAGACTCACAGTTTAACAACTTACTATTTCTTTATATTGAACTTCAGAGAGGAAACGTCGAAATCGTTGAAGGTCCACCCATCAAGCTTCCAGTCTTCTTAAACTCGGATGATGGATTCGATGATTTGAAATTGGAAACACTCGACTAATTTGCTCAATTTAACTGAATAAACTGTTTTTGTAACTCTTCAAATGTTTTACATTTCAAAATTTGAAATCTCAAACCTTTCTCTCTCTCTTTTTCTTAAGCTTTATCCGATATCGAAAATTTCTCGCTGGATTCGGACGTCAGAAGAAGACAAAACAAATGACAGCCCACGCTAAAAAAGCAAAACTTTTTGCAAGATATAAAATTGAGAATCCGGATTTTTGTGACTTTTCACAAATCTCGGAAATGTTCTCGTTTTTGCTCTTTTTCGGACTCTTCGCCTTTACCCAGCAATTCAGCAATCAGGAGGCTACCGGTCAGGTTTTTTCTTGAAGCCAAATGATCATTTTGATATGATAAAGAGTAGATAATCAGGAAAGTCTTGATCTCTTGATTCTTTATGACTTACGAACTAGTAAGGCTATAATTTAAAAGATATTTGCTCCTATTTGATCGTTTACTTTGCTGTAATTCCAAGGGCTTTTGCAATTTGCGTTTTGTAAAAGGCCAGCCGAAGAACCCGCCTAACGCTGGGTTTTTCTGGCTGGATTTTCTGACCCGGTTTCTGTGGTCGTGGCTCAATCGGGAGCACGCTTGTCTACAGCCCACACGGTCCGGGTTCGACTCCCGAGTGTTCCTTCCAAATTTGATTTTTTAAAAACATTTTTGAAATGGCACAACTACAATAGATTCTAAGGTTTTCTAAAGAGATTCTAGCTTTATTAGGTAAAACACGGCCTAGAAAATGCCCGTACAGAAAGACACTGCTCTTTTATATATAGTAAATAGTTAATTCGTACTCTTTCCTTCAGATTTTGTCCGATTTACAGAATTTTGACACATTTTGACACAATTTTAACACATTTTTCACACCTTTAAACCAGTTTGAACGCTGATTCTAATTCCAGAAAGTATTGTAGATTTAAGGAAAAAAAAAGCCTATGATCTGACTTCAAACAAACAATTTCAGTTACTGGAAACATTTTGTGCAAGAACCAACCGATCAGGGAGAACACGACGGTCACAATCTGGGACGATGATTTCAGTAAAGATTTGTTAATGTTTAAAATTGCCTAATAAAGCTCATTGTCAGTACTCAATCTGATAAGTAATCTTTCTAACAACTTCAGAGTTTACTCTAGCATCTTTTACATATCCGAAATCTAGCCAAAGTTCAGCTTTCTTGCTGAATCGTTAAATTAAGTTGGAGACGACGAGTTGAACTCAACGATGACGGACAGCAATGGCTTCTTCTACCTCTACGGCCAAGAGTTCGTCTACTTCTCCTTCCAGCCATTCATCTCGCTTCGCCATGGCTGTGGACCAGTGTCACTGGTTGGTTTTGAATACAAAATCGTTATCTAAATGTTAAGTAGATCACGAAAATATTATATGTGTTAGCTCAAGGCAGCAGTTGGTAGATTTGGCAGGCTTTGATTCAAATAGATTTTGAAATGAAATGTTGGATAAAGATTTAAATCTGAGCAAAGATCTGGACCTAGATCTGGATGTAGATCTGGAGCTAGATCTGGAGCTAGATCTGGAGCTAGATCTGGACCTAGATCTGGATCTAGATCTGGACCTAGATCTGCATGTAGATCTGGAGCTAGATCTGGACCTAGATCTGGAGCTAGATCTGGAGCTAGATCTTGACCTAGATCTGGACCTGAAACCGAAGCTAATTGCATTTTTACTAGGTTTGTTGTGTTTGATTTGGATTTTCGTCCCATTTGGATTGAAACAATCTAAAGCGCTACAATATCTTATTTACAATGTTTACAGTATCTACAATATCTACAATATCTTGAAATTTTCCCTGCTTTCTTGAGTGTTTCTTAGTTTTCATGAATCTATAAAAGGTTCTGCGAAAGAAGAGAGTAGAATGAACGTTAACACTTACAGTACTGGACAATGAAATATCATATTTGAAAAACGATCGTCACTTTCGCGCGTCTGTCACTCCCTTGTCTTTGAGTTTAAACTATTAGTGTCATACATTTTCTGAAAGCTCTTTTCAATGGCTACACAATGGTAATATTAATATTTAGAAATACGGTAAAGACAAGGGAGTTACAGACGCGCGAAAGTGACGATCTTTTTCCAAATATCATATTTCATTGTCCAGTAGTGTATATCTATAAGATCTATAAGTTGAACACTTATAGATCATTTAGTTATGTATAATTTTAAGATTTTTGCGTATTTCGGAGTGGGAAGGCGCTTAAAATGATCAATTTTACTTTTTTTGTTCTGCAGTTGGTCTATATGCCGTAAAAAACACGAAAACTGACAAAAGTTTGGTTAAAAACTTGAATCAGAAGGATTCTAATGAAAATTTACGAAATTCAATCAAAACTCAATCAATCGGACGAAAATCCAACTCGAACACAACATATACCTTACGTCCGATTAAGAATGTATTCAAAACGGACGTCCGATTTGAAATATATTCTTAAGTTGACGTTTGATTGAAAATTTATCGAATCTATTGTTTAAAAATGTGAAATGATGCAAATCTAATTTTTTTTTCAAGCATTTACTGTTTTCTTTATTAGTGTTATAGAGAAGGGAGTGGGACAAATGCGACCTTTTTTTGCGCACCCGGACATTTGCGCACCTTTTTTTCCGCACCTTGCCCATTAGCGCACCTTTTTTCGCGTTTTAAAGCTAATACTAAGCTCTAAAAAGCTAATATTAACCAATTTCTATTCCAAAAGTTGTTTTTCTAGGTAGTTTTAGGGCGTAGAATCGAAATTTTGACATATCAGAGCTTGTGGAAACAAACGGACGGAGTTATACAAAGAGAAAAATCGACAATTTTCTGTAATTTGACCTAGCTTTGTCGTTTTGCCGTTTTGTCTTTCAAATTGGTTCCACACGCTTTGTTATGTCAAAATTTCAGTACTTTTCCAATATCGGGGGAGCGGTCCGATTATCGGGGGAGCGAAGGGAAAATCAGGGGAGCAAACTTTGGCAGCGCTACATATGTCCTATATTATACAAACTACCGCCATAAAATCCGCGAATTACCCGTTATTCTCACAACCTTTATATTAGATCACAAAAGTGACTTCAATATCTAACACCCAGCGAAATGGATCTTTTCCCTTTGAGCGGACTTTCATCGATTCGCCACAGTTGCAAATCCACGACTGGATGACTCCTTTGGTGACGAAATAATCGATTGCCGTCGATTCCTTGAACGCACAAATGTCGGAGAACCGCAACGTCGTTAAAGTTTTAAAAAAACGTTGCAGTCAAAATACAGTCCCGGAAATGCATTTTTCGAGAGGGCAAAATTTGCTCCCCCGATTTTCCTTTCGCTCCCCGATAATCCTTCCGCTCCTCCGATATTGGAAAAGTACCAAAATTTCGATTCTACGCCCTAAAATTACCTAGAAAAACAACTTTTGGAATCGAAATTGGTTAATATTAGCTTTTTAGAGCTTTTAGCGTTTTAAAACGCGAAAAAAGGTGCACTAATGGGCAAGGTGCGGAAAAAAGGTGCGCAAATGTCCGGGTGCGCAAAAAAAGGTAGAATTTGTCCCACTCCCATAGAGAATCATAGAGGTGAACGGCTCACGCAATAGTAGTGTTTTTTTTTCTTTGAAAAGTTCTAAAGATACCCTAAAAAGATCTTAAAATTAAGAAAACAGTAAAAACTTATGCAAGCAGTAAAGAAAAAAATGTAAAAAGGCCTCAATATTAGCGTTTGCGCCTTCTAGCTTTCTTGTGACTGCGAATGTCGAGGTTTTCCGTGAATCAATTTGCTATTAGGCAAATGATTCCTTGTGTTAACTAACAAAACTAACATTTATTAGATATTCAAACAGATTTGCATTTCACATCTTTACACAATTGATTATGATTGGGTTGTCCAGTTATGAATGCGCGTTTTTTTACTATTTTGTAAATTTCTCGAGATACCGAAATCAAGAAAAAGATATATATGAGTATTATTCGAAAGCTGAAGATCTCCTCTACATTTTGATATAAAAAGTTTTTGAATTTGTTCAGCTTTTGGGCAAATTGACGGCACAGAAGAAGAGGTGGCCCAAAAATGGAAGGGTGCCTTTGGATCAAGTTTTGGCTCCGCTCAAACTGAGTTAACCGTTTGATGTTTGGCCAATAGATATATCAATACAACTTTTTTTAAAATATAACAACTTCAGAGCATCTTTACTTTTCTTTTCTTTTCTGAGCGGTTATTTTACACCATAAAACTTGAGGAATAGCTAAGCTGAAATGGGTTTTTTCGAAAACGACCTCTCCCTTTGTGCAGTCAATTTCCCAAAAACTTGAATGAATTGAAAAGCTTTTTTATTTCAAAATGTAGAGGAGATCTTCAGCTTTCGAATGATATATAACACTCATATACATCTGTTCGATATCTTGAGAAATTTACAAAATAGTAAAAAACGCGCATTCATAACTGGACAACCCAATAGATTTGATTTGATAAATTGGGTTTTTTTCCACAATGGATTCGGACATCCGATCAAGAATACATTTCAAATCGGACGTTTGATTTTAATACATTCTTAATCGGACATAGCATACATTTACGTACCAAGCTTGTAACTGTACCAGCTTATTGTAAACATCTTTTTCCAAACAGCTTTCATTATTTAAACAGCTTTCCAAACTTCCAAACAACTTTCCTTGAAATGACTATCCAATGTGTTTTAGTGCCAGTGCGGGAAGAGATGCGAGTACGAGACGCGCATCTGGATCCCCTCGACAGCTCCTGGAGAGACGCACCACATGGGAAAGATTCGATTGGATAGACTTCCAGCCGTTAATGCCACTGTTATCACCACCGCATCTTGTCTAGCGTGAAAAACAACGGAAAACGAATGAACAATTGCTTTTTCTGTGAATAAATGTTATAACGGCTTTCTGATGGTATCTATTGGGTTGTCCAGTTATAAATGCGCGTTTTTGAGGGCTTATTCCAAATATTTCTGCAAGTTCACATGTAGTTTGTCGAGGATCAATTTCGATCGCCTGTTTAAGCACTGCATTATCGATCGTAGGAGGACGATTTTTGGGAGATGAGGCCAGTAGTCCTTTGGCCGGAAATCGTTGAAACCATCGCCGACACTGGCTTTCCGAAATAGCATCTGCCAAAATACTTTCCAAAGGTCTCGATGAGATTCAGCGGTATTTTTGACCAATTTGAAGTCATACCAAAGACTGGTACGCAGACGAAACTTCTTGTCGTTCACAGAAATTAAATCAAAAATTGGTTTGACGTCAAAAACACGAAAAGTTATAATAAAATAAGAAAAAGAAAAGAAAAGTTATAATAAAATAAGAAATCCTGAGCAGCATATAGAGAATTGGGTTTAATAAAATTGTAAAGCTCTAAGGAATGCTGTTCAAGTTGTTCAAGAGCAGGCGTGCATTCATAACTGGACAACCCAATACAATTTTAAAGCACTCAACAAAATCTATGATAAGCGGGCACTGTTCTAAGGTTATAAGTGAGAAAAGTTTCAATCTATGTTTATAATTGATGGTAGTTAGCAAAATCAATTTTGAATAGTGCTATTCGAGTAAAGTTTTTCGGAATCTTTTCAATTTTATCGCTTAGGGATTTAGAAATAGGTGACCAAATTAAAGAATAATTTGAGTTGAGATTTGAGAATAATTAAAGAAGCATACTCGAGAATCGGGCGAACGTAGATAATAAAGCATTTCATGTATATATTAATATCTGGTATGCAAATAGATCTAAGAATTTTGCCCGCACAAAAGGACGCCTTCTTACATATTTTTTCTATGTTTTTCTTCAAGAGCAGGCGTGCATTCATTCACTGGACAACCTAATATTAGGTGTGTGAAAAAGTAATCCACGTTTTTTATTTTTATTTTGTTTAAATAAATATATCTAAACAATTTTTAATTTTTTGTGAACGATCTATATATCGTTTAAAAGCTTATTTTTTCCTCTTTCGAATGATATATTTATTTTGTTAAAAGGACGACAATAAACTACTTTAATTTTAGTTTGAAAATGGTATACACAAGTATCGTTATTCCGTCAAATTTGCTTTATGAGTTCAAAAATGGGTTGAAAGCTGCGGAGGCTGCACGTCGAATTCGGAATGCGTTTGACGAAGACGCCGTTATTGATGATACCGCTAGGTTTTGGTTCCGACGATTCAAAGGTGGTAATGAAAGCCTAGAAGATGAACCACGTGGCGGTCGCCCTGAGATCTGTTCTGATGACCAAATAAGACGCTGTCTTCTCGAAAACCCTCGTTCAACCTCTTCAGAAATAGGTCTTACATTAAATTGTGATGGATCAACCGTAATGAAACGCTTGAATGCCATGAATTTTATTTAACGAAACTTATGGTCTATTAGATTTAAACGTTAAAAACGTCGATTACTTTTTCACACACCTAATAGTTGCGAAAAACAACGGAGTTCTCAAGCAAAAGGATAAACTTTGACTTTGAGACTTTGAGAAAAACACAAAAACACAAAAACAAAAGGAGACTTTGCGAAAAACGAGTTCAGCCTTAAAAGGAAAATCTTTTAGGCTGTGTAAAACTGAATTAGACTTGATCTGGTGAGAGTTACAGAAAATACAACTCTGTGTGCCGCATGGTAGTTACAACACTGCTGCATGGTAGTTTCAATTCAATAGTAAAAGTTTTGGAACAATAGTTCAAGCTAGTTCAAGCTAGTTCAAGCCGAAAAATCTTCAATTTCAAAATCTTTTTAAGTATTCTTTCCACTAAACTTTTTGCTTTTTAAGAATCCAAATTTGCGCTTTGAAAGCGCCCCTTCCTATCCCGTTTTCCACGTAATTTTTTGCCTTTATTTTGTCTCCCTTTTCCAATCATTCAATCAAACAAATTGGCTTTATGAGCTCATTCGAAAAATTGGAAAATCAGCCATGTATCCGACTTTGATTTTTCTTCTATTTCCATATTGGATTTATGCGGTGGTGACAAATATCACGGTGATAGGGACAGTCGGTTGTTCGGGGAAGAAAATGGCTGGTGTCAAGGTTGAGCTGTACGATCGAGACGTTTGTGAGTTATTGAATGGAAATACCGTCAAACTTTACGCAAATCAATGTAGAATTGACTTGCTTATCGGCAAAAGTTAGCGCAGAATAGATTATGAATATAGAAAATGGATTATGATAGGTAGACGATAGGGAAAATATCTATGTGATTTCTATTTGGCGTAAACTTTACTGATGAACATTGAGTAGATGATACATGGATATTGCGGTGATAGGGTGATACATGGATATTGAGTAAATTAGGGTAATACTGGGATAGATTTTGTGCATAACTTTTGTTTTGCTTTTGCTTTTGTTTTGCTTTTGCTTTTGCTTTTGCTTTGCTTTTGCTTTTGCTTTGCTTAGTTTTGCTAGCTGATTGCCCTGGTTTTCTGATGGACGAAGAAGCTTGTCAAGCTTAGGCAACTTGTCAAGCCTAGACAACTTGTCAAGCCTAGACAACTTGTCAAGCCTAGACAACTTGTCAAGCCTAGACAACTTGTCAAGCCTAGACAACTTGTCAAGCCTAGACAACTTGTCAAGCCTAGACAACTTGTCAAGCTTACCAATGAAAAGTATAAAGTAGCTTGTTCTCATTGTCCTATAACTTATTCTAACAATGTTTAACAATTCAATTCTAGTAAGCTACAACGATAAATTGGCGACAGTGACCACGAATCGAGACGGGAGCTTTGTGTTGGCGGGAAGTGAGAACGAGAAGGGACTCGAGCCATTCGTTCTCTTCTATCACACGTGTCGGGCTGCGGCGGTGAGCTGTCTTTTGAGCATTGTTTGGTTCAATTGGTATCTAACTTTGCGGGTGACACAACATCAGTGTGGCTGTCTCTGGAATTAGAGATCGGAGTTCGATCCCGGGATCGATCCATGGCCCAGATCCTTAACCTATCCAGCCGTCCTCGCCTTCCCTTCATTGCCAGAACAAGCTATCTAGGAATTGTTCAATAAGAGTGGGGATTAGGAGGCCGTTGAGAATAGGAGGCCGTTGAGAATAGGAAGCCGTCGAGAATGTAGAGAATGTTGTTAGAATATAGAGTGCTGTTGAGTGTCGTTAAGTTCATATAACCCCTAGTATTGTGTGTCGAATTGTGATTATCGTGCCGAAAAAACCACATCCGGGATCCCCGGTGTCTATCTTTATTCAGAAAACGTTTTATTTAGAACTGCTGGCGAGTGACTCACTATGACATCCCGAAGGGTTACGACAATCGAGTGTTTGACATGTCGCTCGTCACCCTCGACATGAAGACTTCCCGTGAGAGAGTGATTTGTTATTGAATAAACGTTTAATGTCGCTTCCTGAAATCACATACATTGCAGACGTTTCATGCTTAATTTCATTCACTAAATTTAATTCAGAACTCATGAAAACATTGGCAATAAAGCACTTCTCCGAGGCCTTAGATGGGCTCTTCTTATACAGGCCTGCAGTGACGTACACGGTAGAGACGACGACTTCGGCTCGCTGAAAGTCCGTCTAAAACGTATTTTCCGAAGTGCCCACTATGAAATTCGTGATCTACGCAAGAAATTACCCAAGAAAAAGTGATTTTCGAAAAAATCTAGTGCCCCCTTAACCCTAAAATTATCAACCTTTCCTTCAACTACAGAAAATCAATCATTTCCTGATCATTTTGACATTTTGAATTCACCCTAACAAAAGTGTTTTGATGACTAAAATGACTTTTAACTGTGATTCATTGCGCCTTCAAAATGGAGAATTTAACAGAAACATCATTTTTTTTAACCGACAAATGCTTGTGGCTTATATTTTGCTGATTTTTCAACTCACAATTGTAGAAGCTGCGTGGACAAATGTGACCGTAACTGGGATGTTCGTTTGTGGGATAAGAGTGCAAAGAAAAGGAATCAGGGTCGAGCTTTGGGAACACGACATTTGTTAGTAAATGAAATTTGATCTAAAATATCTAAAAATTCTAGAGCCAACTCGAAAATGGCTTTGTCGTTATAATAAGTTACAGATTTTTAGTTGATCCTAATGACAAATTGGATGAAACAATCTCGGCACAGGACGGAACTTGGACGGTATCTGGTGGCGAGGACGAGTTCGGAAGCCTTGACGCCTTTATTCTCATCTATCATCGATGTGGATTGGAAACATCGGTAAGATCTGAAATGTGTAAAAGGTTAAAAGTTTTGAAAATTCTGGTGCCATTGGGATCCGAGTTGGTGTAGCTTGTTGGTATACTATCCGAGTTGGTGTAGCTCCGAGCTTTCGACTGAACTCGGAGCTAGCTAGCGTAGAATCCCGGAGCTAATCTTGTTTTGTATTTCCCAACACGATATAAAGAAGGGTTCTGAATAGGCCGATTCTCACCAAAATTCTCGGCAGCTAGAACACCAATGGCAATCTGTCAATGGCAATCTGTCAATGGCAATCTATATGTCCTAGCCGATTATGAATCAAATGATTTCGCTAGCGAAAATCATAATCGGCTAGCCGATTATGAATGAAAGTAGCTTTTTCTAGAAATTTGTCGTCAAATGCAAATTATTTTTTTATGTTGTAGCTGGTAAAACCCCAATTCCCCCAGTTCGAGTACGGATCGGCAACTTTCCCATTTCGACCCAGAATTTAAATGTTTTGAACCGTGATACGTTACTAGTTACCACTTGTTAATCATGCTTTATACTTTCGAACAAAGTTTAAGTTTTCACATTTTTAACTTTTGTCTTTTATATTTTCATCGGACTAAATTTTCTTTTTAGGATGGAGGATCGATTTGCTGAAACCTTCACCCAATATCAATCTAAAAGAAAGAAGATTTTGATACCGATTTTGATACAAATACAATGAAATCGTTGTGAAAATCAAAGAATTCAGCGAGGGAAACGACAAGAAGAAAAAATCACGCGATGATGTCAACTTGCTAAATCGTTTCTCTCTTCGATACGAACAGGACCAGGCAAATCTCTCCAGTCACGGAAGCGGGCAAAACAATCAACCAAAGCGAGTGGTCAAGAAGGAGGAGCTCTTCAATCTACTGATGGATACTCACAAACGACTAGGACACACTGAACGCGACACTATGTGGAAGGAACTTCGCGACTATCACGGAATTTCAAAGGAAATTATTGAAATATTTGCCAAGCTTTGTGATGAATGCGAGCTGAAGAAGGGTATACCCGGATATATAGACGGCTGAAGAATGGTATATGGACGGTGTGCCTGTCGAAAAGCCAACGTCCTCTGTAATAGCCGATGTCACCAGAGCAATTCCTGCTTGGACAAGGGATAAATTTGTAAACCTTTGTTAATCTTTTGGCTTGCTATTGTTATTGTTATGTTTGTCGTTATTGTTTAACTCTAGAAAATTTGTTAATATGTTTTCGTTTACATTCAATAAATGTGGTTAAAACGTCAGGAGTTACCTTGACAACAACATCACTAAACAATTAAATATCAACATAATAATTTGCATTTGACGACAAATTTCTAGAAAAAGCTACTTTCATTCATAATCGGCTACGACATACCGTAAATACTGTAATTGGACCCCATGGGGTACTATTTTTTCCCTCCCCTCTCTAGGGTGGGGTACTATTAGAGGGTGGGGCACTATTAGAGGGTGGGTTACTATTTTACACCACTATTCGAGTTACCAAATCAGGATACATCCAAATAATCTGTTCAAAAGCAAACTTTTTCTTTAGTTTTTATTGGTTTCAGCCATTTGAAAATTTAACAGCAAAACGAAACAAAAACAACTAACAAGCGAAATCAATAGTCAGTTATCACTCAATGAATTCATCATTTTCTTGATCATCAATTCCTCGATGTCCTTGAAATCCCGTTGATGCGAGCGGCTCCAAGAGGTCCTCAATTTCTGTCTCTGTCCGTGCATTTCTCATCGCCTGTACAATAGATTAAAGATAAGTCCACCGAAAGAGCGTTACAAGTATTCCGCCGTGATCTCATTATCGAAGCACTTGCGTTTCTTCTCTTTCCAACAGAGCAATGACTTTGATTGGAGCTTTGTCTCGATTTTTTCGTTCATCGTTTTCCGATGCACCACGACAAAAGGGCGCAACTTTTTCCCATCGGAACGAGCAGTGAGCATCACGGATATATTCATCTTGTCATAGCCGCGGGTGAGAACACCAACTTCTTTGGCTCCAACCGCTTCGATACACTTGCTCGTCGAAGCATCCAGCCAAACCGCCGTCTCATCGCAAGCAACAATGTGCTTGTAATCGCCTTCTTTGATTGTCTTGTTCAGCCTCAGAATGTGCGCGACGATGGCCTTCTCAAATTTGGTCGGCAGCTTTTGACAAGTTGGTGCCCTCAAAGAAAGTTAATGACGCCTCAAGAACGACTCCATCCAGCCATGGGTTCTTTTGAAAGAAATTTCAGCCTTTTCGAATTAGCCGCTTCATTTCAGATAATCCGGCGTGTCACTCGTTTCTTCTCGGCTCGACGATCGACGACGACGTATCCATTCAGCCAAACCGATATCAACCCCCTCAACCGATATTAAAGTGGCTTCTAAGTGGTTCAAATCTTCTAAGTGGACCAATCTTTATTATTTTGGTGTTACTTTGTTGCACTTGTTGAGATCTACAATCATAAAGATTGGCCCACTTAGAAGAAAGTTATGGCGAGCTGCGCAAAAAATTTGGCGCAAAGTAGCTACCCCAAATTTAAAAACAACAAATTTATGGGATAAAATTAAAAATACAAACGATTTCTGAAAATACATGAAAATTTTCCGCTTTAAAAGAGTTGTTTGTAGTTACGCGTTAGGTGGGGGTGGGGTACTATTAGAGGGGTGGGGCACTATTAGAGGGGTGGGGTATTATTTTTTCCCTCCCCCTCTAGGGTGGGGTACTATTAGAGGGGGGGGTACTATTAGAGGGGTGGGGTCCAATTACAGTATTTACGGTATGTATGCTACGTCCGAATCCAACCACGACTGTAATTGTCTTGCCAGTGGCAATCTAGCTATTTTTGCTATTGCTTGTTTTGTGTTTGTTCGATTCGAATGAGTTTGATATCATTCGATAGAGAATTAAATTCTGCATCGAATAAACTCAAATTTACCTAGGCACCGGTGCAGCGCCTCAGAGTATTGAGGCAAAGACAACTACATTGCCGTTTGCCATTGACAGATTGCCCATGACAGATTGTCTTTGGAAGATTGCCATTGACAGATTGCCATTGGCAATATTTGTGGTCGGATTCGGACGCCTGGATCAGAACTGGACCCTGGTCGGATTCGGACGTAGCATATATACAGCGTGGCACACGATTATCGAAGCTCGGTTATTCGACTGTAACTCGACGCGCAATTATCTCGTTTAGTTTTTTAATTTGCCATAACAAAAAAAGCACTTGATTAGCAAAATGACTGTTAGTGATTCATTGAAAAATCTGATTTGATTGAAATTATTAAATAATAGATTATACAGAGTGGCGCACAATTATGGAAACTAGAGAGCGCCTCTGAAATTCCACCTCTGAACTTCATAGTACTATAACAAGGTGTAACACTGTGTTTTTGAACTAAAAATTGAGATTAATCGATTTTTTAGCCCCATTGTCATCGTATCAGTCAATACTGGGTGCCAAAGCGTTTCTATAACTCTGTCTATAAGATGGGGATTGTTGGCCTCGATCTATACACCGAGAATGACACATCTTGGTGTAAGAATCTTAAAGGAAAATTAACGCAACTTAAATGATAATTAATTGATTTTATTGGATAATAAATTCATTTTACCAGTGTACCAGAGTATGCTTTGTTTCAAAAATCACATTTCAATCACATCGCATACATTACAAACATTTAATGCTTGATTTCATTCACTAAATTTAATTCAGAACTCATCAAAACATTGGCAATAAAGCACTTGAATCAACCATTAAAAACAGCACAAGTTAATTAATTAATTTCGAACCTTTCGGTACTTGTGGGGTTGAGGGGGCACTATATTTTTCCGAAAACCACTTTTTCTCAGGTAGTTTTTTTTGCGTAGATCACGAATTTCATAGTGGAAGCTTGGGAAAATGTGTTTTAGACCGACTTTTCGAGGCTTGAAGTCTCTATAGTGTAATGTTTCACTGTAATGTTCCTAGAAAAAGAGCTCAAAAGTGGTTTAAGGAGCCTTTTCCTGAGCCTTAATGGACCAAAAAGACTTTTTCTGAGATGATTTAGGGTCTCGCTTACAATTATAAACAAATTCAAATAGAAAATTTGAAAATAAAAATCTCGAAAATTTTGCGAAATTTTCATGGATGAAAAACATAAAAAATTCGAAATTTTTTAAACTTTTTAAGATCTAATTCTGCTATTTTTATGTTCTGGATGCTCAATTTACTCAAAGAAAGTGTTTTTGCGTGTTGAAAAAAATCCACCGAGGCCTTGGATGGGCTCTACTCATACAAGCCTACAGTGACGTACACTGTAGAGACGACGACTTCGGCTCGCCGAAAGTCCGTCTAAAATGCATTTTCCGAAGTGCCCACTATGAAATTCGTGATCTACGCAAGAAATTACCCAAGAAGAAGTGGTTTTCGAAAAAATAGAGTGCCCCCTCGACCCCAAAATTATCAACCATTCTTCAACTACAGAAAATCAATCATTTCTTAATCACATTTTGAATTCACCCTAACAAAAGTGTTTTGATGACTAAAATGACTTTTAACTGTGATTCATTGCGCCTTCAAAATGGAGAATTTAACAGAAACATCTATTCTTTTACCGACAAATGCTTGTGGCTTATATTTTGCTGATTTTTCAACTAACAATTGTGGAAGCTGAGTGGACAAATGTGACCGTAACTGGGATTTTCGTCTGTGGGATAAGAGTGCTAAAAGGAGGAGTCAAAGTGGAGCTTTGGGAACACGACTTCTGTTAGTAAATGAAATTTGATCTAAAATATCTAAAAATTCTAGAGCGAACTCAAAAATGGCTTTGTCGTTATAATAAGCTACAGACTTTTAGTTGACCCTAATGACAAATTGGATGAAACGAGCCCGGCACATGACGGAACTTGGACGGTATTTGGTGGCGAGGACGAGTTCGGAAGCATTGACGCCTTTATTCTCATCTATCATCGATGTGGATTGGAAACATCGGTAAGATCTGAAATGTGTAAAAGGTTGAAGGTTTAGAACATTCTGGTGCCATTGGGATCCGAGTTGGTGTAGCTTGTTGGTGTAGTATCGGAGTTGGTGTAGCTCCGAGCTTTCGACTGAACTCGGAGCTAGCTAGCGTAGAATCCCGGAGCTAAACTTGTTTTGTATTTCCCAACACGATATAAAGAAGGGTTCTGAATAAGCCGACTCACCAAAATTCTCGGCAGCTAGAACACCAATGGTAATCTGTCAATGGCAATCTATGTATGCTACGTCCGAATCCAACCACGACTGTAATTGTCTTGCCAGTGGCAATCTAGCTATTTTTGCTATTGCTTGTTTTGTGTTTGTTCGATTCGAATGAGTTTGATATCATTCGATAGAGAATTAAATTCTGCATCGAATAAAATCAAATTTACCAAGGCACCGGTGCAGCGCCTCAGAGTATTGAGGCAAAGACCACTACATTGCGGTTTGCCATTGACAGATTGCCATTGACAGGTTGCGATTGGCAATGATTGTAGTCGGATTCCGACGTCGGGATCGGAACTGGACCCTGGTTGGATTCGGACGTAACATATATGCAGGGCAGCACACAATTATCGAAGCTCGGTTTTTCGACCGTAACTCGACGTCCAATTATCTCGTTATATGTAACTCATTTAGTTTTTTAATTTGCCATAACAAAAACAACACTTCGATTATCAATATGACTGTTAGTGATTCATTGGAAAACCTGATTTGGTTGAAATTATTAAATAATAGATTATACAGAGTGGCGCCCAATTATGGAAACTAGAGAGCGCCTCTGAACTTCCACCTCTGAACTTCAAAGTACTATAACAAGGTGTAACACTGTGTTTTTGAACTAAAAATTGAGATTAATCTATTTTTTAGGGGCATTGTCATCGTATCAGTCAATACTGGGTGCCAAAGCGTTTCTACAACTCTGTCTATAATATGTCGCTTGTTGGCCTCGATCTACGCACCAAGAATGACACAACTTGGTGTAGGAATCTTGATGGAGAATTAACGCAATGGTAATTAATGGTTAATAAATGGATAATAAATTCATTTTACCAGTGTACCAGAGTTTGATTTGTTTCAAAAATCACATTTCAATCACATCGCATACATTACAAACATTTAATGCTTGATTTCTTCACTAAATTTAATTCAGAACTCATCAAAACATTGGCAATAAAGCACTTGATTCAACCATTAAAAACAGCACAAGTTAATTAATTAATTTCGAATCTTTCGGTACTTGTGGGGTTGAGGGGGCACTATGTTTTTTCGAAAACCACTTTTTCTCATGTAGTGGAAGGTAGATCACGGAAGATCTCTCGGTAGATCTCAAGTAGATCACGAATTTCATAGTGAAAGTTTGGGAAAATGTGTTTTAGACCGACTTTTCGAGGCTTGAAGTCCCCCGCTCTATAGTGTAATGTTTCACTGTTCACATGTATGCTTTGTTTCAAAAATCACATCATAATCAGCCATTTTTTCTTTCGATAACAATCAATGACTCAGAAGATTTCGATTTGTTTACGAATTTGAGAGAGAAATCTCAAAAATTCCTTTTTCAAGGATATCGCTTTTTTTAAGTTTAAGAAAAGAGTAAGAAAATAAAAATTGAGAAAATAGAAATTGAGAAAATAAAAATTGAGCAAATCGGGAGTATAAAATTGATGTGATCTCGGGGGAAAGGAGAGAAATGAGATGATATCGAGATAGGGATTTGTCTTTTTATGGGCACTCTTTCTCGTAAAACTTTCACTCAGGCTACTCATTTTAAACGTTTTTTTGCCATTTCTGTTTTACTATTTCTGTTTTACCATTGAACGTTTGAATTACAAGTTGAATTTCAAGTTGAATGGAAGTTTGAATGGAAGTTTTGATCCAAATCTTGCTTTGTTTATTTGCTAATTCTTGCTTTGTTTATTTGCTAATTCTTGCTTTGTTTATTTGCTAATTCTTGCTTTGTTTATTTGTCAACTCTTGCTTTGTTTATTTGTCAATTCTTGCTTTGCCAAATCTTTTTTCTCCTCATCTCATTGTCACTGTTTACTAGGATAAAAGTATTCAGTTTTAAGGCTAATCTTTTCCAAGTGATTCCAAATCCAAGTGATTTCAATCAAACTTTCCTCCAAAACAAATTCAACAACAAATTCAACAACAAATTCAACAACATTTTCAACTTAAATAAACTCAAATACTCACTCAGTTAGTCTGAAATTTTAGATTAACAATCGCAGTCTAAAATCTCATCCCAACTTATTCTTAGTATAGTAAAACTAAAACTGTACCTTACAATGCTTTACAAAACCTTACAAAACTCTACTTTACCTTACAATGCCAGCAATTTACTTAAAATTTCATTGTCTTAAGATATCGTTACTATTTTTGCATCGTTCAATCTTTCCCTTTCAGAAATGAAGCTCTTGATCCTTGCCGCTCTTCTTGGAGTCACTTTGGCTAAAGTCTCCACCATTACCGTCAAGGGAATCACCGTTTGCAACAAGAAAAGAGTACCCGGACTTAAAGTTGAGCTGATGGAGGAAGATGGAGGTAAAGTCTAAGCTTTTTGTTCAAGTTTAAGACCCCTTTGCAGTCACCAGAGACGACAAGTTGGCGACGGTGACCACTGACGGACAAGGAAACTTCGAGGTGTCTGGACAAGATGATGAATGGGGAACGATTGAGCCATATCTCTACGTCTATCACAAGTGTCGTATCTTGAAAGAGGTGAAAATCGCAAACTCTTTCCACTTTCTAATAACCAACCCCAAAGAAAGCCAACTGTTTACTTTGATTTGAGTTTTAGACTTCATACAAAAAAGTATTACCGTATTTTCTTTAATAGTAGTGGACCCAGGCGAGCCGAGTTGGTGACTATTTTACAGTTCCCAAGCTTGCGCAGAAGCTCAACACTCAAATCCTCCACTAGATCTCATCGTCAGCTACATTTTCCGACCCCACATCGATAGGTTCTGATAAGCGGTTCTCGAGATTTCGAGCAATTTAGGCGACGCTCATGGTGCACTACTATTAGAGAAAATACGGTAGTATGGACAAATAGCTTGGGTCAAATTTAGCTTCAGCACTTGCAAGCAGAGTTTTTTCAAGATTATTTTTCAGTACAGAGTTGAACCTGGCTGGTTTGTCTTATGGCTTCTGTCAGAGTCAGGCACAGGCTTAGCTTCGGCCTGCAAAAACGGACCCGAGTTCTAGCCTGATCTTGCCTGACTTGGTTTACAAGCAGGCATGTTAACTCCGCCCCTTTTTTTGGTCCGTTTGCCGTTGGCAATCGTGTTTTACTCGTATCTTAGCCGGATTTATTTGAAAAACGTTGAATTTGCTTTCATTCGACTCGAAATCAAATTTTCTATCGAATACAAACAAATCAAATTAATTTTTCTATCGAATGAAAGCAAATTCGACGTTTTTCAAACAAACCTGGTTTGTTTTCAAACAAACCTTTTTGAGAGACGAGCAAGATTCGTAAATTGCCAACGGCAAACACACCAAAAAAGGGGCGGAGATTTGATAGCGACATTTGATAGTGCCGCCCCTTTTGCCATTGGCAATCCAACTTTGAGCTCAATTATCTTGGTGGTGGGTTGTCGAATTTCAATATTCTTGGTATCATTAGATGCGTCAAGTCTTTCTCTATCGATCAGTACAAAAACTATTTAAATTGAACAGTCGAACATCAAGATATTTGAGCTCAAAGTTGGATTGCCAATGGCAAAAGGAGTGGGGCGCGTATAAAAGGTCCTGCACCTTTGCCATTGGCAATCTAATTTTGAGCTCAAATTCCTTGGTGTTGGGCTGTCCAATTGTAATAGTTTTTGTACAAATCGACAGAGAAAGACTTAGCACATGTAGTGATACCAAGAATGTTTAAATGGGCCAACCCAATACGAAGATATTTGTGCGCAAAGTTAGATTGCCAATGGAAAAAGGGGCGGTGCGCGTATAAAATGTCCGATAACCAGATTTGAATACAAGAGTCCTTGCCGTTGGATCAAAATCTAGAAGAACCCAAATAACTTTTCACTCAGCGCATTATTGGTTTGTTATCATTTACCCGATTTTAGTTTGACAGTTTGGGGCGCGTATTAAATGTCTCAAAATCGAGTTAATATGGCTGTTTACAAGCAAAAAAGCAATATTTGGAGTAAATAGCAAGCTGTTCTCATAAAAAAGATCAATATCATCTTATAGCATTTTTAGGGATGCTGGACGAGAACCAAATACGAGGTTTCCTCATCGAAAATCAATGGTGTTTATGACATGACCTATGTGACTCTCGATGTTGTTCAAGCCGAGGAGGATCATGTCTGCTAAATTTTCATAAATTTCTGATTTCAATAAACGTTTCTGAAACAATAGATATTGTTTGTTTTGACTACACATTTTCTGCGGCAATAAAAGTGGTTGAAAAATGGAAAATTTTCACATTACGGAAAATGAAACTTCTTTTCTTGTTGGGTTTCTTTATTTTTCTTGAAGCTAAGCTTCAAACTATCACTATAATTGGCAGTTTTTACTGTGAAGTGGAGAAGGATGGTCCAACCGGTTATTACGATTCTGATTTGAGGGTTTCAGTTGTCGATCATGATTATCGTAAGTTTGGAAGAAAATTTGACTTCTTGTTTTGACAAAATCCAATATGGAAACTGGATTTTGAGGAAATTGAGGAATTGTTTAAAAGTGATTGATCGAAATCTATGAGTCAGCAGTCAGCAGTCCTTTAGTCAGCAGTCAGCAGTCTTTTAGTCAACAGTCAGCAGTCCTTTAGTCAGCAGTCCTTTAGTCAGCAGTCCTTTAGTCAGCAAAGATGACGTGCTTGCTGAAGGCTATTTCAAGGATGGAACCGTCGAATTGTCCGGTTCAACTGATGAGCGTTTCGAGATTGTGCCAAAGATGTGGGTCGATCACCGCTGTGGATGGAACCGAACCGAGCCGGTAAGTTTAACACAATCTGTATTTTATGCGTACATTCGCATAGTCGTCACGATTTTACTGATAATCTGATTAAAAACTGATTAAAAATGCATTTATTGAAAAAAACCCAATAATTTGAAACAAACAAAGGATAAATAATAAGAAATAAAGGTCTAAACACACAATTTTATGGCACTGCAGCGTAAATGTTAATTTTGTTTAAGAAGTCTATAAAAATACATTTGCTTATTTTATAATTTTGTTTTTGTTGTTTCCCTTTGCGCGCAGAAAGTTGAACGCTACTTTTTCTGACTTCTTCTTTTCTCGCCTTTGTCTGCTTTGTGTGAATATGTGCGGGCCTTGTTTTTCCCGATGACTTACTTTTGTTACTGTGATTTTTGTTTTTCGATTTATTCTGTCAGATGGTTCGAATTAATCTTCTAATTTTTTTTTTTGTTCTTTTTTTTTACTTTCTTTCTTTTTCCTTTCGCTGCACTGGGCACTGCGGCTGTTATCCCTACTACCCCCATTACCCTAAATGTTGTGAAAGAAAAAGCCCACCTGGTGGGAAAAGGAAACATTTTTAACTGTAATTTAACTGAGTAATTGAAGCCTCGACCTTCCGCTTATGAGACCAGACTCCTAACCGGTCGGTCATCCGGTCATGATGAAGATTCAAAGATAAACTAAACTATTATAGTCATTCGATAACCCTGAATCTCCTCTTGAAAACTAGTGCAAAGTTACCGAGAACTTTCTGCGAAATAAATAAGGTACTTGTCGGTTAGAAATCCACAAAGACTCATCTCGGTTAAGCATCCCCATCCGAGTCTTCTCGGTGATCGATTTTCGTTCCACTGATCGACTGATAACTTCAGAAGTCGTCAGCTGTCACGAGTCATCAGCTTCTTGCTTCTCGGTGATCGATTCTTGTTCCACTGATCGACTGATCACTTCAGAAGTCGTCAGCTGTCACAAGTCATCAGCTTCTAGCTTCTCGGTGGTCAATTTTCGTTCCACTGATCGACTGATCACTCCAGGCGAGCACTCTACTTCACTGAACATAATCACCCCTCACAGTTGTCAGCACCTTGCTTAACCGAGTTGAGTCTCTGTGAATGTATCACCGACAAGTACCTAAATAACAAAAGTCCGTAAAAGCTTGAGTTAACACCAACATTTTTGGTACAATGAAATGAAATATCTGGACAATGATCTGGACAATGAAATATACTGGACAATGAAATATGATATTTGAAAAACGATCGTCACTTTCTCGTGTCGGTATCTCCCTTGTCTTTTAGTCTAAACTATTAGTCTTATACATTTTCTGAAAGCTCTTTTCAAGGGCTACACAATGGTAATATTAATATTTAGAAATACGGTAAAGACAAAGGAGTTATATAACGCGCAAAAGGGATGATCTTTTTTCAAATATGATATTTCATTGTCCAGTAGTGTACGAGCCAGGTCGTATCGTCGCGAATATGCTAAAAGTTAAGCAGTATTTGAAAGAGAAAGCTGAATTTCTCGGAATTTATCTTGGTAGCTAGAGTTTGATTCTCGTTTTTTAAACTTTTCAAACGTTTTAAACGTTTTAAACGTTTTTCAACTTTCAAAATTGCCGTGACTTTGCCCCTTTATCTCCAACGAGTCGAAAGCGCTGAGAAAAATGCGCCTGAAAAGACAGACAAACAGATAAACAGACACTTTCCTTCTACATGGTAGAAGATAAAGATAAAGGAGATAAGGGGGCAAAGTCACGGTAGTTTTGTATTTATGTTACGTCCAAATCCGACCTAAACCCTTGACCACGCCACTTTGCGTGGCTGTATCTCCAAAACTAGTGGGCCAATTTTGATCATTTTGGTGTCAAAATGATCATTTTTGATCATTTTGTCAAGCAAGACTTATAGATTCTTTTGAAGTTACATCTGAAAAGGTTAATTAGTTAAAGTAAGAAAAAAATCTGAAATTAGTTCGGATTCGGACGGTTAGCTCAGATTTGGAAATTCGAATTCGAACTAATTTCATATTTTTAGGTTCAAGTTGGAATTCTCCCATGTCTAGTATTGGGTTGATGGAAGAGTCCTTTCCGATTTTTTGGGAGAGTACCTTAAATTTATCGAATTTTGACGCTTTATAGCTCATCCGAAAGCTGAATTCAAGACGGATCGATTGGTAAAAACCGTTTTGAGATATCTCTTTTCTAAAAGGTTTTTACAGCTATTTTAGTAAAGGGCGGCAGAGCCAAAAAATGGCTGTTTTCACGTTTCGTTAGTTTTCCGTGCAGAAACCTCGGCTAAAAACATGTGTTTCGTGATCAGCGTCAAAAATAACCCCTAGACACGCATTTTCAGAATCTTAGCAAAAAATTTTTGAAAAATATTGTTACCGGTGGAAGTCGAACCAGCGACCCTCAGATCTTTCCGCCGCTTTTCACGATTTTCCTTCGTTTTTCGCGAACCTAGGCTAAAAACAAAAACATGTAACTGTTAGTAACATGTTAGTTACATGTTTTTGTTTTTAGCCTAGGTTTCTACACAAAAACTAACGAAACGTGAAAACAGCCATTTTTTGGCTCTGCCCTTACTAAAATAGCTGTAAAAACTTTTAGAAAAGAGATATCTCAAAACGGTTTTTACCAATCGATCCGTCTTGAATTCAGCTTTAGGATGAGCTATAAAGCGTCAAAATTGGACAAATTTAAGGTATTCTCCCAAAAAATCGGAAAGGACTTTTCCATCAACCCAATAGATACTTTGATACCTTTCAGTCTGCTATTGAGTATACTTCATCTCACAAAATCAAAGCAGAAAGAGTCCAGAAGCAGAAGCAGAAGCAGAAGCAAAAGCAGAAGCAGAAGCAGAAGCAGAAGCAGAAGCAGAAGCAGAAGCGAAAAAGCAGAAGCAGAAGCAGGAAGCAGAAGCAGAAGCAGAAAGTTTAGCAAAAACAATATTTAGGAAGAATGTTACACGAGAACGGAGTTTTTCATTGGAAAAGAATGGATTGATAAAATTTATTACTTCCGTGTGTTTCTGGATATCCCGCTTTCGGATCCGGATAATATGATAAGAAAAGAGACAAGAAGGTAAGCGATTTCGGCTCCTTTTCAAGCGTATTTTGCTTGTAAACAAAAATGGACTTTATCATCATTTTTTAGATGCAATGGTCGGCGTCGAAGCAAACTTCAACCCCAACAAATTGATTCTCAGACTTCTGAGTAAACATTCATTCTATCTTTCTATGTCGTTTGCTTTAAAATCAGCTAGCCTTTTGCTTTAAAATCTTTCTGTTAGCTTTCTGTTAGCTCACAGAAAGTGGTCTTTCCGGGTCTCTCCATCACCACACACATTTCATTATTTGGAAGATAATAAGTCTTTCGCTGCATCACTTCTTGAACAGCTTCCTGAAAATGATTTATGAAATGATTTATCATTCCTAGAGCAGGATCATTCCTAGAGCAGGATCATTCCTAGAGCAGGATCATTCCTAGAGCAGGATCATTCCTAGAGCAGGATCATTCCTAGAGCAGGATCATTCCTAGAGCAAAATCTCCAGGCCAGGCCAGGACCAGAAAGAAAGGGGTAAGCTAATGGATAAAACTTGCTTTAAAAAGTTTAAAAGTGCTTTAAAAGGTGGGTTTGCTGTCGTTTGCTTTAAAATCAGCTAATCTTTTGCTTTAAAATCAGCTCACAGAAAACCAAATTCAAATTCAGATTCCAAATTCTAAAAAAGCCTTTCAAATTTCAAATCAAAGCCTTTCAAAATCCCATTCGAGCTCTCAAAATGCCATTTGTTTTGACTAGAAAATGTGAATAAAAAACAATTTCTAAATCTTTCGTATTGTAGATCGATTTTGGGGAAAATATTTCAATTTTGGGGAAAGTTTGCTGTTGAAAAATCATTCAAAAGAATGACCTTCAAGCTTTTATCATTTTTCCCATTATTTCTCTACGTCCAAAGTCATCTTCAAACCGTGGCAATAAGGGGTCAAATCCTATGCACAGTTGATGGTGGACGATATCATGATTCCGATTTGAGAGTCTCCATTGTGGATCACGATTATTGTGGGTTTTTCTGGGGAAAGTTTGAGCTCAGCCAGTCCGTCAGCCAGTCCGTCAGCCAGTCCGTCAGTCAGTTCGTCAGCCAGTCGTCAGCCAGTCCGTCAGCCAGTCAGTCAGCCAGTCAGTCAGCCAGTCAGTCAGCCAGTCTCGCAGTCAGCCAGTCAGTCAGCCACTTTTGTGCTTAAATTACGAAATCGATTCATTTAAATGATTTCGGACTCTATATTTCTTTAAATATTTGTCGCTTAGGTAATTCATTTTGTCATTTTGTGCTTAGGTAATTCATTTTTTTCAATAAGAACTTCAAACTATTAAAAGTAAAATGAATGTAAGTGATTTCACAACTTTAAATGTTTATCTTCAAAATCTAATATATATATAAATGTTCAACTGGAATCTAATCTACTATGTATAAAAAAATAAAATGTCTATCCGTCCGTCTGTCACGCCTACGCGACAATACAAAATGCTATTTGTATATTAACGTAAAATTACAACGAGGTGAGCTAGAAAGCTGAAAATTTGTACTCGAGGGTTTCCGGGGGCGAGAAATACGAATCTGCAATCAGATTTGTGCTACGTGGTCTCAGTACCTCTAGGTAAAATATCCGTGCGGCCGCGTAGCGGACTCCAAACGCAGCCAGTCAGTCCATCAGCCAGTCCATCAGCCAGCCAGTCACCAGTCCGTCAGCCAGTCCATCAGCCAGTCCGTCAGTCAGTCCGTCAGCCAGTCCGTTAGCCAGTCCGTTAGCAATAAACTTGAAAAATGAGCCATTTTAGCTAAAAGTTTCAGGATTAGGGTAAAAAAGTTTGCTGATATATACAAAAAAATAAAACGTCTATCCGTTCGTTCGTCTGTCACGCCTACGCGACAATACAAAATGCCATTTGTACATTAACGTAAAATTACAACGAAGTGAGCTAGAAAGCTGAAAATTTGTACTCGAGGGTTTCCGGGGGCGAGGAATCCGACTGCGCCACGGCGACAAAACCTCTGCCCCAAAACATCCCGGCAGAACAGCCGTTAGACGGGTTTTTTGGTTGGTATCTTTATAGTAAGAAAGGAATGGAACCAAGAGGGAATTGAACCCTCCATCTTCCGCTTACCAGGCTGATGGCTTAGGCTTAGGCCCGACTGCGCTATCGGCGCCTTCTTTGGCCGAGAAGGAATGGGAAATTCAAGGAAGAAAGAGAGGGAAATACCTGAGTTTTCAGAACCTTCTTCAGTAGAAATTTAAGTACAATACCAGTGATCTTCTAGTCAGCAGAGACGATGTGATGGCTGAGGGATTTTTCCCGAATGGAACCGTTTCCTTGACGGGAACGCTCGATGAATATTTCAAGATTCAACCGAAGATCTGGATCGATCACCAATGTGGAATGGGACGGAAACAACAGGTCAACAAAACAACAACAATTAAAAGCTTATTTGATCAAAGTAAGGAAGAGCGGCTAAACTGAGTTTGGGTAGACGAAATTAGCTTTTATTGACACAATTGTTGACAATTAAAGAATTGATTGACTGTTCATTGGCTAGTGATTTTCTAGATCTAGAAACAAGAAAATGTGTACAATGTTTTGTTTTGAAATGCCAATTTGTCAGGATTGCTTCACACGAACGGAATTCTTTATCGGTGCGGATGTAATCAATAAGATTTATGATTTTGGAAATCTTTTCTTAGACAAAGGCGAGAAACCCTACAGGAACAATAAAATCAAGTGAGAGATTCACAAAAGAAATAAGTAAAAAGATCAATAAAATATTGGGTTGGTGAATTGAAAACTGCGGGCTATTGTCACATGTGACAGTTTGAGCACTTTCTTCAAAAGAAACCCATTTTGGTGTCAATGGAAAAGTTGTAGAGAATCAAAAATCAAGCTTATATCCAAATTTTCAGAACGATTCAAAAACTGGTTTTCAAGAAATGCCAAGTTTAAGAAAGAAATGCCAAATCTTCACAAAACTTGCATTTTAAGCGAAACTACTAAGTGTATCTTTTTGGAAATTTGGCTATAAGCCTAATTTTTGATTCTCTACAACTTTTCTATTGACACCAAAATGGGTTTCTTTTGAAGAAAGTGCTCAAACTGGGATCTCCAGTCTCCATCTCCAGTCCTCCATTTTTGAGTCTCACACTTGTCTCATACACAAACCGAAATCCTACTATGAAAGAGGAATCCGCAAATTGCCTGTAAAATGGGCAGAAGTTGTTAATAATAATGAAGATTATTTGGAATGATTCGATGGTTTTATGTTCAATAAATTTTAGTTCAAAGTCCCGCAGTTTTCAATTAACCAACCCAATAATATGCAAATTGTTATTTGTTGGGTTTTCTAGTTATGAATGCGCGTTTTTTACTATTAGAAAGCTTGATATAAAAAGTTTTTGAATTCATTCAACTTTTTGGGAAATTGACTGCACAGAAGAAGAGGTGGCCAAAAAATGGAAGGGCGCCTTTGGCTCAAGTTTTGGCTCCGCTCAAATTGAGTTAACCGTTTGATGTTTGGCTAATAGATATATCAATACAACGTTTTTTAAATATAACAACTTCAGAGCATCTTTACTTTTCTGGGCGGTTATTTTACACCATAAAACTTGAGGAATAGCTAAGTTGAAATGGGTTTTTTCGAAAACGACCTCTCCCTTTGTGCAGTCAATTTCCCAAAAAGTTGAATGAATTGAAAAGCTTTTTTATTCCAAAATGTAGAGGAGATCTTCAGCTTTCGAATGATATATAACACTCATATACATCTGTTCGATATCTTGAGAAATTTACAAAATAGTAAAAACGCGCATTCATAACTGGACAACCCAATACTTTTAGTATCATTGGAGTCCTTCTCTGTCGATTGGTACAAAACTATCACTAGTACAAACTGGACAACCCAATAGATGCTATTTAGATGTTATTTAGATGTTATTTAGATGTTATTTAGATGTGAGGGCCGTAGGAAAAACCCGAAGAACTCGCAAAAATTGCTACAACGTTTCATGAATGATCTCTATTTACATCAAGATCAACAAATCGAGAAACCAGAGAGAATTCAATAAAGGAAAAGACCTACTATGTACAGAAATTGAGGGAATACGAGAAAATTGAAAGAAAGAAACTTGACTCATTGACTCTTTTTCATCGTTTTGTGTTTATCCTCGTATGGCCGGATTACCATGTACCAAATCATGTCCGACAATGAGATCACTCCCTGCAATTTAAAGTTTTTAAGAGAAATTTTTGAGGATAAGTTACATTAGCGAGTAAGCTTCTAGTTCAAGTTGGTTTGGAAGAGTTTTTTTACTAAATGCTCAGCCAAAAACCCGTCCCAAATGTGGCCAATGCGCCACAAGAAAACTTTCCAACGGCTTCTGTGGTCTAGTGGATAATGTGCTAGTCTTCGGAACTTATGAAGCTTTTTCGGCTTGGGTTCGAATCTCCCATAACCAATTTTCTTGTTTTTCTTTTTCTTTTCTTTTTTGGACACATTTGCATTAAATATTTATGTTTTATTCATCATTTTACAGCTTCTACAGCTTCTACAGCTTCTGCAGCTTCTACAGCTTCTACAGCTTCTAAAGACATAACATGCTAATGGAATCTTTTTCCAGGAAAATTCATAGACATTTTCGAATTCTGGCATCATTTTTTCATGACTTTATGAATTCTAGAAATTCTAGCAGCAAAAAATCTTCAAATTTGACGATACAGTCAACCGCAGTGCCCTTTTAACTGAAAATTGCGTTGTTTTACTGCAAAATTTCGCGTTGTTATCATGCGACTCCATAAAAAAACTTTGTCTTTTCATTTTAAGCCTACGTTGAACTCGATTTGAACTTTGAATTGTTATTGTGTATAGTTCTAGACCTTTAAAATAAGATCTTTTTTGTTTAAACTAATTGTAAGTCATTAATAAGTGACAGCATGTAGTGTCAGATTCAATCAGACAGGTCACTTATTGTTCATAAAATGATTATTAAATGTACTCTTTCCATTGTACTCTTTCCATTGTACTCTTTCCATTGTACTCTTTCCATTGTGCTCTTTCCATTGTACTCTTTCCATTGTACTCCTTCCATTGTCCTCTTTCTAGTCAACTGCATCATTTTGTCCTCAACTAACCTTCAAATTATTGTTGTCATCGATTGCAAAAAGTCTATGTACATTTCTCTCAATGAACACCTCGAGCACCGTCCACATCGTGGCGTTCTCGGCGACGGTCACCACCGAATCACCGCCACTTGTACCACCCTAGAAAAGATTTTTGGTGTAAAACCTACAATAAAATCCAGCTATGGGATAACTTGATGCTTTAGAGTTTAACCTTTAACACATTTACACCCACCGGTTGGCCACCGGTTGGCCACCGGTACAGCCCACGGGTGGACCGTACATGATTTAGCATTTTTTTTGAGGCCGATTGCTCTGAAAATTTGCACCAGGGGTTTTCGACGATGAGGAATTCGAATCCCTAACTGGTTTCTACAGAAAGCCGCTCTATTTTTGAAAATTTCATTTGGTTTAATTACCCAAGTTTTTAGAGAGTTTTGTGATTTGTGATGATCGTATTGGCTTGGAAATGAAAGTCGCTCAAAAACTCATAACGGATTCCGATTCTCTATCCCAGAATGCCCGCGGTTACAAATTTTCAGATCTACAGCTAACATAGATAGCTTTAAAATAGCAGCAAAGACAAAGATGGCAACACTAACAAACAAAGTGCTCCTCCTGTTCACCGCTTCTTCGACGGACATGTCGAGTTTCGGGAAATTCTCATCAAATCCAACAGCAATCGCGTCGAATCGCGTGTAAACATTGACTAGCTAAAAATTTGAAGGGTTTTTGCTATTTTTCTTTAATGTGTTTACCTTTTTAGAGCCATTTTCCACGACTGGAACGCCACTGACGCGTTGATCGATGAGAAGATCAAGCACATCGATTAGAGGGGTTCTTTCTTCGACCTAACAAAAATCGGATGAAAGGGGGAAGAATGAAATTGTTAAAATCAAATATAAAGCTTCAAAATAAACAAAATACCGTATTCTCTCTAATAATAGTGCACTCTTTAATAGTAGTGCTCTTTAATAGTAGTGCACTCTCTAATAGTATTGCGGTCCAGGAGGGAGTTGAAAAAATAGTAGTGCACCCACGAAAATTTGAATTTCTGGTTCTTCTTTTCATCTAGACCTTTTTGACTTTATGTTTATGTGACATTCTAAAGCTATTCAAGCAAGCAAAAATGAGCCTTTTTTATTCATTTATTAACTATTTTTCACATGAAAAAGTTAGCAAAAAATCTAAAATTGTCGTGCAAAGTGCAAAAACATCTTTTTGTTGTTTGTCAAGACACAAATTGTCAACTCGCCGGCCCACAACTGTATGTCAGGAGCCAAAGACAAAGGAGCCAAAGGAGTACGTGAAAGAGTTGCAAGAATTTTTGGAACAAATCTTAGATCTGTCTTACTTTGGTAAATGATAAAGCTCTTTAATAGTACTGCACTCTCTGATAGTATTGCGGTCCAGGAGGGGGTTCAAAAAATAGTATATTACTACTATTAGAGAGAATACGGTAAACAATATAAACTCAAAATTTACGCACATAGATGATATCTTTCCAGCAGCCGAGTTGAAGCTTTTGAATGCTTTCACTCATGTAGGCAGGTCGGGGCAAAAGGAGACACTAAAAAGTGCAAAGATGAGACTTTTAGCGATAAGATTTGAATGAATAATTGGATTAATATAATAGTAAACTTTCTATAATATTGAATTTCAGTTTGTGAAGTTTCAGTTTTTGAAATTTTCAGCTTTAAGGTTTAAGTTTACAGAGAATTTCACACTTTCACGCTTTCAGCATATTGCACTCGGCTGAAATGAGCACTTTACAGTTGGCTGTTGGCTATATACAGCTTTACAGCTGTTGGATACACCAAAATACTTCTTTATCCTCTGTATTAGATTTCTTTAAGCTGATTAACTTTTCAAAGTTTACTATTGGGTTGGTGAATTGAAAACTGAGTAAGTAGCCGTGAGTAAAGTAAAGTGATCAATTTAGAGGAAAAAGAGATTTTTTTGAACTATCTACCGTAATCCTGTCTGTCCGAAAGTCCAGACAGACAGGTTTACGGTAGTGTCTGAAAGGTTTTCGAAAAGAAAAATCAGTTGAAGTGTTGTATTATTTGCGTTTTTTTGGAAAGTAAAGTCTAGAGGGCCACTTGTTCAGAGTTTCTTCCAGCAGTTTTCATTTATTTGATTGGTGAATTGAAAACTGCGGGCTATTGTCACATGTGACAGTTTGAGCACTTTCTTCAAAAGAAACCCATTTTGGTGTCAATGGAAAAGTTGTAGAGAATCAAAAATCAAGCTTATAGCCAAATTTTCAGAACGATTCAAAGACTGGTTTTCAAGAAATGCCAAATTTACGAATTTTCACAAAACTTGCAACAAAACATGCATTTTAAGCGAAACTACTAAGTGTATCTTTTTGGAAATTTGGGTATAAGCTTGATTTTTGATTCTCTACAACTTTTCCATTGACACCAAAATGGGTTTCTTTTGAAGAAAGTGCTCAAACTGGGATCTCCAGTCTCCATCTCCAGTCCTCCATTTTTGAGTCTCACACTTGTCTCACACACAAACCGAAATCCTACTATGAAAGAGGAATCCGCAAATTGCCTGTAAAATGGGCAGAAGTTGTCAATAATAATGAAGATTATTTGGAATGAATTTATGGTTTTATGTTGAATAAATTTTAGTTCAAAGTCCCGCAGTTTTCCATTCACCAACCCAATAGTTTAAGTTGTATAGTTTGTTCGATCGGAACTAACGTAATTCCACAAGAAGTGCAAAATTCGCCGATGTGTGAGAATGAACATGCAATCGTTGGTCGATTTGTCCATGATCGGTAAACGGTGCACTCGGCGAGACCACAAAATTCGCACCGCGTGGAATAAACTAAAATTATCAAGTTGAAGAGATGTCAAATCTTAAAGGAGGGGTTCGAATTAGAACCATTTCCCACTAGTTTAGACTAAGTAAACCCGGGTTCCAATTGGTAGAATCAATAAAATGAATAACGCCAAGAGATTCGCCGACCCCGAAAACCGCCGGGTACAAACTTACAGCTGAATATCTTCTTTTTATGCCATGTACAATGCAAAAGCAGAATCCCTATGTAAATCACTAGCGAGATGCCCTTTGTGCGCGCCAGTAAATGCTCTCCATCTGGCGCCTCCTCTCGATAGATAAGCGTTCCCTTTTGAAATCCCTTGAAGTAGAAGGAGCGGTGAATAGCTGTGCGGAGGGTCACTATGCCCAAATTTTTGGGATCAGTTCTTGCCTTAAATATTATTAGAAATGTGGTACAAATTCTACATCCGTCCAAATCAAAAAATCAAAAATAGCTGAAATACTGAAGTTTCGAGGACGCAGTTGGAAGAACCCTTGGAACCGCAGTTGGAAAATGCTGAATGGATCATTCCAGGAGATTATCATTACTACAAGCATGGAATGCTCTTTCGCGGAAAGTTTGGATGAAAGTTTGGATCAGTTTGGATCAGATCAGTGAGTGAAAGCGCCTGTTTCACTTTGGATCAAGGACTGGATCTGGTATCTATACATAAAAACTGGTCTAGTAGGGTACTAATCACGCGCTTAGAAGTCGCATTTCCGATCATCCAAAGTCGCATTTCCGGTCATCCAAACACGCAAAAGCTTTATTCTTATCAGGTTCTACAAATTTTCGATCTTGTCAAACTAACTATAAAATACCAAAGTGAGGGTTCAAGGTTTAAACTGACCAAAACTGATTCCATCCTTTAATACCTGATAAATGATGGATAAAACGATTAACTTTAGTCATTTCTAAACGAAATATGTAACCTAATTCGAACCCTCCTTTAAGATTTACTTGTTTACTTCAACTTCACCTGTCTTTTATATTGGCCGTGATGAATCCCCGATAGGTTTCACTGTCCAACTTTTGATGCTCTAAAAATGTGCTTGAGAAATTAACTGATAAAATTGGTAAATATTGCTACATATTGGTGAAAGTATTACGCTTTTGCGCACCGGGTTCACATTGTCGGCTTGCGCCAGAAATTCTACCTTTCCAGCGCGAGACGGGCATGCAACCGACGAGATCGGCCAACACTTGTGGGCTCAACCCATTGCTGCTCTCATTTTCTAAAGTTCTTGCAAATATTATATGCTTTCTGCAAATTATATATGCGTTTTGCGGGCATTGCAAAGGAAAACACAATTTGAAGTTGTCGATCATCTAATGGAAATATTCGGAACGTTTGGACCCAAAAATTCTTCAGTCCGACAACGGAAAGGAGTTCGCCAACAGATTGATAAGCTTTTACTTTTGTTTGCAACTATAGCACTTGCATAAGCACTTGCATAAAACACAATTTGAAGTTGTCGATCATCTAATGGAAATATTCGGAACGTTTGGAGCCCCAAGTCCGACAACGGAAAGGAGTTTGCCAGCAGCTTTTACTTTTTGCCAGAGTAAGCTTTTACTTTTGTTTGCAACTATAGCACTTGCATAAGCGTAATAAATTTTTTGAATTTCTTTTATTTAATTCTTTCAAACATAAATCCCCAAAATCGGTAGTTGAAAGAGAAAAAGTGATATTAAACGACTAGAAAGCGAAAGAATGACTGGAAAAATTTACCGTTTATTTGCTTCTGGTATTTCCACAGCTTCATCAAAACCATAATAAAATCGGTCACCGAAAGAACACCAATAATATTGTACGATTTTGGATCAACAATTAAACCCGTTCTCGTAGCTGAATGTTTTCTGTACAAAAGTTACAAAATTTCAACTCACAATTGTACACAAGTCCATAGAAAGCTTTACGCACCGGCATATCGCTCGTGAATGCGACAATTTTTTGGTTAAGAGCCATTGCTTCGTAGCATTGGCTCAATTGGAGGAGATGAGTGTAGACAAAATCGGGTTCATCTGAAACTCAAGATTTCTAAAAGAGTCAAGGGAAAGATACCGAGTCTAGCTGGTTTTCTTTGACTCGAGTCAGATTTCTTTGACTCGAGTCAAATTAGAGTCAGTCAGTCATGACACGAGTCAACAATTCAAGTCAGTCATGACTGACTGACTGTCATGACTGACTGACTCTCTAACATGACTGACTGACTCTATAACATGACTGACTCCATACCGTGACTGACTCTATAACATGACTGACTCTAATTATAGAGTCAGTCATGTTATAGAGTCAGTCATTGGGATTTTGAATCCGTTTTTAGTTTTTACAAAACGCTTCGCAAACGTCGTGGGATATTTGGCATAGAAAATCACCTTGAATTTTGAGCTCTTTATGAGACCGTCCTAAAAACTGCTTCGATAGTCTGGTGGATAGTCTGCTAGGCTACGGAATTTAGTACATTTTGGCCTTTTAGTACATTTAGTACCCCTTCAAGTTCGGGTCTCACTCTCGTCAAATTTTCTCACTTTTTAAAAAACTTTCCTTACATATTTGCATTGAATTGTTGACTCATATTTGCATTGAATTGTTTACACGTTTGTTGTTTTTTACAGGGCTTTCTGTAACTTCAACAAATAATTTACAAAAGCTAGAACCTTTTAAAGTATCCGATTCAGTAGATAAGTATTAAAATAACATTTGGCGAAGAAAGCGAAGAAAATTCAACTAGTTTATTCATTGCAAATATGTAGGGAAATAGCTTTTTAAAAAAGCAAAAAAGTTTGGCGAGAGTGGGACTCGAACTTGGGGCAAAGAATGTAATTGGTTTAGTAGTCTACCAGGCTGCCTACTAGACTACCAAGCTACCAGGCTATCTACTAGACTACCAGGCTACCAGGCTGCCTACTAGACTACCAGGCTACCAGGCTATCCACTAGACTACCAGGCTACCAGGCTGCCTACTAGACTACCAGGCTACCAGGCTATCTACTAGACTACCAGGCTACCAGGCTGTCTACTAGACTACCAGGCTACCAGGCTGCCTACTAGACTACCAGGCTACCAGGCTATCTACTAGACTACCAGGCTACCAGGCTGCCTACTAGACTACCAGGCTACCAGGCTGCCTACTAGACTACCAGGCTACCAGGCTGCCTACTAGACTACCAGGCTACCAGGCTATCTACTAGACTACCAGGCTACCAGGCTGCCTACTAGACTACCAGGCTACCAGGCTATCCACTAGACTACCAGGCACTAGCCTACCAAAGCCGTTATTTAGGGAGCGTGTAGCGGCATCTTAAAAAGTCCAAAATTTAGATAAAAGGCCAGCTTGATTTGGTGTCTTTCCCTCGACAGAAATCTCTTTTAAAGCTTTTGGAGCCAAGTCATCTCTTTTAAAGCTTTTACAGCTTTTGCTTTGGGCTTTTGTGCTTATAAACTGTAATCTAAAGTAAGTCCAGTAAAATTGTTCTACCTATCGGAACTGATGCGACAATTGTGTAGATTGCCTCTTTATTTTGAGAGCTTTTCGGTGACGCGGGGCCATCGCTTGTTGTCGGCACGCTGATATCCCTAAAATGTTAGTGTATTCAACTTTAACAGCAAATTCTATCAGCTTTTTTATTTAGCTGGTACTGCGGCTGTTCTTTGAATTATTTGGTTCTCAGCTAGACACGAATTTATATTCGTTTTCGATTCTTTTTCAAGTCGATTCATTTTCGAGTCGATTCTTTTTCAAGTCGATTCATTTTTGAAGCCATCCAGAAAGTCTTTTTTGTTTCTTTTCATACTTTCGTTGAAAATAACCAATTCACCAATTAACCTACCGTAAATACTGTAATAGTATCCCACCCCCATAATGACGGTGCGGAGTGTTGCGTAGTCTAGCTTTGAACGAGTTTTTCTCGACACTGGTTTATGCTACAATGCGCGTTTAGGTATCAAAAAATAGCTGAAATTCAGGGCTATTTTTTGATACCAAAGACGTATGTTTTACTGTAATAGTACCCCACCCTCGTAATGACGGTGCGGAGTGTTGCGTCGTCTAGTGTGTCTAGCTTTGAACGAGTTTTTCTCGACACTGGTTTATGCTACAATGCGCGTTTAGGTATCAAAAAATAGCCCTGAATTTCAGCTATTTTTTGATACCAAAGACGTATTTTTTGAAAGTACGGGCGCTTTGATAAAAAATGAAATACTAAAAAACTTTTGCGACTACGTGACTGTACGAGGGGGTGGGGCACTATTACAGTATTTACGGTATAGTTTGCTTTCAATAAAAGCTATTGGTATCGATTAGCTTGATCTCATAGACCAATCTTTTCTTTAAATTTTATTAGGCTGTCCAGAAAGTCAGTTGAAACGTGGAAAAATAACAAATTCACCAATTAACCTATGGTTTCCACTCAATAAAAGTGTTTTTTTGTTCGATTTCCAACTTTTTAAGTCAATTTTGGTTGACTTTCTACCAAATTCGAGAATGAAAACGTGTTTTTGATCTATAAAAACCTCTACGAAGAAATTGGTTGAAGCAATTTCTCTGAAAATTTGGCTATATACTAAACTTTTTGTGCTCTATCTTTTATCTATTGACACGAAGATAGGTTTCGTTAGCTAAAGTGTCTAATTTGATCGATTCCATCTATTTACATTATCGAGCCATCGCCCTTTTTGACTACCCGACTTTACGCTCCCAAAAAAAGCCAGACATATTAAACCCGTTTTAATGTTATTTTGCTTTTTAAAAAGTGTTTTTATTCAATTCTCCATCTATTCAAGTCATTTCGGTTAACTTTCTACCAAATTCGAGAATTCGAGAATGTTTTTGATCTATAAAAACCTCTACGAAGAAATTGGCTGAAGCAATTTCTCTGAAAATTTGGCTATATACCAAACTTTTTGTGCTCTATCTTTTATCTATTGACACGAAGATAGGTTTCCTTAGCTGAAAGTGTATAAACCGCATCATCGAAACGCATTTTAACTGCCCGACTTCACGCTCCTAGATATCAGACAGTGCTACCCAGATATCAGACAGTGTAAACCAATTTTAAATGTCATTTTGCAGAGAAATAATTGGTTTTTTTAATGAAATAAACCGTCGTTCAATTGGTGCATTTGTTGGTTTTAAATGGAAGTACGAAAAGAAACGAAAAGACTTTCTGGACAGTCTAATATCTTTTGTTTTAATATCTTTGGTCAATAAGGTGTAAAAACGAACGCGAAATGTGTGTCTCCGCCATTTTGAAGAGCCAATAAGCCATCCAATGGAACGTGCTTGAGTGGGACGACGAAAGCATGGCTCAAGTCGATCACCGCTGAAATGAGAAAATGAGACTAGATTGCGAGTTTTCGGACATTTGATACACGCTACGCCCTTTTGCCATTGGCAATCTAACTTTGAGCTCAAATTTCTCGGTGTTGGACTGTGCAATTTAAATATTATTGGTATCATTGGATGCTCCAAGTCTTTCTCTGTCGTTTGGTACAAAAACTATTTCGATTAGATAGCTCAACACCAAGAGATTTGAGCTCAAAGTTAGATTGCTGATGGCAGAAGGGGCGACGGACCTTTTATATGCGCCGCGCCCCTTTTGAATGAAACTCTGAATGAAACTCTTTTCTAGCTGAAGCTTCTAGCATTCTAGCTGAAGCTTCTAGCATTCTAGCTGAAGCTTCTAGCTGAAACTCTTTTCTAGCCAAACCTAAACGAGATGGTAGAGTTGAATTTTTATTCGAAAAGTCAAAAAACAACTTTCTTTATTCCTATTTATTCATTTCTAAAGTAATACATAGACAAACCGCTTTTTTAAAGTTAGCGTTTGGATTGTGGGACCTTTTATACACATCGCGCCTCTTTTGCCATTGGCAATCTAACTTTGAGCTCAAATATCTTGGTGGTGGGTGGTCCAATTTAAATATTTTTGATATCATTAGATGTGCCAAGTCTTTCTCTATCGATTGGTACAAAAACTATTTAAATTGAACAGCCCAACACCAAGATATTTGGGCTCAAAGTTAGATTGCCAATGGCAAAGGGGCGGGACATTCCTTTTATACGCAACTCGTTTTGCCCCTTTGCCATTGGCAATCTAACTTTGGGCTTAAATATCTTGGGGTTAGGCTGCTCAATTTAAACATTCTTGGTAGCACCAGATGCGCCAGATTTCTCTGTCGATTGGTACAAAAACTATTTCAATTAAACAGTCCAACACCAAGAGATTTGAGCTCAAAGTTGCATTAGCAATGGCAAAAGGGGCGGAGCCAGTGAAATTTGGTTTGATTATGAGTTTGGTTCAAATCAAGCTGTTTTTGTTGCTTTTAATTTCATTAAAAAGTATAAAAAGATAAAATTCTGTCAAGCGCTTTCAATATTATTTGTTGCTTTTTGATAAGTTATCAAAAACCGGGAAAAATTTTCCGCAAAACTCACAATCCGGCAAAAACGTAGTCGCTTTGTTTCTCCTCAATCCGCTTCCATCCATACAGAAGAAATTCTCTAATTTTGCTTCAAAGAAATTCTTCAATACAATTTTGCTGTAAAAATTGATAAACTGAAAAGCCAGACAAGTTTTGAAAGACAAGAGAATGAAAAAGTGAATGAAAGTAATGTCGAATTAGTTTTTCGCGGGGCAGCTGTGCTTTGTGAAAAAAGAAATGAGAAAAAAGGGGGAAAGAAGGAAAAATCCGAGTGAATAATGGAGCTCATTTACGAGAATGGACAGAAAAAAAGGAACCGATCTTTAACCGATTGAAATTCAGTTATGAGTTGAGCGAATTTTGAGTTTCCAAAAAGGAAATGTAAGCTAGGTCATTGTAAGCTAGGCGATTGTAAGCTAGGTCAAAAACGACATTTATTTTCATTTGATACAACTAAATTGCCTAATAAATAAGAAGAAATGTGAATTTTGAAATGTAATGTAAAAGAAATGAAGATTTTGTGACTCGAAGCATTTGAGGTTTCAAAGTTTAGTTTCAAAATGAATTTGATGATCGAGTTTAGATGTTTTCTGGGATAATTAGACGAGAAAGTATCCAAATCACTATTTGGATTTTGACTCAATGTAGTTTATCTTAAAGTTTTTGATTTAAAACCAAGCATTATAGCACAATAAGTATTGGGTTGGTGAATTGAAAACTGCCGGACTTTGAACTAAAATTTATTCAACATAAAGCCAATGAATTCATTCCAAATAATTTCCATTCTTATTGACGACTTCTGCCGATTTTACAGGCAATTTGCGGATTCCTCTTTCGTAGTAGGATTTTGGTTTGTGTGTGAGACCAGTGTGAGACTCAGAAATGGAGGACTGGAGATGGAGACTGGAGATCCCAGTTTGAGCACTTTCTTCAAAAGAAACCCATTTTGGTGTCAATGGAAAAGTTGTAGAGAATCAAAAATTAGGCTTATAGCCAAATTTCCAAAAAGATACACTTAGTAGTTTCGCTTAAAATGCAAGTTTTGTGAAGATTTGGCATTTCTTTCTTAAACTTGGCATTTCTTGGAAACCAGTTTTTGAATCGTTCTGAAAATTTGGATATAAGCTTGATTTTTGATTCTCTACAACTTTTCCATTGACACCAAAATGGGTTTCTTTTGAAGAAAGTGCTCAAACTGTCACATATGACAATAGCCGGCAGTTTTCAATTCACCAACCCAATATTTTCATTTGACACAACTAAATTGTCTAAAGAATAAGGAGAAATGTGAATTTTGAAATGTAATATAAAAGAAATGCAGATTTTTTGGCTCGAAGCGTTTGGGGTTTCAAAATTTAGTTTTAAAATGAATTTGATGATCGAGTTTAGACGTTTTCTGGGATAATTAGACGGGAAAGTATCGAAATCACTATTGGAATTGTGACTCAATGCAATTTATCTTAAAGTTTTTGATTTAAAACTAAGCATTATAGCATAATAAGCATTATACATTATATATAACAATAAATATTATATCTAACCTTTGGCTTTTCAAAGATCAATCGATCAAGAAACAAAACTTTGGTCAAGCACCAGTTTATCTTCAATAAAAAATTTCAAAGAAAGCAAAAAAAGCAAAAAAAGAAATCAGTTGGCCCTGGAAAGTTTCTTTTTGATCGTTTAAATGGAGAAAAGTAGAAAGGATGGACACGAGGAAGCAAAAGAGATAATAGAAATGGAAAAGATGGAAAAGATTCAAGAGACAAACAGAGATTTTCTTTGCTTTTTTCCCTCAAAATGAGATCTCTTTTCTGTAAAAAGAAACACTCAAGAGGAACGGAGAAATATTTTCTATGAGAGGATTTCTTGATCTCGATACGCTTGTAATTCGCAAGAAGAGTTTGATTGGTTTAATTGAATGTTAATTAAATTAATTAAATCCGTTAATTAAATGGATATCGAATTTGTGATGTGATTTTGTGATGCAACAGTTTGAAACGAGAAGTTTGATAAGAAATGCAATGCTTTATAAGAATGCTATGTTGATAAGAATGCTATGCTATGCTGATATGCGTTATGCTTGATAAGAGATCATCTGTGAGAATCGTTTCAAAATGAGTAAGTGATCAACACCGACTAAGTGATCAACACCGCTAAAAGAGCAAAAGATTCAGAATATCCCCCAAAGAAAAATCTCCTAGATTAATTCGTGTACATTTGATTGTAAACAAGGATCCGCAATGGGTAGACTGCTTTTTGATCATTGCTTTCTGTAAGAAATATATTCATACTTTGATCTTTATAATTTCTTGTGAGACCGTGTCTCGGTATGGTTTAAGATGTCTTGAAAACGCATAATAGAGAAAAGGAACCAAATCTGTAGAGAAAAGGAACCAAACGTGTAGAGAAACGGAATCAATCTATACAGAAAAGGAACCAAACGTGTAGAGAAAAGGAATCAATCTATACAGAAAAGGAACCAAATCTGTAGAGAAAAGGAACCAAATCTTTATCAAAACTTTCCCTTATTAGAGCAAACTTGGCTCAGACTGGAGTTCGCTCAGACTGGAGTTGGAGCAGCTCAGACTGGAGCAGCTCAGACTGGAGCTGGAGCGGCTCAGAACAAATCTATACCGAAAGGAAACAAATCTGTAGAGAAAAGGAACAAATCTTTATCAAAACTTTCCCTTATTAGGGCAAACTTCGCTCAAACTGGAGCAACCTCGCACTATCACAATTACTCCAACACTTGCGTGTGATAAAAGGATGAATAGAAAAAGGAGCCCACAACTGCCTCAAGACAAAGCTTAAATAATGGGTTCTTAAGTACACAAGCTACGACAAACGGACAACTGAATATCGTCTAGTGGCTGATTACGGTAGTTTATCCATCAACTTTGAATTTTAACTTATGTATTGAATTTTGACTAACTGCAGAGGAGCGGCAATTCGCCACACTTTCTATACATTGATTTTGCTTTAAAAATTATCCTTTCTTGGAGTTTCACTAAAAGTTATTGAACTCTTAGCTTTTATTTAGCTTTACTCGGTTTCAAAACCTAAAAAGTCTACATTTTCCTCTAGTTCAAATCTTGCATTGCTGGCAGGCATTACTGGCGTTCAAATCTGGCATTGCTGGCGTTCAAATCTGGCATTACTGGCGTTCAAATCTGGCATTGCTGGCGTTCAAATCTGGCATTGCTGGCGTTCAAATCTGGCATTGCTGCCAAAAAAGTTTCCCCAACAAAGTCTACTTTTCTTCATGCTCCAATTAATTGCGCCATCTGCTTGATCAGCTTGATTAGGTAATCAAGCTGATCAACTAAACTATTAGGTGTGTGAAAAAGTAATCCACGTTTTTAACGTTTAAATATAAAAGACCATAAGTTTCGTTAAAATAATTTTTATTCAACGAAGTAATCACCATTCGAAAGAACAACCTTTTGCCAACGTTCTGCAAGTAAAGACATTCCACGATAATAAAAATCTTGGTCCGTAGAGGCGAGGAAAGGATCAACCTCGGTTTTGACATCTTCTTCGGAATTGAACCGTTTATTGGCCAAAAAGTTAGACAGAGACAAAAATAAATAATAATCAGATGGAGAAAGGTCTGGACTATAAGGTGGATGTGGTAAAACCTCCCATCCAACACTCTGGATTTTTTGTCGAGTCTGTAAAGAGACATGTGGTTGCGTGTTATCGTTCATGCGGTATCCATTTGTCCAACTTTTGATAAAATTCATGGCATTCAAGCGTTTCCATACGGTTGACCCATCACAGGTTGAACGAGGGTTTTCGAGAAGACAGAGTCTTATTTGGTCATCAGATAAAAATAAAAAAACGTGGATTACTTTTTCACACACCTAATAGTAGGTAATCAAGCTGATCAACTAAACTAGTAGATAATCAGGCTGATCAACAAATCAATTAAACTAATCATCAATTAAACTAATCATTTATTTATAGACTTTAAAGAATAAATGAATAGATTTCTTAAAATGAATAGATTTCTTAAAATGAATAGATTTTTCATCACCAAATCTGTGTTCTCATTCATGTAATGCCTCAAATCGCGGGAGAAAAGCCGAGATAAGAAGTGCTCAGTAGCTGGAAACACATTGATTTTTTTAATATTTTCTGGAAACTATTCTAATATTTTCATTATTTTAATAGTTTATTATGGATTCTCTAGAGTTAGAAGCTTTGGTGAGTGATTTTCCAATACTTAAAGAAGAAAAGTTCAGCTGGAAAATAGAAAACACGAAAAACATCGAATTGTTTTGCATGTCTACGATGATGAAAGCAAAGAATTCACTTCGTTGACTACATATCATGGAATGGTGAGAAGAATGGGGTTTTGAAAGGCTTTGAAATGACAAATATACAGGGCGCGGCAAAAGTTCGGAGCCGCTTCTTTAGGTAGTTAAAGGTTTAAAAACTAGCTTTAAAAAGTTAAAAATTAATAACAAACTCTTTATTCGAATCATAACAACAAATAACTTATAACAAATGCTCGAAATTTCCACCATCCGCTTCGATACACCTCTTTAAACGCTTTGGGAAGTTCCTCACGATGGTGGCGCACGCTTAAACAGTTATTTCATCCCAGACTCGTTTCAGAGTAGATTTTAAAGCATCCACTGTTTGATACGTCTTTATCGCGATCTTGCCTTCCAAAATAGCCCAAACGGTGTAATCGAGGGGATTAAGATCCGGCGAATTTGAAGGCCAAATGGTCTTATCCCAAAAGCCTGGAAACAATTGAGCGCAAACGTTGAGAGTTGAGTGAGCACCATGGTCGACCACTTCGAGGGCGATCCTTGTCGTTCTTTATCTCCTTGTAGCGTTTAATTGCTTTGTTGACGGTGCTTTTTGGATATTTCGTGATTTTTACAAGCTCCGGGCTATTTTTTCCGCCTAGATATAATCCGAGAATCACATCGCGTCCTTTTTTTGGCGCTCATTCTTACGAATTTTCTCCTAAAAAGAAAATTTTTGTAACAAATCACCTTAATTATACTCGAAAAAAGGGAAAAAAGTATACAAGACACAAAAAAAAAAGCGTGAGCTAAATTTTCTGCAATGTTTTCATAGCGGCTCCGAACTTTTGCCGCACCCTGTATATGTCGTAGCCGTTTACGAAATTCAGCCGTTAACGAATCATTCGTTAACGGCTAGCCGATTACGAATGAATTTTTTCGCTAACATAATAACGTTTATAACAAACAAAAGATCAACTAAAATGCATGCGGAACCAATTGAAGATCAATTAAGTCGACTTGGTAGCGTTCATTTTGCTCCCTCGTTATGATCGGCTTCACAACAACTCCTTTTTTGGCGTCCTCCTCTGAATTCGGCTAAATGGCTAGCGAAAAATTTTATTCGTTAACGGCTAGCGGCTGAATTTCGTAAACGGCTACGACATATATATTCGAAATCAGCGTAAAATTCTGCGTTGAATGGTATAGATCGCATAGAATTTGGCTCAGCCAGTTGGCCTTCTCTTGTCAGTAATAAAGTACCGAAAGTACTGAAGTACTGAAATAGTACTGAAATAGTACTGAAATAGTACTGAAATAGTACCGAAAGTACTGAAAGTAGAGGATAGTACTGAAAATAGCGAAATTTAGAGTAAAAAAAATGGCGAAATGATGAGTTGACAATAGTAAAGTGACTCGAATTAGCAATTTTTCAAGAAATTTAGACACAATAAAAGCACAAGAAGGGTTCAGATTACAAATTGAGCTTTGTCAATAGATCAAATTAGAGAGAAATTAGAAATTAGAAATTTTACGGATTGATGCTTAGATTTATGGTAAAAACTAGGAAATAATAAAAAGTAGTCACTTTTTTTTCTATTAGAAATGACTAAGACTAAGAAAAGTAACTCTTTTCTATTAGTTTTAAGTCACAAAACTGAAAACTCAGTCACCCAATTGGTCTTGATTCTTTCTGATCGTTCCATCACCAGTATTTTATTACCATTGTACTTTTGTACATTGAACATTGTACATTGAAAATCTGTACTTGAGGGTTTTCGACTACGTTGATGCCGAATCTGAAATCAGAAAGAGGCCGTTGTAGAAAAGTTTACAAGATAAATTTGATTAAAACGCTCTGTGAAACACTTTTTAGATCAGAATCTACTCATCCGACACATGGCCATCGCGGATTTTCTGGTGCCTTGTCGTGGTCACTTGTTTGGTTCTCTTTTTATTACATGTAAGGTTTTATGGGTCTATTTGACTATCTTAAATCAAGAAAATCAAAAAATGAAAGAAAAATTACGGTTTTCTTTCATGGTGCATTGTGAAAAGCTATCATATCAAAACAAAGCTATCATATCAAAGCTACCATATCAAACTCAAAGCCAATTCGATTTTCTTGGGACTCTTCTGGGGGCGAAGGGTTAAAATAAACTCGCCAATAAGTTCTACGATCCTAGAAACCCGATGCACAAATTTTTAACATTAAATCTCATTTGGGGAATCATTTAAAGAACAAGAACAAAAGAAAAATCACTGTGTAAAGTAATTGGCGAGATGTTCTTTGTTCTCGCCTAAGCGCTAGCTTTCTGGCATAGCGGTCTGGCATAAGGGGCTTTGATTTCCAAAGCATAGGACCTGACGCTCGCCCCTCCCGATCATCAGTACACTCAAGGCCCTGTGAACTTTGTCCGGTCGCCTAATCGCTAGCTTTCTGGCATAGCGGTCTGGGATAAGGGCTTTGATTTCCAAGGGACCGGAACTGACGATCGCCCCTCTCGATCATCAGTACACTCAAAGCCCTGTGAACTCTAGGCGGTCGCCTAATCGCTAACTTTCTGGCATAGCGGTCTGGCATAAGGGGCTTTGATTTCCAAAGCAAAGGACCTGACGCTCGCCCCTCCCGATCATCAGTACACTCAAAGCCCTGTGAACTCTAGGCGGTCGCCTAATCGCTAGCTTTCTGGCACAGCGGTCTGGCATAAGGGGCTTCCTCCTGTGATCTGAAAAGAAAAGGAGCGGCCAGCAGACGAGCCGACGTCTGCTGGCCCCTCTCAATGATCACGACATTCAAAACCAGCCATCACTATGATCATCACTACACTCAAAACCCTGGGACCAGCCCCACCCGAAATTCGATTGTATTTTTGATATAAATGCTACTTCCCTCCAAACAGCATCACTATGCCCAAATTCCTGAAATCAATTCCGGCTCAAATTTGGCTCTATTTTTGCTACAAATTCCAATCAAAGTCCAGCCCGAAGCTGGTCGGTCAAAAATTTCCCCTTGGCCCTGAACCGTTCTTTTTTCACGGGAATTTCTCATTTCCCCCATGTTTGTGGAATTGAAATCTAAAGAGATTTCTTTTTCACAAAAATGCTTCAGCATTACAATTGATATTCTAAGTTCTGCCAAAGTTGGGAAATTTCCAATCAAACAACTTTTTGCATTTATTTCTACAGCAGTTCTTCTTTTGTTTATCTGATTTTTGTATTCGGATGCTTCGAACACGTAACTAATCCGATTTTCTTTCAAATTTTCAGCTACTGCCGTTTCGAGTAGGTTCCCGGTTCGAGTAAGCGAAAATGCAGTAAATTTGAGGCAAGAATTGATCCAAAAATTTGTGCCTACGGATTTTCATGATCCTAAAACCCATTGGCGGCGTTTATTTTAACCCTTTTTCCCAAGAAAAGTCTCAAGAGAATCGAATTGACTTTGGATTTTGCATCTGATAGCTTTTCGCAATGAAAGCTTTTCGCAAATATCCGTATCCTATCGATTTCGATCGGAGAAAAACCAAAATTACTTTATTTTTCAGTTTAAATTTCGATTTACCTACTTTACTTTATTCCGAACCATAGAAATTCCTTCAAAATTCCTTCAAAATGAACCCATTTAGTCCGGTATGATGCTCGAATTCTACCACTCAAAGCCAACTTTCCGGCAATACACAGATGAGCCCCTGCAGCTAGAAGATTTACCCTTTATCACAATATGCAAAGAGAATGGGTACACTGCAATGAAAAGTAAGAAAAGGTTGTGTAATTTGACAAAAAAAAAAGGGTTTAGATATTAGCCTAAAAGAAGAGGAGTTCGATGTGGCGTTTCGCGTGATGCGACAAGAATTTTTGACCGTTGACGAATATGAGATTTTGCGGCGACTCGAAAATGAGAGGAGAGTCACTGCGGAGGAGTTGTACACGAGTTTGAGGTTGATTTTCGGGTTTTAAAATAGAAATTTAGATGAAAACGGGTTTTTATCTATTAGAAAGTTAGTCAAACAAAAGCTATTCAAACATTAAGCACTTCATAATTTAGGGTTGTAGCCACTAAAACAGCGCCACTAAAACAGCGCCACTAAAACAGCGCCACTAAAGCAGCGCCACTAAAGCAGCGCCACTAAAACAGCGCCACTAAAACAGCGCCACTAAAACAGCGCCACTAAAACAGCGCCACTAAAATAGCGCCACTAAAACAGTGCCACTAAAACAGTGCCACTAAAACAGCGCCACTAAAACAGCGCCACTAGAATAGCGCCACCAAAACAGCGCCACCAAAACAGCGCCACTAAAACAGCGCCACTAAAATAGCGCCACTAAAATAGCGCCACTAAAATAGCGCCACTCAAACAGCGCCTAAGCTCACAATCCAAAAAACCAAGCTGGTTCAAGTTTTATACCAAAAAACTCTTTGCTTTCTTGGCTACATGATGGGTGAAACAGTTTTTTAAAAAAAGTTAATATTTCATAGGCAAAAAGAGCGTTCAAAATTTGTTTCATAGATCAAAAGAGCGTTCAAAATGTGTGTCGAGTGATACTCAATTGGTGAACTGAATATCTTTAGCTGAATAACTGAATATCCCATTTTGAGCACTCGTTTTATCTATTAAATAGGGAGTGGGACAAATGCGACCTTTTTTTTGCGCACCCGGACATTTGCGCACCTTTTTTTTTTTGCTGGAAAAAGCCTTAGGCAAGGCCGTAGAGCTTCGAAAATATTTCCATATAAGGGAATCGTATGCGTAGATTCCGAATTTCGACAAATCAGACCTCGCTGACACGTCAAATTTGGGCTAAAAGGCAAAAGCCGCGGAAAAGCGTTAAGTTGCGTAGTTTTGAGCTTGAGGCTTTCAAAGCCTTGAGGCTATTCAAGGCTTTGAATAACAAAGTTCTAAAGACAAAAATAGGATTGGTGTATTTTGTGCTAAATGAATCTTAAAAGAAATGAAAGCAAAAGAAATGAAATCAAAAGAAATGAAAGAAATGAAAGAAATCAAATCAAAAGGAATGAAAGCAAAAGAAATGAATGGAAATGAAAGAAATGAAATGAGGAAATGTTGAAATCGACTTTCTTTTGTCGGGGCCATTGTTTATCACCCATTTCTTCCATTTCACCCATTTCTTTTACTGAAATTCCACTCTCGCTCTCTGAACTTCCCGTAAACAACTACGAATACAAATACGAAAAAGAGGATTTGGATTTCGTGATTTCGAGACCGGTTATTATTAGGATTTATGGATGATTTGTGAAATTTACAATTATTTGAAGGTAATTGAAGTCTTTGAAGGTAATTGAAGACACAATGAACACTATAAATACCATCTAAAAAGTAAGATCTCAAAGAAAATGGAAAAATAGAAAGTTTCGAAATTAGAGAGTTTCGAAATTCGAGAGTTTCGAAATTCGAGAGTTTCGAAAATTTCGATCTCGTAGAGGATTTTGTGTCATCCTGTAGACAAATCAAAGTATTGAAATCTGAATCCATTAGGTTTATTATGGTTAGGTATAGAATTTTACTAGAATTTTTCGTTGAGATCAAGTGTGTCTTCAGGGTGACACAAAAGCTCGGAGCCACCTTGTTTTTTGGGTCCTCAAATTCAGAATTCAGCTTTTAAGATCAAAAAAAACTATCTAACCTTGAATATTTCGATAAAAGTTTGTAATTATAATAGGTTGATGCATAAGTCTTTTCGTTTTTTTCGTACTTCTGTTAAAAAGTAACAAATTCACGAATTAATCTATAGTTTGCTCTATAAAAAAAGTGTTTTTTTTGTTGAATTAGCATCTTTTTAAATGAATTTCGGTTCACTTTCAAGCAAATTCGAGAGTGAAAAACGCCTTTTTCGTAAAAATCTATAAAAAACTCTACGGAAAAATTGGCTGAATGAATTTCTCTGAAATTTTGGCGAAATATCAAACGTTTTTTTTTCTCTATCTTTTATCTATTGACACGAAGATAGGTTTTCTTTAGCTAAGGTGTCTAAACCGCATCATCGAGTTAGCCCTTTTTGACTACCCGACTTCATACTCTCAAGAAAATCCAGGCATTAAATATTTTTAAACCCGTTTTAATGTTATTTTGCAGAAAAATAATTGCTTTTTCTAATGAAATCAACCGTAGTTTAATTCGTGCATTTGTTGGCTTGAAACGGCAGACGAAAAGGAACAAAAACACTTATGCATCAACCTAATAGAATAGTGTGTGTCACTTGCACCAATTTAGCACTAATATAATCAATAATAATGGAAATTATTTCAAATGAATTCATGGTTTTATGTTGAACAAATTTTGTTCAACATAAATTTAGTTCAAAGTCCCGCAGTTTCCAATTCACCAACCTAATATAATACCTGTTTATGTTGACTTCAAAGAGTTGCCTCAGCAATTCAAGTCTGACACCGATATTGCCAGCTTTTGCGTTTTTTGAAATGCTGAGCAAGACATTTTCGCCAAAAAATTGCGCAGCACCTTTTTCACCGATTTCAAGCTCTTCTTCGAGTTTGTACCTGCAAAAAGCTTTTGTAGAAAAACTAACATTAACAGTCCAGTGTCAGGCAAAACAAACAAACAAACAAACAAGCAAACAAACAAACAAGCAAACAAACAAACAAACAAACAAACAATCAAAATTCAAATTCGGAATTTGTTCTGCTAAAAAGCTACGATTTTGACCTGCTACATTGATTACAGGCTGACACAAAAGTTCCGTTTTTTCCACCATGTTTTTTGGTCGTCAAATTCAGCTTTTAAGCTAACAAAAACCTATCCAACACTGATAATTCTTATAAAAGTTTGTAATTATAGCAAGTTTATGTTAGATCTAAGGCTGTACAAGCAAAGATCAAGTCTTTTAATTGGCAATAGATCACCAGAATCAACCCAAATGTTTGGTCGCTTCAATTTCTCTCGAAAACCATCTGAATTTTCTGAAATTTTTATTTAAACGTAGCCAGTCAAAAGGAATTCTATTTTTTAAACTCTTTCTAGACAATTAGCAAAATTTGAGGTTGATTGAAGCTGAAACACAAAACTTCTAGCTCTTCTAGGCGAGTCGTAATCGAATTTCAAGTTTTAACTTCAAATTTTAACTTTCAAACTTAAGAAAAATCTGTCTACTCGATGAGAAGATTCGGTTTTTGCGGAAAAACGTTTTCTAGATCGAAATTGCATCTAGATTTATTTTTTGTTGGCACTAAAAACGAGGTGGCTTCTTTTGTGTCAACTTTTATGTCACCCTGTCCTGTGTCTAATAGAGTTTTGACGCTGCTTTCAAGCATTTAGTGAAACTTTTTCCGAAAAAAGATCTAATACAAAACGTTAAAGTTAATGTCTCTCGTGTGATAAGGTAAAAGATTCAGTCTGACGTGTAAAGAACTTCTCAAAACGTTGAAAGTGAGCGGAAAGGGGTATGATGCTTGTGAATTTGCGAGCGAAGATCTCACTGAGTATGGAGTCTGTTGGACTGTGGGGAAATGGCCGGCGAGAAGGGCGAATGATCGAGTCGAGATCGTCATCAAGAACACAAAGCCAGCTTGTGGGTTTGAAAGTTTTGCGTAGAGTAGAGTAGAGTAGAGTTGAGTAGAGTAGAGTAGAGTAGAGTAGAGTAGAGTTGAGTAGAGTAGAGTAGAGTAGAGTAGAGTAGAGTAGAGTAGAGTAGAGTAGAGTAGAGTAGAGTAGAGTAGAGTAGAGTAGAGTAGAGTAGAGTAGAGTAGAGTAGAGTAGAGTTGAGTAGAGTAGAGTTGAGTAGAGTTGAGTAGAGTAGAGTAGAGTAGAGTAGAGTAGAGTTGAGTAGAGTAGAGTTGAGTAGAGTAGAGTAGAGTAGAGTAGAGTAGAGTAGAGTAGAGTAGAGTAGAGTAGAGTAGAGTAGAGTAGAGTAGAGTAGAGTAGAGTAGAGTAGAGTTTCACTTACCGTAATTTCCCCTAATACTAGTGCACCTTGGGCTTCGCTTAAATGGCTTGAAATCTCAAGAACCGCTTATGAGAACCTATCGATGTGGGGTCGAAAAAGGTAGCTGACGATAAGATCTAGTGGGGGATTTGAGTGTAAAGTTTCTGTGAAAACTTGAAAACCATAAAATCGTCATTAATTCGGCTCAGCGCGGTGCACTGCTATTAGGGAAAATACGGTATGGATTTTTGAAGATAAACAGCTTTAGCAAACATCATTGTGCATGTTCACAGTCGTTTGGTGCAACCAAGCGTGATGGCTAAAGGACTTTACATACCGAAAGATCGAATCGCACACATGATCGTTCAACCAAATATGGTAAAAGTTTTACAAGGGAAAATCACAAAGGCTGTCAAAAGAAATGAGCTGTCAAAAGAATTAGGCTGTCAAAAGACTTAGGCGGTCAAAAGACTTAGGCTGTCAAAAGACATGAACCATATACCATAAGGCGCAGAATTTTACGCTGATTTCGATACTGCTATCCGTTTTGACAAAATCATTGACGCAAAATGGAAAATGAAACGCGAGGAATCTTGCAAACAAGTTTGAGGTTAAAAATTGCTAAATAAAGCTTCTTTCACCTCATGGAAAGGCTTCTTTCTTCATGAAAAGGCTTCTCGAAACGTGAACTTGTGGCTTAGTGGATAAGAGTCTTCTTTCCGAAACAAGCTGTCAATTCTTGTCTCGGGTTCAATCCCTTCCTTTTGTTTTCCTTTTATTTGAATGTTTATTTTGATATTCTCGAATCCACTCTATTTTAACTTTATAATACTTATTATTATATTACAGCACAACAAAGCAACATTATAATTAATTACAAAGCATTACAACAATATTATAACACCTTTCATTTCATTCATTCACTTTATAGATTGCTGTGTTAATTTTTTTTGTTATTTTGTTTGTTATTTTGTTTGTCATTTCGTTTGTTATTTGTTATTTCAATTCAAAAATGTCAAAATACTTATTGTAAAGCTAAAATAGAATGAATTTAAGCTGTTAAACATCAAAATAAAATGAAAACAAAAGGAAGGGTTCGAATCCGAGTAGAAACTTGTTAGCTTGTTTCGGAAACGAGACTCTGCTCCGCTACACCACGAGGCCACGTTTCGAAACGGTGAAAAAAGCCTTAGAGGTACAGCAATCTAATCCTGGTTGAATCAATCATCAATCATCAATCATCAATCAATCCTGGTTTTGAAAACAAGACTCTTATCCACTACACCACAAGTCAACGCTTGTGGTGTCGTGGAAGGGAGGAAGAGGAAAGGAAGGGATCGAACCCGAGACAAGAATTGACAGCTTGTTTCGGAAAGAAGACTCGGGATGGTGAAAGAAGGCTTATATAGAAAAAAGACCTTATCTAGGTCATGAGTAAACCGAGCAAAAGCTGGAAAGCTTGTTTCGGAAACATGACCCTTATCCATTACACCACGAGGCCACATCTCACGACGGTGAAAGAAGCCTTATAGGCACTGGTTAACAACGCAGCAATCTATAAAGTGAATGATTTTTGACCTCTAATTTGACCAGATGCTAGAGTTTGCCAGTTTCCTCCCGTTTTTGAATCATTTTACAAAATCGGATAGCATTTGGCTCCATTACACCACCAGTTCATATTTCGAGGCAGTGAAAGAAGCTTTATCTAGAGATTTTTGACCAAAAACTTGTTTGCAAGATTCCTTGTGATTTGTGACTTTCCCTTGTTAGCAAGCCAGAATCTCGCTGAAATTTTTGTCTTATTATTAACTCTCATCTTTAGGTCGACTCTTTGGAAATCGGTTCCTGGGGCACTTGCAGCAAAGAGTGGAGTCCGAATATTCAATTGGGGTGAATTGAGTTGATCCGCTTCTTCAAAAGCCAAAAGTTTAAGTGAAAATTATACGCTCACCAATTGTTTTCGTCATTGTATGGCGCAGCAGTTCTTGGAAGCATGTGCATGTGTGCCATATCATTTGAAAGCATTCGGAGAGCCGATTTGTACACTCGGAGAGATGCACACGTGTAGAAGAGCCGGTAAGCGGGGCTCGAGTTTGGCAAAAGTTGTGAAGGATTTCGATGTTTTTGGGAGAATCGCTAGCGCTTCGTCCAGAAGCGCTTAATCAGCTTCGTCCAGAAGCGCTCAATCAGCTTCGCCCAGAAGCGCTCAATCAGCTTCGCCCAGAAGCGCTCAATCAGCTTCGTCCAGAAGCGCTCAATCAGCTTCGTCCAGAAGCGCTCAATCAGCTTCGTCCAGAAGCGCTCAATCAGCTTCGTCCAGAAGCGCTCAATCAGCTTCGTCCAGAAGCGCTCAATCAGCTTCGTCCAGAAGCGCTCAATAAGCTTCGTCCAGAAGCGCTCAATCAGCTTCGTCCAGAAGCGCCCAATTTACATTCAAAGAAGAAAATCTAGCAAAATCTTCAGGCTACATCATGGCTACAATAGAATTTGTCTAAAATGAAATTCACTCGAAAAAACTCGCATTTTTGGGAGAAGATTTAGGGCAAGCAGAGGTTTTAGATCCTTAGCCGTTATCCAGGAAACTTCTAACCACCGGCAATCGATTCTCCCTGTCGGTTTGCATTGATTGCATGCATCGATTACGTCAGCTAAAACATACATCAGCTAAAAATCCGATTTAAAGCTTATGGAGCGAGCTAATGGGGCTCAAAGTTGGGCCGAAGCGTAAGACGTGTTCTCACAAAAATGCCAATTTTTTTCAAGTGAATTTCTTTTTAGAAAAATTTCATTGTAGCCATAATGTAGCCTGAAGATTTTGCTAAATTTTCTTCTTTGATTGTAAATTGATTGGGAGCTTCTGGACGAAGCGCTAACGATTTTCCCAAAAACATCGAAATCTTGGCTACAGGAGCGCAAGACTTTTGCATATTGACAAGGATTTTTGTGAAAAGTTTGCCCAGTTTTAGCTAAACCTAATGATTTCCCTAAAGACTTCTATTCTAAAAGCAATTTTTCTAGCTTTAATCTAGCTTTAATCTTTCTTGGTAAAGTTAGTTCTAAAGGTATCCATGATAACTATTGAGTTGGGGAGAATGAAATGACGTCGAACTTTGAAGACACTCTTTGCACGCATAAAGTCTTCTTTAAATCAACGTTTTTTTTTCATCAAAAGGGTCTACTATTTCTCTACAAAATCACTTTTGAGAAATTTCAGAACGCTTTTATTTCGTGGAGTTTATGGACTCTCAAACAGATCAAAAGTCAAAAGAGTTCGAATCGTTTGAATCGTTTGAACAGTCATCGTTTGAACAGTTTCTTTCACATAAACCTTCTTTGATGTTCACAGAAACCTTCTTTCTTCTATATCAAAAGATAGAGCACACTCAATTACATAAATTCTCAGATTTTCAGAAAGATCCCTTCAACCGTTTTCTCTAGATGACAGTTTATAGGTTTTGTGGAAAAAATGGACTTTTGTTGAGCTGAGGCGCTGTTTGAGTTCTCTTTTAAATGTTATTTTGTAGAGAATTCGTTAACCTTTCTACTGATATCAAACACGTATCATTTGACGAAATCTGCTAGAATTTTTCGAAATTTCTTTGATTTTCGTTGATTCTTCCCAAGCGCATTCTTCCCAATTTTTCGAAATTTCTTTGATTTTCTTTGATTCTTCTCAAGCGCATTCTTCCCAAGCGCATTCTTCCCAAGCGCCTTCTTCCCAAGCGCATTCTTCCCAAGCGCCTTCTTCCCAAGCACATTCTTCCCAAGCGCCTTCTTCCCAAGCGCATTCTTCCCAAGCGCCTTCTTCCCAAGCGCATTCTTCCCAAGCGCCTTCTTCCCAAGCGCATTCTTCCCAAGCGCCTTCTTCCCAAGTGCATTCTTCCCAAGCGCATTCTTCCCAAGCGCATTCTTCATTCAAGACCCCATTCTTCATTCATAACTCAAACGTTTCTAATAATCAATAAGAATAAGCCGACTAACAAACAACACCTTTCTTCCTTATACCTTGTCTTTTCTAGATTCCCATATGAAATCTTTTGAGCCTATTCGCGAGTAAATCTGTACAGCTATAGCTTTGCAGCTAAAAGTTAACGTTAACCTGAGTTAAAAGTCGATTGTGCTAGATTGTGCTAGAGCTGTTCATTCTCTGTCTGATTGTCAAGAGATGTAAAACGGAACAATGAAATTTAACCACTTCAATCGCTACTTTTTCAGGATTTCTTGTTGAATTTCACTTTCAGACTTTTTACAAAATGATTGATGCAAAACTTTCAGGACAACTGTAGTGATTATTTGGTTTAGATATAATCTTTATTACAGCAATAATAGTTGGTTCAGTGGTTTGGGATTGAGAGAGTAGAGACGACTCCACGGCACACTCGGCAGCTCGTTCACATTGCTTTTATACAGAACTTTGGCGTTGGTCTCGTCTTGGACACAATGGAGTTAAACGGACACACAGTGGAGACACAATGGAGTTAAACGGACACACAGTGGAGACACAATGGAGTTAAACGGACACACAGTGGAGACACAATGGAGTTAAACGGATTAAATCTCGCACAATAGGCGTTCGCCCACAAAGATGTCTGGCTGGCCATTTCCATCCGTGGTGATCTCGATCACGAGATCGTCACGACAACAACTTCCAAGCTCTATCTTTTAATCTGAAAAACCGCTGAAAAAATCGCTATTGAAGTGGTCGAATCTCGTTTGTTTCCGTTGTACACCTATTGACAATAAAAACAAAAATGAAAAGCTTTATTGCATAGCAAATGAGGTGTACAACCATATTTTGTACAATTTTTACATTTACTCGATTTTCGGGCTCCCATCTGTGCGATGCAGTTGCAAGCCACAATGTAATCGACCTCGCTACAGTGTGCAGCGACCAACCTACCTCCAAGTGGCACCAAATAAGAGGTAATTTTCAAAATAAAGCATACAAATCACAAACAAATTGTTCTTGATCGTGAAAATAAGAGCTTGATCGTGAAAATAAGAAAATAAGAGCTCGGCTTTCTTTCCAGAAACTCTTCCATTCTCCTCATCGATTTCTCATCCAGCAAGCTTATTCGCATTCAACAACTCAAGCGATTCAAGGCGATTGATTTGCTGAGTTTTTACTGAAACCAGTAACCCAATTTAAACTCTTTATTTACAGGTTACGTAGCTGGGAGTATGGGTTTATTCCTGGGAATGAGCTGTGTGACACTACTTGAGATTTTCATGTTCTTGTTCAAAGTCGCTTGGGGAACTGTCAATGACAATCGACATAAAGAGTTCGTTTCTCTATTTTATTTGCTTAAAGCAGAAGCAGTACTATATATAAAGCAGAAGAGTCTGTCTGTCTGTCTGTGCGCGAACGTGAAGCTCCAAATTCCGGGAGCGGTTGTTGCTTGCGATGAGACGGCGGTTTGGCTGGATGCTTCGACGAGCAAGTGCATCGAAGCGGTTGGAGCCAAAGAAGTTGGTGTTAGAGATCAGAGACGGAAATCGGACAGACACGGAAATCGAAGACCTCTTGGGGCCGCTCGCATCGACGGGATTTCAAGGACATCGAGGAAATGATGAATTCATTGATGATCAAGCAAATGATGAATTCATTGATTTGGATGTTTTAGCGGAATCCGATTTAGCGGAATCCGATCCAAATTTAGCGGTGCCATCGGGGGTTTTCGCCTATGGGGAAGCCGATTTTGATGTTCATTTTCGAAAAGGGACATGGCTTAATCGAGTATACGGTATGGGGCCACGAATTTCTGGGCCGCGAATTTGTTCACAAAGCCCCAGTCTGATAATAAAAGCTGAATTTTAACAAATCAACATTGATAGGTTTTTCGATCGAATGCTAGAAGGAACGGAGAAAAAACGAGAGCCACAACTGAAGCAACAAATCATCATTGCTTCTAGAAAAAACTCGTGAGTGCTAAATCAACTTAGAAATAAAGTTCCAAGCGCAAACTTTGCTCAACTTTGCTTTAAATTTGAATAATCTACAGTGCTACAGTACCGATCCAAACCATATCCCCCTCGAAAAAGTGATGCTGCTTTAAAGGGTTTAAACTTTAAATGTAGACCTCGTATTTATAAGTGCTATATAGCATTTGAAAGCTCACATTGAGCTCTACAAAATGTGCTATCACAATTTGCGGAATACGATAGAAAAAGAGCAGAATAACACACAAAAATGGCTCAAGGCGTATGTCAATTGTCAATGAAGCTCCCTCTTTCGACATCTCCTCCTCATGGGAAACATGTTATAACTTGTCAAAAACAACTTTCTTCGGGTCATTTTTTGTGTTCTTTCCGAAAAACATGGTTTCAGAACGATTTGAAGCATCTCTGGTATTCAAAAATTGCTCTGAAAATCACACAAAATTTTCCTTCTAGATTTCTAAATTTTCAATTAAATTCAAGCCCCTAAAAGTTGGCTAAAACTATCGTATTCCTCAAGGTCTTAGTGTATTTTGTAGAGCTTAATGAGAGCTTTCAAATGCTATATAGCACTTATAAATACGATGCCAACGTCTAAAGTTATAACCCCGCAAACCAGCATCGCTTTTTCGAGGGGATTACCGGTACTGTAGCACCGGTTATTCAAATTCGAAACAAAATGTAGGTTTAAAAGATGAAAACAATTGATTTAGCTATTCAATGACAAACACTCTAGCCACAAATATCAGGTATTTCAGCGATTTTGCTTTGGAGAGATGTAGAATTTGTGTCAAAAATACAAATTTAAAGCATTTTTATTGTCAATAAAAAGGAATAAGAAAGCTGGAATAGAGATGATAAAGCTTAACAAGTAGATAAGTAGATATTTCTTAATAGAGAAGATAAGTACATATCTCTTAATAGAGAAGATAAGTACATATTTCACTTCATTTTCATAAAGTCATTTCCCAATTTTAGTGCTGCCTCCGATTCCTCTGAAAGTGATTCCTCGGAATGTACGATTGTTGAAGAAAATATTGGAATCGTTTTCGATGAAAAGAGAAAGTTTGTTTCTGTGAAATTCAAAATTTCAGCTGTAAATCAATTTCAGAGCGTCAATCTTTCGAATGCCGGATTCAGTTATACAGGTAAACCTGAGGGGTTTAGGAAAGCAATAGTAAACCGGTTCAGCCAAGTAAATAGTAAACTTTCAGCCAAGTAAATATTAGGTTGTTCGGATATAAACGAGCGTTGGCACGGTCCTGATGTCACTGTTTGACCGGGTTGTAGAAGCTCAAAATAAACAAGGCCCTTGTTAAGGTCCTTGTTACATAAGGTCCTTGTTATTCCACCATACTGAGAGCATGACCTTTTTCCCATGAATGTCCGGTTTCACGGTCGGATTTGGACGTTCTCCTGGTCCTAGCCATTGCCGTTTTCGAATAGTATTATCGAAATAGATCCACTTCTCATCTCCAGTAACGAGAGAATTAAGAAAGTCATGATCTTTAGCGTGGCGGATTAGGATTCGGGCCATAGCGACCCGTGAAGCCTTGTTTGCACTGCTTAACTCGTGAGGAAGCCATTTCCCGAATCTGATCGCCTTTCCCGTATCTAATCGTCTCTCCAATGGCGTGGAGATGCTCATCAATAGTAGAATTTGAACATAGAAACTGTTGAGCAAGTTCACGCGTCGTTTGACATGGATCCGACTCGATTGCAGCCCTATCGTTGTCTCGTTATCGTTGTCGTTGTCTACCGCTTGAGGTAGACAATGATATTCTTGACGAGAGTGTTCATGATCCTCGAGACTTTCATCACCATTCCGAAAGCGTTGGAACCAGGCTCGGCATCGGCTTTCGAACAATACATCATTCCCAAAAGCTTTGACCAAATCTCGATGGGATTCCGCGACTGTTTTGCCCAGTTTGAAGTCGTAAAGTAGGCAAACTATGCAAACCTAAAGATCGTCCTAAAGATCGCAACTTGATATATTTGAAGTCGATCATCTAAAGCAAGAAAAAAGATCTTAAAAATAAGAAATTATCCGTTTAACAAAGATTCCAAATATACAAAAGATAACGTACTTTTAAATACAGAAATGCATGTTTTAAAAGTTTTAAAAGCTTCCCTCACAACGATAAGTTTAGTAACGCTTGTTTATATCCGAACAACCTAATAATTTGGAATTTGGCTAAAAGTAACGATTAAAAAGAATTGTAATGAGGAATGTCCTGTAGATGTAATAAGTAATTAGTAAGAATACTCTGTAGATCGATATCTTCCAGTTTTCTTATCAAAACTCTAAGGACTAGATCTCTTTTCTCTACAAACTCTTGCATTTTAAGTAAACTAGTCATTTGGTCACTCTCCGAGAAAAACGTCGAATTCTTGGCTAAGCAGTGCAGTGATTGTTTGGGCAGTTCAAGTTTACTAACGCCCTCGCAACGATAAGTTTAGTAACGCTTGTTTATATCCGAACAACATAATATATGCCCCACACCTCTATGTGATTTTTTAAAGATTCCGAAAAAGGATAGGGAAAAATTAGAAACGCATACGCTTTTATTAGATTATCGCTTACGCTATTTACGGTAGTTATTTTTCCAAATGTATTGCCTCACTACCATCAGCTCACTGTTTCCTCCACTAACAACATGAAAATCTTCTTGTACATGATAACAAAAGAATTATGAGCACACTCTTTTGATAATGTAGTTGTTAAAGTTGTTGTTGTTGTTGTTAAAGTTGTTAAAGGCTTGAATTCAAAAGTGCCAAGTGTTATCTAGAGAATTGAAATCCTGAATCTTGGCCAAATTTTTCTACTTTCAGCCACGAAACAAATTCTTGGAGCGAGTGCGAAGCAGTACGAACACCTCGATTAAATCGGGTGGAAAAGCTAGGGGAGCGGTGGGGGAAAACAAAAATCGATTCCATTTACAGTTTAACGATTTAGTTTGGAATCCCCGATCCGACAAATTTGAACACTCGACGAAGATTGTCTCATTTTCCGGGTATCGGATTTTGAAATGCATAATAAAGACTTCAGCTCTACATGATAAAGCAAAACACACACAAAAAAATTCGTTTTCTAAATCATGTCAACTTTTAAAAGCTATTTTGTCTATTCTATTAATAATGGGGAACCTGCCTACGGCTTGGATTTGAGGACGGCGCAAAGTGGAGCCTGGCGCAAACTGGAGCCTGGAGCAAAGTGGAGCCTGGCGCAAAGTGGAGCCTGGAGCAAAGTGGAGCCTGGAGCAAAGTGGAGCCTGGCGCAAAGTGGAGCCTGGAGCAAAGTGGAGCCTGGAGCAAAGTGGAGCCTGGAGCAAAGTGGAGCCTGGAGCAAAGTGGAGCCTGGAGCAAAGTGGAGCCTGGCGCAAAGTGGAGCCTGGAACAAAGTGGAGCCTGGAGCAAAGTAGAGCCTGGAGCAAAGTAGAGCCTGGCGCAAAGTGGAGCCTGGAACAAAGTGGAGCCTGGCGCAAACTGGAGCCTGGAGTAAAGTGGAGCCTGGCGCGAAGGTACGCTCCTTTAAAGGTTATTTCTATTATATGTTCTATCTTTTGGTAAAAAAGCAAAATGTTTGACGGATTCGAACCCTTGAGCTCTCGCACTCGTTGCGAGCGCGCTAATTACTCGGCCATGCGCGCCGCGCGGCCCCCTTGGATAGGAGCGCGTGACCCCAAAAAGCTAACATAATTTTTTTCTACTGGGTTTTTGAAACGGTTTTTATTTTTTGCGATATTTTCTAACGAAAAACCCGGGCATGGCTATTAAGAGGAACAAATTTTTGTCGTTTTTGGCTTAAAATGACCTTAAATGGGCTTTTTCAAAAAACAAGCATTTAACTCTAGAAGACGAACCAACAACAGGAGTTCTTTTCTTTTATCTTATTTTGAAATACCGTTAATCAGCGGTATTTTTTAACGGAAAGCCCGGAGATGGCTATTACCATTTTCCAGAAAATGATCATTTTTCACCTTTCAACTTAAAAGTCACCCGATTCCCCAATAATCAATTCAATTCAAAATCGTCTTCCATTATTTTGTAGAGGAGATTCAAGGCTTTTGAACAGTATACAACACTTATTGGTTTAGTTTCGGAATCTTTTTATTTTTGGAAAGATATGTGAGCGCTGGTTTTTTTTCTTTGACCCTAATACAACTTAGCCAAAGTTAGTCAACATTTTAATACATTAAAGACCAAATGTATTAAAAGTCGTGCAAAATAGAACCTGTATTACTAGTAAAGCTCCGAAACTGATAATACCAAGTCACCAGCCTTCCAGCGACTCTTTTCATCATCATCGACAACCCTCGGCACAGATGATCGATCGTGGAGAGATCGTTGAAGCGAAACGACACTAGTCAACGAAGAAGCACTCGGCCGAATCGATCTCGACGATGTTGTGCATAATAACATCTAAAACTGCAAAATAAAATAAGGAACCAAATTTGGAGATAAGGAACCAATTTTAGAGATAAGGAACCAATTTTAGAGAGATAAGGAATCAAATTTAGAGAGATAAGGAACACCAATCTTGTCTCGATTCATAACGACGGAGAAAATCGTTTTATTTCAATTTTGATTCCATTGTGGCGCAAGGACTGGTTGACCTTCCAGATAGGAGTCTCGAAGTTCGGAGAGCCTTCCAAATTCCATCCAATTCTGTGGTTAGTCCTGGAATTTGCCTTGGTAAGTAAAAGAACCAACCCGTATTACTAGTAACGCTCCGAAACTGATAATACCAAGTCACCAACCTTCCAGCGACTCTTTTCATGATCATCGACAACTCTCGGCACAGATGATCGATCGTGGAGAGATCGTTGAAGCGAAACGACACACGTCAACGAAGAAGCACTCGGCCGAATCGATCTCGACGATGTTGTGCATAAGAACATCGTCGTTTGTATTTAGCTAATTCATTACTGTATTTAGTTTTTGACCGCGCACTATCCACTGGGCCATTTCACCGAGTTAAAATTAAAATGCTTTAGAAAAAAATCTACGACTTTATGGGTCTTTTAGAATGCAGGTAAGAGGAAAATCCTTTATCAGAAAATCAGAAAATTCTTAATCACTGGTTAGAATTTGAGTTTTTCTTTTGAGAATTAAATTTTAAAAGTTAAGAGACAACATTTCGAGTCCAGAAAGTACATTTTAGATGTTGTGCATAATAACAGCTAAAACTGCAAAATAAAAATCAAACAGCGTTCAAATTTACACAAGATTTTTATATTTTAATGAAATGAAAGAAAGAAATTTTTCAGAAAATGATCATTTTTGATCTTTCAACTTAAAAGTCACCCAAGTCCCCAATAATCAATTCAATTCAAAATCTTATTCCATTATTTTGTAGAGGAGATTCAAGGCTTTTGAACAGTATACAACACCTATTAGTTGAGGCTTGGAATCTTTTTATTTTTCGAAAGATATGTGAGCGCTGATTTCGTTCCCACTCTAATACAGTTAGAGCTTTTTTGAAAACTATTAGGCTGGTGGGAATGAAATCAGCACTCACATCTCTTTCCAAAAATAGGGAGATTGCAAGCCTCAACTAATAAGTGTTGTATACTGTTCGAAAGCCCTGAATCTCCTCTACAAAATAATGGAATAAGATTTTGAATTGGATTGATTATTGAAGACTTGGATGTTAAAAAGTAACCGCAGGTCGAGTAGCAGAAAATGCTCATTTTTAACCTTTCAACTTAAAAGTCACCCAAGCCCCCAATAATCAATTCAATTCAAAATCTTATTCCATTATTTTGTAGAGGAGATTCAGAGCTTTCGAACAGTATACAACACTTATTGGTTTAGGTTCGGAATCTTTTTATTTTTCGAAAGATATGTGAGCGCTGATTTCGTTCCCTTTCATTTTCATTCCTTTCAATAAGAGATACCGCTTTTGGCCTGTTTTCAACTCAAAAGTACAGATTTTTAAGAATATCTTTTATTCAGACAATTTTAGCAATGAAAATGCCGGGATTTACCGTAGTTTTCCATTTTTGGATCAATGATTTCAAAGTGAACTGATCAAAGAACGAATTTTGAGATTTCTCACTCAAACATCTGTCTAAAAGTTGTTCTTTTTTTTGATTTTTGGCTCAATATACATTTTAGATTCTGAAAATCTTTGCTGAGACATTGCGCAACTTTGGCTAGAGGCATTTATTTGATGCAATTGATATCATGACCGCCTGTTATCCCACCGCTATCACCATTGACCATCTGCCGAGTTTACGAGCCTCTCTGGCTGTGACCCAGCAATGTCATTTTATCTATTTCATGGCCAAGAACTGCTTTTATTTATTATCCTTCTAGAAATCTTGTTTTTCTTTTAAGGAAGATTTTATAGAGATCTTTTATATGTTGTGTCCGATTTAGATTTCCGTCCGATTTAGATTCAATCTAAATCTTATATAGATTGAACAATAGTACGTCTTATATAGATTGAACAATAATATAAATGTGCTGGCATCTCTCCGCTGCCATTTTCCTCGCCCACATGATAAAGCTGCGCTCCCTTTTGTTCAATCACGAGCGCAAATCTTTTCAGCAAGTTGCTTTCGTGGTAGTTTTGTGGTAGTTTTGGTTTCTCGCAGTTTTCACGATGATTGTGGAACGTTTCAACCATCAAATTGTAGGCTTCAGCGGTTGGAATTTGTCCTCTTTTCTTCTTTTGTAAAAACACGCCAAATTCTTGGTCAAAAAGGTCCTCCATCTGTAAAAAAAGCAGCATTTAATAGGAAAACAAGAAAACAAAAAAATTCTCAAAAAAAGACAATAAAATTTCTTTGAAAAGCGCAGAAAATTGCAAAAAAACGCTTAAGAACATATCTTAAGCACGTTTATTATTGTTCGATCTGTATCGGACGTCCGATATAGACTGTAATCAATAAAAGACCTTGGAAAGATGCAGAAAACTACAGAAAACGCTTAAGAACATATATTAAGCATGTTTATATTATTGCTCAATCTATACAAGACGTATGTTCAATCTATTGGGTTGGGGAGAATGAGTCGGCGCCGAAAATGAAAAAATGTCTAAAACTTCTATTCGACTTCGTCAAATAATATGCGTTTGATATGAGTAGAATGGTTAACTAATTCTCTACAAAATGACATTTAAAAGAAAATTCAAACAGCGCCTCCGCTCAAGAAAAAGCCATTTTTTCACAAAAACTACAAACTGTGATCTAGAAAAAACCATTGGTGGGATCTTCCTGCAAATTTGGCAACTTAAGTAATTCAATGTGCTCTATCTTTTTTATATAAACACCAAAGAAGGTTTATGTGAAAGAAACTGTTCAAATGATGAGTCGGACTCTTTGCCATTTTAACCAGCTGCGTTTGGAAGTTCATAAACTCCACGAAAGAAAAGCTTTGTGGAATCTCTCGAAAGGCATTTTGTAGAGAAATAGTGGATCCTTTTGATCAAACCAAACGTATGTTTAAAGAAGGCTTTATGTGTGCAAAAAGTCCCTTTAAAGTTCGGCGCCGACTCATTCTCCCCAACCCAATATTTAGATTGAATCTAAATCGGACACAACATATATATATCTTTTTATAGATGTTTTGGAAAGCATTCTTTCTCTTGATATGCACTGCGGTGGCCGTGGAATTCACCAAACCGAAATTGGTGAATGGACGCATTCTCACGCAAAACACTGACTTTGGAGCAATGTGAGTCTGAATTTTAATGTTAATTCAAGAGTTGAAGAAGTGATAAACTTGAAAGAAGTGCTAAACTAGCATTTCAGGATCAGCAAAGCTCGACAATGCATGAACGCTCAATGGAACTTCACCACTCCAGATTTCGAGCGATACACACTTTTCAAGAGATCTCTGCAGCGTTTCTGCCGTCGAATTCCACTCATTGAAGGTTTGTTAAAGGTTAATTTAATGGTTAATTTAATAAATTTAATTAATTCAATTAATTTAATTAATTTAATTACAATTAATAAAGCTTAAAGATAAATTTCAGTAGTTATATTGGGTTGGGGACTATGACTCGGCGGACAAAAGAAAGGCAAATTTATTGAACATAAAACCATCAATTCATTCCAAATAATTTCCATTATTATTGACGACTTCTGCCCATTTTACAGGCAATTTGCGGATTCCTCTTTCGTAGTAGGATTTTGGTTTGTGTGTGAGACAAGTGTGAGACTCAAAAATAGAGGACTGGAGACGTCCCAGTTTGAGCACTTTCTTCAAAAGAAACCCATTTTGGTGTCAATGGAAAAGTTGTAGAGAATCAAAAATCAAGCTTATATCCAAATTTTCAGAACGATTCAAACACTGGTTTTCAAGAAATGCCAAATTTACGAATTTTCACATAACTTGCATTTTAAGCGAAACTACTAAGTGTATCTTATTGGAAATTTGGCTATAAGCCTAATTTTTGATTCTCTATAACTTTTCCATTAACACCAAAATGGGTTTCTTTTGAAGAAAGTGCTCAAACTGGGACGTCTCCAGTCCTCTATTTTTGAGTCTCACACTTGTCTCACACACAAACCAAAATCCTACTACGAAAGAGGAATCCGCAAATTGCCTGTAAAATGGGCAGAAGTCGTCAATAATAATGGAAATTATTTGGAATGAATTGATGGTTTTATGTTCAATAAATTTGCCTTTCTTTTGTCCGCCGAGTCATAGTCCCCAACCCAATAGTTTCTTTATAGTTCCTTTATCGTTCCTTTATAGTTTCTTTACAGTTTCTATTTAGTTCCTTTATGGTTCCTATTTAGTTCCTTTAAAGCTCCTCTCAAGCTCCTCTCAAGCTCGTTTAAAGCTCCTCTCAAGCTCGTTTAAAGCTCCTCTCAAGCTCGTTTAAAGCTCCTCTCAAGCTCGTTTAAAGCTCCTCTCAAGCTCGTTTAAAGCTCCTTTAAAGCTCCTCTCAAGCTCGTTTAAAGCTCCTCTCAAGCTCGTTTAAAGCTCCTTTAAAGCTCCTCTCAAGCTCGTTTAAAGTTTCCCTGGAAAGTCCATTGAATCTTAATTAGTTGCATTGAATTTTAAAATGATACTGAGAATTTCATCGTATCCTTTGGTTCTTTGAAATCATTAAATGAAAATCAATGTTAAATTAGCTAGAACAAGTGTTTGACTACTTAAAAACTAAAAAAAACTAGTGCAAAGTTGAATTCAGAGCATCGGAAAGAAGTCGAAAGCAAAGGAACCAATAGAGTCTACGATTTTGCTGCGGAGACGTTGAAAATGTTGGTGAACTCAAAAATCAACTACTTTTCTTCTTGAATGTCTAAAATATTTAATTATAAAGTTTAATCATAAAGTTTAATCATAAAGTTTAATCATAAAGTTTAATCATAAAGTTTAATCATAAAGTTTAATCATAATCACATTTATCATTAATCATAATTTAATCTAAAATCATAATCATAAAATGGAAAAGTAAGAGCCGGAGAGGGAATTGAACTGAATCTCGGCTTTTTTTGCTTCTCAGGCAGATCCTTTAACCACTGAACCATCTGGTATCTGCTAGAAAAAAAAGAAGAACAAGTTCTAAATTCTCAGCAATTGCCCATTCGCTGCTGAGATGAGCCTCGATATGTTCAATGAAGAAATGGAGAACATGTTCTACCTCAACAAGATCAATATGAGTCACGGAGCTACTCCACAAGTTTGTGATAAAACTTTTTTTAAATTAGCTAAAAGCTATTGTACTAAAAGCAATTCTGCTGGAAGCTATTGTTAAAAGCTACTGCTAAAAGCTACTGTTAAAAGCAATTTATTCTTATAATATCATAAGCTTTTTGTATAGAATCATACAATTCAGTTCACTCCACAAGTTTGTGACAAAACTTTTTTTAAATTAGCTAAAAGCTATTGTACTAAAAGCAATTCTGCTGGAAGCTATTGTTAAAAGCTACTGCTAAAAGCTACTGTTAAAAGCTACTGTTAAAAGCTCAGCTACAGATAAAACCTACTGCTAAAAGCTACTGTTAAAAGCTACTGTTAAAAGCAATTTATTCTTATAATAAGCTTTTTGTATAGAATTATAGAATTTTGAGATTCCATTGCATAGAAAGTTTCAGCACCTCCTCAACGCAGCTGGTTTCACTGGTGGATGGGATCTGGAAAAACTCTTTGTTCAAAAGGTTTCTTGGCTAAGAACTGCTTTTATTTATTAATCCTCTATAAAGCTTGTTTTTCTTTTAAGGAAGTCTTCAGTCGACAACTATCAACCTAGATTTAAACTAGACTACAACTATCAACTTAGATTTGAAGCCAGAGCTTTTAATCTTTATAAAACTCTTCAAAAATTTGTTCAAAAATAGCTAATTTTGTTTTTTTTTTCAGTCGATGCGCGTTCGTCCTCTTTACTGTGAAGAAAACGGAGTGATGATGGAGATTTGTGTGCCCTCGATTATGGATCGTTTCTATGGAGATGTTGAACAGGTTTGATTTAGTAAAGTAAAAGAAAAATGCTACTTTGAGATCACTTAAAACAGAAGCGCATCTTACAACAGATCTTTGCAACTTCTTGATCTTGCAACAGATCAAGAAGCTCATTGCAGAGCTTCTTGATCTGTTGCATTTCCTTAGTTAGAAACATCAACTCATCATAATGTCAAGAAAAGCTCAGTTAACCTCTTTTTGAGCATTTTCTCGTTTATTTTTTTTGGCATTCTCTCTCTCATCTCAGAATTGTTCTAAACGGCTTCATAGATCGCTAATTTTAGCTAAAATTTTAATTTTAACTTTAGCAGATAGCTAAGTTTTTTTTCTACATTTAATGAAAATAAGAAACACAAAAAAAAATTAATTATTTTGCATTATTTTGGACTGTTTATACACGGCACTGTTTTGCTCAGTTCCCAAAAATTGGGACAGCTTACTAACAAAAGACAGCTACCAAAAGACTCAGTTTAAGTAGCTAACGGTTAAGCCGGTGAGGCAGCTTCCGCTAACGTTAAGCAGCTAACGTTAAGCAGCTAACGTTAAGCAGCTAACGTTAAGCAGCTAACGGTTAAGCAAGCAGCTAACGTTAAGCAGCTAACGTTAAGCAGCTAACGGTTAAGCAAGCAGCTAACGTTAAGCAGCTAACGTTAAGCAGCTAACGGTTAAGCCGGTTAAGCAGCAGCAGTTCCCAAAAATTGGGACAGCTTACTAACAAAAGACAGCTACCAAAAGACTCAGCTTAAGCAGCTAACGGTTAAGCCGGTTAAGCAGCTAACGGAAAAATCTAAATCAAGTCTAAAAGCGCTCGAACAGCTCTCGAAACGATTCGCTATCAATTCTAATTATAAAATAGTAACTGTTGAAGTAAGTAACTCGCTGGAGAAGAAAGAAAGGAGTTACGTTTACTTACGAATCTTACGATCTTAAGTAATCTTAAGTAGTTTAGCGAGAAAAGCGTCAAATACGAAATTCAGATCATTGACATTGGAACGTTCAACATTGAAAATAAGAGCTTCTCTCATATGAACGCTCCAACGCAAGCAATCAACACTCGAAAAGATGGAAAATTGATCAGTTTCAATGATGAGACTTGCATGAATCCGGTGAGTTCAATGAAGTTGAGCAATCTCTAATGTTTTTTGAAAAGATAAAAGGCAATGAGAACCTATTAGAAGACTAATTGACTATAGAAAAATGTCAAAAGAAGACTTTAAAGCTCAAAGTTTTGCCTTCACGTTCCAAGTTTCCAGTTCGAGCTCGGTTTTGTGTGTTCGGCCGAAGCAATGAACTCGTGCAATGTGGCGACTTTTGAGGATTGTCCTCTTGTAAACGTGCAAATCACCACGAATTTTACCTACATTCGTGATTTCTCCACTTTCTATTTGGTCGCCACTTTGGAAAAGGTAACTTTTGTGACAGAAAGTAGCTGTAACGAAGAGCTTACTTTTAAAAGCTTACTTTACTTACTTTACTTTGCTTACACTCTTTTTAAGCGCAAGAAAGCTTACTCTTAAAAATTTTCTGGAATCTTATACTGTTTATGCCCAAAAAGCTATCTAAAAACGGATTATATTGCTTTAAAAAGGATTATATTGCTTTAGAGCGGATTAGATTGCTTTAGAACGGTTTATATTTCTTTAAAACGGATTATATTGCTTTAGAACGGATTATATTGCTTTAAAAAGGATTATATGGCTTTAAAACGGATGATATTGCTTTAAAATGGATTATATTTTCCAAATTGCTTTAATGCTTCAAGAATTCTAGAGAATTTCTTAGTTAAAATTTTGTAATTTCTTGGAAACTCTTTGAAATGAGATAATTTTCAGGAAGGCCACTTGCTCAACTCGACCGGTGATTCGAAACTTGTCACTTTGCCCGCAAACATTTTCTTGGTGGCTGTCGGTGATGGAGAAACAGTGGTGATTGGAGAAGAAAAGATGGAACCAATCAAGGGCACAAAATTCAGCAAAACTACTTTCATCAACGTTAACGAATTGGTAAAGTAAAGAAATGAATGGGAAAGGACTTGGAGGGGAATTGAACCCTCGACCTTCTGCTTATCAGGCAGAGATGCGCTACCATTGAGCTACCCTCTTTCCCAAGAAATATTAGGTTGTTAAAAAAGTTCGCGGTCACTTGTAGAAAAATTCAATTTTTCAATAAACAACAAAAACAAGAACGTTTACTCTTCGAAGTATAGGTTGTCATTCTCTACGACCTTCTGCCATCAACAACAACAACAACTCTTCGAAGTATAGACTGCTATTCTCTACGACGTTTTGCCATCAACACCAACAACAAATCTTCAAAGTATAGGTTGTCATTCTCTACGACCTTCTGCCATCAACAACAACAACAACAACAACAACAACTCTTCCAAGTATAGGCTGTTATTCTCTACGACCTTTTGCCATCAACAACAACAACAACTCTTCGAAGTATAGTCCCTCATTCTCTACGACCTTCTGCCATCGATCAACAAGATTTCGGATCTACTCGAAGTACCAAGCCGACTCCTTTGAATCAAAGAACTCTTGACCCGCTTCTTCAACTACACTTTAACTTCAACTTCTTGTCTTCAAGATTAAAATCACCGCCATTGAAGCGTTTAAATCACTTGATCGCAGCAATTTTACCAACACTTCCTTCGCCTTCCACCCTACAAATCACTTCAGTAGCAGATCTCGCAGACAGACCTTTTTCCAATAGAGCAAAACACAAAGTTCACTTTTAAATCTAAAGATATTGAATTGTAAAGTGAGTTATATAACAAAATGTTCGCAAGAAAGCAGGCTTTCAAATGAGCCAGGCAAAACCGGGCTTTCAAATGAACCAGGCAAAAACAGGCTTTCAAATGAACCAGGCAAAACCAGGCTTTCAAATGAGCCAGGCAAAACCGGGCTTTCAAAAACCATAAGAATCTATTGTCAAAGTAATTAGATAATTTGAACTTTTCTGCAAGTGACCGCAAACTTTTTTAATAATCTAATTAGGAAAGACAAGAAGGAAGAAAGAAAGAGAAGGAAATAGCCGAGCCTTCAGAACTGTGGACTTGAAAGAGCAAAACAACTTAACAACAAATATAAACTTGCTGATTAGTACTTTGTTTTCAGTTCCAAACAAGAAATCAATTAATCTAATCATTTTCAGCCTTTAAAACTACCCAAATCCAATATTACTTTTCATTTTTGTTTTCTCAAAAACTCAAAAACCAATTCTCAGTTTTCCCAAAAGCCTTTCCCATTGTCTTATAGTGAAAAATACTTTTCTTTTGTGTTCAACTCCAACGACTACACTGGGAGAACATTAGTAATCATTTTTAGAGAAAAAAAACGATACTCAACAATTCAATAGATACTCAAAATCTTCATTAACTTCAAAAATATCTTGAATAGATTCTCACAAATGGTCTAACAATGAGAGATTAGGTCCAACTCAAATAATCAAATAATCCCAATTGTTCAGGCTGAACCCAAGCAAATGGAGACTCAGGCAAAGAAGAATTTCATCCAAAAAATGTTCAGTTTCTTCGGGAAATAGGAAATTATTGAAAGAAGATTCACAAAAGATGATTCACAAAAGATTTTACGTGTTTTGATCTCGTTTCTTTTTCTGTTTAATTTAATTACAACCTTCATTTCTTGGTTGATACTTTCTATTAGTTAAATAAAGTTTTCTGATGATTTCTGATTGTTCTTGGTTGTAAACTGTAAAGGAACAGTCATTTTAAATGAACAGAAAATGTAAATGAACAAAGCTTTATGGAAATAATAATGACTCGATCTTGATTTTCCTATAAAACCTTTAACTTTACCTTTCAAAAAAGCTTAATGAGAGTTTCTTCTGAGAGAAATTTATGCCATTTTTACTTTGCAGAATTTATATTTTGAAATTGTAAAGCTAAAATGAAGTAAGAGTTACAGAAAAATCAAAAAATCAAAAAAAATCAACCTACAAAAGCATTTAAAAAAAACTTACAAGAAAGTACAAAAGAAAGTACAAAAGAAAGTACAAAAGAAAGTATAAAAGAAAATACAAAAGAAAATACAAAAGAAAGTACACAAGAAAGAGAAAGAAGAAACAGAAATAGAAACACTCAAGCTTACGCAAAGATCAATTCCACGGGTAAAAAGTTTTCTAAAACATTAAATGAGTCCTAAAACATTAAATGAGTTCTGAAACAATAAATGACTATTTAAAGAGTTCAAAGGAAAGTCTTGTGGTTTAGAATTCGATTTTAGAGCTACTGGTTAACGCCAATCAATGAACAGCGATCAATTCTTGTTCGAAATTTGTACTTTCTTTTAGATATGTAGAGAAGAGGTGTGTTCGGGAGCCGAGGCGCTTGGGAGAATCTTCGTCGTTCGCAAGCAGTTGATCTTGTAAAGACCCAACATGTGACCAACCTAGATTACAGTTTAAAGCCATTCAGCCAAAGTTTAAAGCCATTCAGCCAAAGTTTAAAGCCATTTTTTAAAGACCAATCACTTCTGCGAATGCTAAACCAGCACTTATTCTTGTGATTTTTTTATTTACCTCTCGTTGAATGGTTCGATTCAAAGCCAGGTAGACAATTGCTGGGAAACCTGAAAGAAAACCAAAAATGCCTTCAACATAAGCTTTCTTTTGATCCATTTTCTATAGACAAGTTTTGTAATACTAGCTGTAATACTGTTATACTAGTTACTAGTTTTGCAATACTAGTTGTAACACTGTAATACTAGTTGTAGTACTGTAATACTAGTTGTACTACTGTAATACTAGTTGTAACACTGTAATACTAGTTGTAACACTGTAATACTAGTTACTAGTTTTGTAATACTTGTTCTCATGAGTGTTTTGGATTGATTTTCCCATGATGGATTAAGATTTATCTTTAGAGACTTATCGAAAAGTTACTAGAGTTTAAAAATGCTTACTAGAGATTGCTTCTTTTTTGTTTTTTGTCTCTTTTTCTAGTTTTTCTTTTTTGCAAGAGGAATCGAACCCGAGCAAAAAGCGCTGTCTTTGATACAAGGCTCTTATCCACTACGCCACCAGCACACTTGTTCTCCAGAGTGAAAGAGACTTTATGGAGGCAACCCAAAACTTCAAATGCTCATAACTTTTGACAGAAAGTTCTTTTGCCGATTTTGAAAGCACTTTCGGAACCTCTATGAAAAACTGCGTAAGATGAGCTAGGTCTCATTACAGAGACTGTTGATCTGCTGCACTTCCTTAGTTAGAAACATCAACTCATCAACTCATCAACTCATCAACAACTACTCACCATGCCCCCATTGCCAATTGATATGACCAATGAGAATAAAAACGTCCGGAGTGGGGAAAAACTGAAAAGTAAACGTGTACCCTTTGATACAAGCAATTCATTATTGATTCCCAGGCAATGATTGTGAAATTTAGTCTATCTTACCTGCATGTAGACGTAAATCAGCGCAGCGATGAGATTAGCCAGACAGATGAGGGTTGCTTGGATGAAGATCTAAATTTATGCTCAGTTTTACTCTGTTATCGTTTATCAACCGAACAAACCCGTTTAACAGCGGGTTTTTCTAGCTGGATGTTCTGGGGTTGACGTTTGTCGCCGTGGCGCAGTTGGGGCGCGCTTGTCTACGGCGCACACGAGTCTACGGCCTCCGGGTTCGACCCCCCGCAGTGCCAGTCAATTTTGAGGTTTTCAATTTTTATTTGAAATGGCACAACTATATTATACTTTAAGACTTTTTTGAAAAATTTCAATTTTTTTGGGCCCAAAGACGGCTGAGAAAAGTCTGCACGGACGGATGGACGGACGGCTGGATGGACAGATGGACGGACGGATGGACAGATGGACGGACGGACGAATAGACGAACGGACGGACGGACGGACGGACGGACGGACGAATAGACGAACGGATGGACGGATGGACAAACGGACGGACAGACAGACGGACAGACTGACACTTCCCTTTTATCTATAGTAGATCTTACCGATTTCTGTGTCCACGACATTCCGGAGCTGTAATCGGTTTTGAATTTGCTTGCGAGAATGTAGCAGAGTCCGGTGTACAGCCAGCAAGTGGCCACCACAATCAACAAGTTATTGGCGGTGTGTGGGTAGTTGAGGTACTGGAATCGAGATTTAAATCACCCGTGCACCAGAAAGAGGTTTTATTGAGTTTCATTGGGGTTTTATTGCGTATGCTGAACATTAATGAAAGCAGTTTTTCGTAGTAACAGTTTTTGGCAGTTTTAACAGTAACAGAAAACAGTTTTTCGTAGTTTTTGGTGGTAAACGAGGCAATATCTTTTATTTCCGAACCTCTGGATCCCGACTCTCCTCATAAATGAACGGCGAAAAGAACCAAGCCGCATGCGACGAACTGAAGCATAATGGTTGAGTGAAAAAGACGAAGTAGAGGCCATAAATCATCGGGAATGTCATCACATAGTAAGTGCGACGACCTATAAATGTTGTTTGCTGACTGAAACAATTGAACAAACCTCCAAAGATTCCATCCATGAGATGCGGCTTCCAGATGTCGACTAAACGATTGACGACCAGGAGAAGACAGGACAAGCAAGCACAACACCATAACCCTAGAAATGATTTGAGTTTTTTCTCTGCTGTGCTGCTCTTTAACCCTTTTTTAAAACCGTAAATACTTTAATAGAACTCCCACAATGACTGGCGTACAGTCTCGTAGTCTAACTTTGAACGTCCCGTTCTCCGCACTGCTTTAAGCTACAATGTGCGCTTGGGTGTCAAACGATAGCCCTTGAAATCTAGTATTTTTTAGTACTAAAAGTGTAGCTGGGAAAATCTAGGGAGTGAGAAAAAAAATGGTTTTCTAAAAAGACTATACTAAAAAGACTAGACTACGATGGCGTTCTATTACCAGCAAAAAGCAAAAGGATTGGCCGCAATTGGGCCTACTAAAACCAAATTTCCAATCTTTCTTTCCTTTCCTAATCTTTCTTACCTAATCCAATCGCTCCACTGATGTAAATGAGATCTGGATGCGAGCAGTAGACAGCGCCTTCGATCATGAAAATCCCGGTCAACACCGAGTTTACAACGATCGCGGCCATGTCGATGACGCCGAGAATGGCCATAATCTGAAATCGATTTAAGAATGGAGCTGAGTACTCCACCAAATGGAGGTGAGTACTCCACCAAATGAAGCTGAGTACTCCACCAAATGAAGCTGAGTACTCCACCAAATGGAGCTGAGTACAAAGATCGAACTGACTTTATAGCATGACAACTTGAGGTATTGAGGTCGAGTGATGACCATGAGACATGGAACGTACATGAGCTGAAAATTTGCGTCGATGAGCTGCAAATACTTTCCCATTCACCAACCTCGACAATGATTCCGTAGGTGAGAAAAATTGAGCCAAGAATTGGATCCTTTTTGCCTTTTGCGGCCCATTCTTCTGAAGTGACGTTTACTGCTCTAAAATTTGCTGCTTTGTTTAACTGCTTGTTCAACTGGTTTTTTGCAAATCGATTTCTCGACAATTCTCAAATCAAGCTTATGTAAATTTGATCTCAAAAATGTAAATTGATAATTTGTAAATGTAAATTGATATCTTGTTTTTAAAACATTGAAACCACTCAAAAGATGGATTGAAAACGTGATTTAATAGTGCTAATAGTGCTAATAGTGCTAACGATCCTTAGATCCGTCACCAGCCTTTCCTCTCAACTTACTCGCAATTGTACGCTGGAAGATTGCGCAGGCCACCAGCCCGAATATACCACTCCATCAGCAGACAGAAAAATCGGGTACAAAGTAAGATTTGTTCAAGTTTATATACGGTCTACCAGATTATCGGTGGATCCAATAATTTCTGATTGGTGAGGAACGGTGAATAGATTTGGAAAGAAATAAAAGAAAAGGGATTATGACGAAAAAACGAAGTAGAAGAAGTTATTGTCATGCGAAGAGAGCCGGTTAAAGACGGATTCATAGAAATGAAAGAAAGAGAATTTGAATGAATGCATTGGAATCTTGTCATAGGTTATAGAAAACTTATGCTCTGACTACATTGTTTAGGTGATTTCTGTTCTTTGTGTCAGAATTTTGAATAGAAAGGCAACGAAGAGGCAATATCGGAAGTGTTTTCAAGAGTTCGAAGTTGTTGAGTACTATCGGGACTGTGACGAGTCACCAAAAAGCTGCCACAGTCAATAAGACAATAGACAATAATAAGACACCAGAAATACCGTACCCTAAACAATGTCGCGCTTAGACGCGTATAAAAGGACGCCTCAGACGCGTATAAAAGGAGGCCTCACTCCGTATATAAGGACGCCTCACTCCGTATAAAAGGACGCCTCAGTCCGTATAAAAGGAGGCCTCACTCCGTATAAAAGGACGCCTCACTCCGTATAAAAGGAGGCCTCACTCCGTATATAAGGACGCCTCAGTTCGTATATAAGGACGCCTCACTTCGTATAAAAGGACGCCTCAGACGCGTATAAAAGGACGCCTCAATCCGTATAAAAGGACGCCTCATTGGATTTTTCTCATTTGTCTTGTGAAAGTTGTTTTCTTTTGTTCGAGATACTTCCACAACTTTCGTAAGTGATTTCTTTTTGTTACCGTGCCAATATATTGTTTCTTGGAGCTTTGTTGAATCATTGTCACACGCTTTAGCATGAGAACTGCGGTAGTTTGCGGGCTTTTTAGAAAGCTTTGTTTGAGATGCATACACTCTACACAGGTCAAGCTACGTCTAGTGAGTTCAAGAGAAAGTACACTAGTAATTCGTGATACAGAGCAAATCAGCAAATTAGTTATACAGAGCAAGTTTATTAGGGGAATGCATAGAACATTAGTTGAGAATAGAAGTTGATATACTGAAGCTAGATAACTGATAACTTTAACAAGTCATACTGTTCCGTTTCTTTAATTTTTCAATGTTTAACACATCTTAGAGTGTCATATTTTTGTTGTTTCGCACTTGTACATGTAGGAAAAGTTCAATTTGAGATGCTGGCTCGAAAAACAAAGAAAATGACTGAACAATTGACTGAATATCCTTTTCAATAACTTTATCAAGTCTAAATTCACCATCACTCTTTCATTTTTGATGTGTATCTCATTTTCCAATGTTGAGAAAACAATGAAATGCATTTTCTCGTGATTCCTTTAATCTGATCTACTAAATAATTCATACTGGCTTTGTTTTCTTCACAATTTTCTCATCTTTATTTCTCTCATCTTTATTAAATTAATTTGAAAGATTAATGTAAGAAGCAATTGAATTGATTTGAATAGAGACTATTTGAGAAACAATTTTCGGTGAATCTAAATTGATATGCCAGCAAATCGGCTACAAAAAGGCTTTAGAAAACCGGGAGAGATATTTGTGACCAGAAAAATTTGAGCAACAAGAATTGAAAAAGAAAAAGATTGGAAAAGATTGGAAATCTAATCAAAACACAAGTTCAGACTTTGCTGGTTTTGACCCTCGGAATTCTTGACGACACATTTGTATTTGGCTTCATCCTCTTTGATTGGACCCGTGATCTCCAAGAGGAATTGATAGCCGTCCTTGTCCTGGAAATTATTTTGGTTTTGGTGAATTGAAAACTGCCGGGCTTTGAACTAAAATTGATTCAAAGTTTCAAAGTTAAAGGACTAAACAGGCTATCTTGAGCTATCTTGAGCTATCTTGATAACAATGAGCTATCTTGATAACAATGAGCGATCTTGAGTTTTTCCTTTTGTTTCTAGCCAGCTGTTGAAAAATCTGGATCATCTGGATCATCTGATCAAGATAAAAGCCTTGTATTTGGCTTCATCCTCTTTGATAGCTCATTGCCTGTTTAGTCCTTTAACTTTGAAACTTTGAATCAATTTTAGTTCAAAGTTTGGATAATTTGGATTGGATCCGGATTGGACTTGGATTGGATTAGTTGAATGCAAATTAAACGTAAATTTAATAAAATGTATTTGTCATCTAAAGTTTAGTCTATCTAAAGGTCATTTTCATTTCTATTGTACGTCATTTGTATTTATTGGGTTGGTGAATTCAAAACTGCGGGACTTTGAACTAAAATTTATTGCACATAAAGCCATCAATTCTTTCCAAACGATTTCCATTATTATTGACGACTTCAGGCCCATTTTACAGGCAATTTGCGGATTCCTCTTTCGTAGTTGGATTTTGGTTTTGAATCGAAAAACTTTCAAGCCAATTTTTGACTGCTTCTTCTGAATCGAAGTGTTCTCCCGCAAACTCATTACTGATGGTCCGAAATAAATAGTAATCAGAAGGGGCGAGGTCCGAACTGTATGGGGGATGCGCCAAAAATTCCCAAACAAGGCTATTTATTTTAGAGCGAGTCAGTTTTGCAACATAAGGGCGCGCGTTATCGTGGATGAGAACGATCTTTGACTTGGAGGGCCTATTCTTCTTCAGGGATCCATTCACCTTTCCCAACTGTTCACTGTATTTGATTGCATTAAGGGTCGTCTTGCTATCCAGCAATTCCCAGCAACATCCTCGAAAGTCACTAGTTCTAAGGAAATTAAGCAATTTTTTTTCAAAATTTCTATTTACCGAAATTTCAAAATGCCTTTTGCTACAAGAATAAATAATAGTAAATAGATTTAAATTGGATTACCGTAATCTTGTCATCATTTTCTATCTAATCTATCTATTGGGTTGGTGAATTGAAAACTGCGGGACTTTGAACTAAAATTTATTGAACATAAAACCATGAACTCATTCGAAATATTCCATTATTATAATTCCATTATTATTGACGACTTCTGCCCATTTTACAGGCAATTTGCAGATTCCTTTTTCGTAGTAGGATTTTGGTTTGTGTGTGAGACAAGTGTGAGACTCAAAAATGGAGGACTGGAGATGGAGACTGGAGATCCCAGTTTGAGCACTTTCTTCAAAAGAGACCCATTTTGGTGTCAATGGAAAAGTTGTAGAGAATCAAAAATCAAGCTTATAGCCAAATTTTCAAAAAGATACACTTAGTAGTTTCGCTTAAAATGCAAGTTTTGTGAAGATTTGGCATTTCTTTCTTAAATTTGGCATTTCTTGAAAGCTAGTTTTTGAATCGTTCTGAAAATTTGGATATAAGCTTGATTTTTGATTCTCTACAACTTTTCCATTGACACCAAAATGGGTTTCTTTTGTAGAAAGTGCTCAAACTGTCACATATGACAATAGCCGACAGTTTTCAATTCACCAACCCAATATTTGCATTTGACACAACTAAATTGTCTAAAGAATAAGGAGAAATGTGAATTTTGAAATGTAATGTAAAAGAAATGCAGATTTTGTGGCTCGAAGCGTTTGGGGTTTCAAAATTTAGTTTCAAAATGAATTTGATGATCGAGTTTAGATGTTTTCTGGGTTAATATGACGAGAAAGTATCGAAATCACTATTTGGATTGTGACTCAATGTAGCTTATCCTAAAGTTTTTGATTTAAAACTAAGCATTATAGCATAATAAGTATTATACATTATAAATAACAAGTGCTCAAACTGTCACATATGACAATAGCCCGCGGTTTTCAATTCACCAACCCAATAATTTTATGTCTCGAGTAGCTTTAGTCTTTAGACATTTCATGTTTCTATCAACAAAGAAAATTCAAATCCGATTCAATAGCCATTTTACAAGACTTTGTAGCTTGTGGAACTTTAGAACGCACCTTATCGTCTTTCTTCACAACAGCTTTCACTCGATCGTTACATTTAACAGGCTTGTCATCCTAAAATCAGAATAGATTTTAAGGGCCTTAAAATAGCGCAATAAAATTTATATTCTATATGAATTGTCTAAATCAAACCTTGAACCATTCAGCCTTCATCTCGAGATGAGATTTTGCACGGACTTTGATCACAATAACGTTTCCGCCATCCCTTTGAACAATATGAGGCTTATCGTGGAATTCGGGGGCATCTGGAAATTACATACCGTAATTACATACCAACTATTACTGTCTTCGATAAGCCCGACCCGAAGATGACAAATTATGAGTGAGTTGGCTAATTTAATAAGTACTTAGGTTAATAAGTACTCATGGGTGGATGGGACTCCAGTTGACTATTTCACATCACGTCTATTTTCCAATCAACGACGAGACAATGGCTTTTGGGGTAATCTTAATTGTATTTTGTGCAGTAGAATGAAAACCCATGCTTTCTGGCGTATTAAAAGTATTTTTAATTTGGTATGCCAGCTCTGATCTGACTTCTGGCCACCCCTGACTAGCCTGGCTTACAGGACTTACCGTAAATACTGTAATAGTACCCAACCCCCCTCGTACAGTCGCGTAGTCACAAAAGTTTTTTAGTATTTCATTTTTTTCGAAGCGCCCGTACTTTCAAAAAATGTGTCTTTGGTATCAAAAAATAGCCCTGAATTTCAGCTATTTTTTGATATTTAAACGCGCATTGTAGCATAAACTCGTGTCGAGAAAAACTCGTTCAAAGCTAGACTACCCAACACTCCGCACCGTCATTATGGGGGTGGGGTACAGGATTTACGGTAAGGTTTTAAAACTCTTGAGAATTTTATAGTTGTTTTAAATCATTTCCCGCAGATTATTTATTTGTTAACTGAAGTGTTTTCTAACTTCAGTGTTAAAGTCGGCCTATTTGTGCCCCTATTTGTGCCCCTATTTGTGCCCCTATTTGTCCGCCATTTCCTAGCAATTGTTTCTCTTTGATCAAATTCGTTGTCGAGCTTTTGTTTTGAAAAGAATTACTCAATAAATAAAGAATAAATAAATAAATAATAAATAAAGAATTACTTTCCCAATAAATAAATTGTTAAATCAACTTTGTCAACTACTTTAATTGATCAACATCAAGGAAACACATAAATACAGGCTGAGGCATAATCACAGTTCCTTTTGGACTATTCGAACTGGACGATTTTGAACTATTTTGGACTATTTTGGACTATTTTGGACTATTCATTTGGACTATTTGAATTTCAAACAAAGCTATTTCGTGTATAGCAAATGCAAATGCAAATCTATCCATATCTTATATAATCTATCTTATCCTTCATTTCTATATCAAAATGAAATCATTTTTAATATTTTGAACCCCTTTTCTAGTTCTAGAACAAGCTCTAGAACAAGCTCTAGAACAAGCTCTAGAACAATCTCTAGAACAAGTTCTAGAAAAAGCTCTAGAACAGTTCTTCTTCACTTCACCCACCTCCAACAGTGACAGTGAAAGCGGCACTGTTCTCTCCATCAGCCGAGAAGAATTTCGCTTTGTACTCACCAGCCAACGGTTTGTCGAATTCCTAAAGCATTTGCGTTTAAAAGCTACTAATCTACTGGCTAAAATGCTTGAAAAATGCTCTGATCTTGAGAAAATCTCACCTTAATCAAACAGGTCAATTTCTTTCTGTTTCCTCCCTCATCGGAGTGGGAGAACACATAATTGTCGCTTTCTTCCAATTCTCGGTCACCCAAAAGCCATTTCGTTTTTACTGGATCGGCTCCGGTTACAACAACCTCAAAGATTCAAAGATTAAAAGAGTTTTTTTTCATTGAAGCAATCGATCATTTGGGATTGGACAATTGGCTTTGTAAAAATGTGTCTACGAATGGTTTTTTCTGGATTTGAGATTATCTACAAATGATTTTAAGGGTAATTTACAAGATAAAGAGTTTAAAAAAGCCTAAACAAGGCGTTTAAATCAATTCCAACTTAAAGATACTGTAAAATCCAAGTCCCATAGCCATTACAGTAGTCAGAATAATCAATATTCAAACACTAAGACATTCAGATCTTTAGCTGCATTCAAGGAACATTGAGAAGTCGGGTACAAAAAACTTTTTAGATATAGATTTCTCTTCAAAATTGCTAGCTTGTTTGTCTCAATTTCACAATTTCACAATCAACATTTGAGTAGGTGGTGTTGAAAGTGGAGACAGAGAAAAGGGATGAGGTGGCCATTTGGTCTTAAAGTGTGGGCGCTCCTTTCCCCTCACTTGCAGCATTTTTTTGTCACCTGTCAGAGAAAAGAGTTAAGTGAGACAAAAAAGCTCCCGAAAGAAAAAGGCTGAAACCAAGAGCCATTTGGTTGAATCTTTTCAATGCAATCTTGGGCTTTGTTTACGTTTCAAAAGTCGGCTAGTGAAGAGCAGAAAAGGGATGAGGTGGCCATTTGGTCTTAAAGTGTGGGCGCTCCTTTCCCTTACGCTCCTTACGTTTCAAAAGTCGGCTAGTGAAGAGCAGAGTCACAGAATTTGCTAAAGTAAACTTAATGAATGCCAATGAATGCAAATTAATGCAAATTAATGTCAATGAATGCAAATTAATGCCAATTAATGCTAATTAATGTCAATGAATGCCAATGAATTCCAATGAATGCCAATGATTTCCAATGAATGCAAATGCTGTCAATGAATGCTAATTAATGTCAATTAATACTAATTAATACTAACTAATGCCAATTAATGCCAATTAATGCATTCAATACAATTCTTTAATTCAATCTTAGTCAAAAACAAGCAAATGGCTTGCTTCGAACACTTTAGATTTATCTTACTCACTAAACTTCCAAAAAGTTACTGCCTAGTAGTGTTTACTAAAGTAAGTAAGCTTTGCTTGGTGCTTTTTCTCTTTTTCGTATGTAAATTTTCGCAATTTCCAGCTTTTCACCTTTGGCGGAGTCGGTAGCGCGCTTGTCTACGGCCCAGAAGTCCAGTTTACTCTAGTTCTACTGTAGTTTACTGTAGCTTTAGTCCAGGTTCGACTCCCGATTGTGTCGTGACTTTTGCTATTTAAAAAACGAAATATGAGATGCACAACTACATAGAATTCTAAGGCAAATAAACTAAAAATAATGTAAATCGGTCCATGAGAAGCAGAGAATTCGACGTAAAGATGACGAGTACCGACGGACGGACACTTCCCTTTTATATAGTAGATTCCTTTACTATATTGAACTATTTCCTTTGTTATCTAGATTCTATATAGATTGCTGTTTACTATATATAGTAGATTCTTTTACAATATTAACTCGTATTGAAAAGCCGTAACGATTAATGTAACTCGTGTCTTTTCGTTGTATCATTTCTGAAAAAAGCTCAAGGTTAATCAGCTGAAAACAGCTGAAACTTCCAAACAAATTAATTTGCAAAACAGTTTTAACCCAAATTTCCTATTCTTTTTGAAATTCTTATTGAAATTCTTATTGAAATTGAGCAGTTGAAAGATTCCAATCAATAGTTGAGTTCACTTTTCAAATCACCGACCTCTAGTGTAACATTTCCATCAGCTGAGATGATTTTTGGTTCTCCGTAGATCGCTGGCGGGGCCATCTGCAATTTTTCTTTCAAAAACTCTTGAAATTGTTTCAAGAAACAATTGGGAAAGCGAAAAGGCTAATCGTGAGCATTAGAAATCATAAAAAAAGTTGTTGACTTTGAAAATAAAGAAAAAATTTAGAAAAGAATTTGGAAAAGAATTTAGAAAAGAATTTAGAAAAGAAAATTCTTGTCTAGCAATTTTACAAGAAGGTTTTCAATGTGTTTTATTGTTAAAAAGCATTGTAACTATTGTAACTTCGTTTTTAAAACTCCTATTCAACTCTGGGATTGCAGAGAAAAAACAAAAATGATTGATCGATCAAATCACTTTCGATCAAATTGAAAATCGAGGAATTAAGAAAAATTGGGGGTGGGACAAATGCGACCTTCTTTTTGCGCACCTGGACATTTGCGCACCTTTTTTTTGCTGGAAAAGGCCTTAGGAAAGGTCGTAGAGCTTCAAAAAGTTTCCATAGAAGGGAATCGTATGCGTAGATTCCGAATTTCGACAAATCAGACCTCGCTGACACGTCAAATTTGGGCTAAAAGGCAAAAACAGCGGAAAAGCGTTAAGTTGCGTAGTTTTTGCCTTTTAGTCCAAATTTGACGTGTCAACGAGGTCTGATTTGTCGAAATTCGGAATCTAGGCATACGATTCCCTTGTAGGGAAAGATTTTTGAAGCTTTACGGCCTTGCCTAAGGTGCGCAAATGTCCAGGTGCGCAAAAAAAGGTCGCATTTGTCCCACCAAAATTCAATCTTTTTTTTAAAGTGGGGAAGATTTAAAAGAGAAAAGAAAAGAAAAGAAAAGAAAAGAGAACAAAACAAAAGAAAAGAAAGCACAAAACAAAACAAAACAAAGCAAAAACATATTAACAACTTCCACCAAAAAAGGCCCACGCACTTGTCTTTCATCAGCTAAGTGCTGGGTACTAGTTTGAGTATCCTAACTCCTCTCTGCAACACCGTTTCTTGACATTTTTCATCTCAAAAAAGCGAAGTGTCCGCCCTCCATTCGAGCCACATTGTTTGCTTGTTTTTTTTTCTACAAATCGACGAAAAGAGAAATTTTGCGAACGAAAAGAGAAAACACAAGGTCGTTTCCAGTCATTTTCTCTATGGAAATACCAGTTAGCGGTGGGAAATTAGAGGATTGGATCGAGAGGAAATTGAGTGCAGAAAATGGGTACTTTTTATCTAAAAAAACGAAATAACTTTATGGTTTTAGTTCCAAGTTTTAGTTAAATTGCTTGTAAACTGTTGAAAATTCAGGTTGGAATGGAATTTGTTTGGAAATTCGTGAACAAGAAAAGTAGTTAAATAACGAAATCACATTTTTTGTAAAGAACTCTAAAAGTAGAGAAGGCTGGACTTCTGTAGGTTGGACTAAAGCTATAGTAAACTGCAGTAGAACTAGAGTAAACTGGACCTCTGTAGACTGGACTAAAGCTATAGTAAACTGCAGTAGAACTAGAGTAAGCTGGACTTCTGTAGGTTGGACTAAAGCTATAGTAAACTACAGTAGAACTAGAGTAAGCTGGACTTCTGTAGGTTGGACTAAAGCTATAGTAAACTGGAGTAAGCTACAATAAACTACAGTAGAACTAGAGTAAGCTGGACTTCTTTAGGCTTTTGTTATTCAAATAAAAGAAAAGTGGACCAAATGAATAGCTGAAACTAGAGAAAAACTTCAATGCTACCCAATTTTTAGAAAAGAAATGCTATCTATTTTTTAGAAAAGAAATCCTACCTATTTTCAGCCGGGTAGTTTCAGCTTTAAGAGTTTAAGGTCAAACTATTTCTGCTGAAAAGCCAAGAGCCGAAATGCTTTAGATCAACGAAAGAAGTTTAGGGTCGTAACCCGAAACGACTTTGAAATCTATGGGCCAAGCGGTGAGGCCAACCTTTTTCTTGAGGATATGGCCGTTAGCCTTAGCCTCGGGGTCCTCTCAACCCCCTCCCCTCCCTCGGAGTTGGCTGTAAAGCCGGCAGAAAGAAACTCATAGAGACACCGGGCACTCATAAGAGAAACCCCACACACTGTCAACTCTCTCATTCATGAAGAAAGGAAAAGGGAAAAACTCTCTTTTAAACAACCCAACGATTGAGCCTTGTATTTTGAAAGATTACCCCGTTGACCGGTGGCAAAACATCCGTTCGTTTTTCTTGAACGGAAAAACCCGTGTTGAGAAATCAGTTCCGGGAACTCGGAGGAGTTGAAAGAGTTTGTATAGTTGTAGGGGAAGGGTTTGTTTGGATGGAAACTGTAGAGGGATATGAATTGGATTTAGGTGCTGATCAATAGAAGATACTCCTTACAGACATGAGAAAAATTTCAAGCCAAACATAATTCCACCTTCGTTTTCTTGGCCGACTGTTGGCCGATTCTTGGCCGATTCTTGGCTGATTCTTGACCTACTCTTGGCCGATTCTTGGCCGATTCTTGGCTGATTCTTGGCCGACTCTTGGCCGATTCTTGGCTGATTCTTGGCCGACTCTTGGCTGATTCTTGACCGATTCTTGGCCTATTGCTTTTGTCTACAGATAGAAATCGACATTTTCAGCTTATAGACAAAATTTCAGAGCAATCGACCAAGAAACGACCGAGAAAACGAAGGTGGAATTAGGTTCGGCTTGGAATTTTCCCATGTATACTCCTGACCAAAGCTGGACAGATCCATTAAATCCAGCCAGACCTGTACCAGGGTTAAAATGGTATCAACTAAAGCTGATACCAGATTCAACTATTCGATTTGCGAGGATGAAATGGCGGCGTCTTCGGACGAATTTTTGAAAAAAACTAAACCATAACTTTTTCTCAAATTTTCTTCTAAAAACAATTGAAGTTTTGCTGCTTATATTGAAGTTTTGTTGCCAAAATTTCAATCTAATCTAATGCACAGACTTTTTAACACATCCTCTCTCATTTCTGAAAAGCTCTCGATCCGAAGACGCCGCCATTTCAGCCTCCGCAACCCAATAGCAGTCCAGTGTCAGGCAAAACAAACAAACAAACAAGCAAACAAGCAAACAAACAAACAAACAAACAAGCAAACAAGCAAACAAACAAACAAACAAACAATCGAAATTCAAATTCGGAATTTGTTCTGCTAAACAGATACGATTTTGACCTGCTACATTGATTACAGGGTGACACAAAAGTTCCGTTTTTTCCACCATGTTTTTCGGTCGTCAAATTCAGCTTTTAAGATAACAAAAAGCTATCCAACGCTGATAATTCTTATAAAATTTTGTAATTATAGCAACTTTATGTTAGATTTAAGGGTTTGCAAGCAAAGATCAAGTCTTTTAATTGGCAATAGATCACCAGAATCAAACCAAATGCTTAATCGCTTGAATTTCTCTCAAAAACCATCTAAATTTTTTGAAATTTCTAATTAAACGTAGCCAGTCAAAAGGAATTCTATTTTTTTAAATTCTTTCTAGACGAATAGCAAAATTTTAAGTTGATTGAAGCTGAAACACAAAACTTATAGCTCTAAAAAGTCGACGAGGCGTAATCGGCTTTGTTGTGCTGTTGTTTCACTTTAAAAGCTAAGAATAAACGTAATAAACTAGTAATAAACCTAATAAGCTAGTAATAAACTTATTAAATCTAGTATTAAACCCAATAAATCTAAGAATAAACTGTTGTTTCACTTTAAAAAATACTTATAATTGATCTGATGCTGCATTCAAGAGCTGATAATGTAAACTGCTTTTTTTAAGCGCTAACCTTTGGCAATTAATAGCAAAATCAAATCTCTTTCATAGTTCAATGCTTGGAAAATGAATTTCTTGATTGATTTCTGCTTTCCAAATGTTTAAATTCCGTTCTGCTTGCTTTACTCTTTTCAAATTCGTTTCAAATTCGTTTCACATTTATTTCTCCACCACTCAACACATGGTTTCTCCCGAGTGCCAGCCTTTCCAATTGTCGTTAATGGTTTGAACGATTGGGGCAAAAACGAGAGTCGGCGCCTTGATTCCCCATTCGAAATCGATGTGAGCAAAACCATCCAATCCCAATTGGCTTTTCATGTTTTTGAGACGAGGAATGAGATATTCCTAGGAATTGGTGAAAGCTGAACTTTTCTTTTAGGAACCTGAACATCTTGTGGATCAGCCAGGGTATCATTGTAGCCCCAATAGAGATGAACGGGAAGGGTCATGTCCTCAACGTGGTACTCGGGTGGAACTGGCTAAATTAAAAAAACAGAATTGAAATCAAACATCTACTTGATTACTTGATCTACTTGATTACTTGATTACTTGACCTACTTGATTACTTGATTACTTGATTACTTGATTACTTGATTACTTGGTTACTTGATTACTTGGTTACTTGATTACTTGATTACTTGATCTACTTGATTACTTGATTACTTGATTACTTGGTTACTTGGTTACTTGATTACTTGGTTACTTGATTACTTGATTACTTGACCTACTTGATTACTTGATTACTTGACCTACTTGATTACTTGATTACTTGATTACTTGATTACTTGATTACTTGATTACTTGACTACTTGATTACTTGATTACTTGATTACTTGATTACTTGATTACTTGGTTACTTGGTTACTTGGTTACTTGGTTACTTGCGGTTACTTGGTTGCGTTACTTGGTTGCCCCGCGTTACTTGATAACTTGATCTACTTGATTACTTGACTACTTGATTACTTGATTACTTGATTAATTGATTACTTGATTACTTGATTACTTGATTACTTGACTACTTGATTACCTTATCTACTTGATTAGGTCATTCAACTAGAATTGCTGCATTTTTGGCTGAAATTTTGCCGTTTAACTGCCCCAACCTGTCCATAGTGTTTTTGGTTCTCAGCCGCTGAATCATAGTCGAACATTTGGAATTTTTGCGCTTTCACATTTTGAGCCATTTGAATGATGACACTGGTTGACGTACCCGCCGGCATGTGATTTAAATAGACTGGGACTCGAGTCTAAAATTTGGAAAGGTTACGCTTTAAAGTTTCAACTAAAAGTAAAGGCAAAAGCCATGCAAAAGTCATGCAACTACCCAAATTATTCGAAAAGAAGCACCACTTAAAATAAAAGCACCACTTAAAAACCACCACTTAAACCAATTCAAGTTCAATAATTCAAGAAGAACTAGTCCAGAGCTGTTTCAAACTCAACATTTTATGCTCAGCTTAATAAAGAGATGAACAAACGAAAAACTCTAGCGAAGTTTGGCTTACTCCAAAAACTTTGAAAGGTAAAAATCGAGCGAATAAACTAAAGAACAATTCTATTCTAGCTTTTCCTTTTATATTGTATTATATTTATATTGTATTCTATTCTAATTCTATTCTAATTCTATTCTAATTCTATTCTAATTCTATTCTAATTCTATTCTAATTCTATTCTAATTCTATTCTAATTCTATTCTAATTCTATTCTAATTCTATTCTAATTCTATTCTAATTCTATTCTAACTCTATTCTAATTCTATTCTAATTCTATTCTAATTCTATTCTAATTCTATTCTAACTCTATTCTAATTCTATTCTAATTCTATTCTAATTCTATTCTAATTCTATTCTAATTCTATTCTAATTCTATTCTAATTCTATTCTAATTCTATTCTAATTCTATTCTAATTCTATTCTCTAATTCTATTCTAATTCTATTCTAACTCTATTCTAATTCTATTCTAATTCTATTCTAATTCTATTCTAATTCTATTCTAATTCTATTCTAATTCTATTCTAATTCTAACAATTCTACTAATAAGCTATTCAGTTGAACATTAGACTTTAGAACATTAGAACATTAGACTAATTCATCACTCATTTGATTTGAGTCTCTTATTGTCTAACTTTAAATGCTTTCTTATTAAATAACTTTAAATGCTTTCTATTTATTAGTTGCTTGAACAAAACTGCCGTAAATACTCTAACAGAACGCCAATCCGATAATGACGGGTGTATAGCGGCGTAGTCTAACTTTGAATCTCCTGTTCTCAGCGTTTCTTTATGATACAATGTACGTTTGAATACCAAACGATAGCCCTTCTAATCTAGTATTTTTTGGTACCAAAAACATTGAGAAAAATCTTGGGCTGAGAAAAGAATGACTTTGTAAAACGTGGATAGACTACGCGAATGGACGGGGTGCTTCTATTAGAATAATTAAAGTATCTATTATATTAATTAAAGTATCTATTATATCTTTCTACCTCATTAAGCTGCTGGCTTGTTCCCGAGATCAAGAACAATAAATTATCGCACACTTTATACGTATCCGCATCTTCGCAAACGTCTTCGGCGATGATTTCCGTTAAAAAGCTCGGTGGCAAGAATTGGTCGATTCCAAGAACATCGAGAAGGTCCTGAAAAAGGTTTAGAATTTAAAATCATTAGATTTACTTGAATGAGTTGATATCGGTCAGCCATCCATGCCAGCAAGCCTTTGATATGAGCCACTGAAGCTACCGGGCCAAGAGCGTAGAACTCGCGGACCTGAAATATTAAATGAGAATCGGCCTTAATTCAAACGCCTCCTTTAAAGCCTCAAAATCAAATCGTTTCACTTGTTAGTAACCTAATTTCTGTAGAAATTTCAATAACAATGCTTACAAGCGCCTCCAAATCGTGATTGTGTGAGAACTCGGCGAAAGCGGCCATCGTTCCCATACTGTGAGCGACGTAGTAGAGTTGCTGAGCGCCCGTTTGCCCAATTACATACTTTAGCATTGCTGGGAGGTCTTGTGAGCCCATCTGAGAACATTTTACAACTACAGTATTCTTCTTTCCTGATCCCTGACCTGATCCCATGAGAATTGCCAAAACTCGTGACTCGTTGGATCCAACTTGGTGTGATTCTTCGCATACACATTTCCGCGAAAGTTCCCAATCCAAACATCAAAGCCAGCATCGGCAAAGACAAATCCTATGATTGTCGTTAAGCTGAAAAGATAAGAATGGAATTTTACCTGCACTCTGATCGGGTAAATTGAGAATCCATGAAGCGGATGATCCCTCCATTCCATGTTGAAGAAAGACCGTTGGACGGAGACAATTCGGGACACCCGTTTGGAAGCGTCTAACAAAGGAAGGTCAACTCGCTGTACTGGCCAAATCATATACCATTCGACGCAGAATTCAATGCCGATTCCGAATCTGCTTTTCTTTTTTCCTACGGGAGCACTCAGTCAAAAGTCTTACGGGTTTAAAGTTTTGCAAAGAGTTTCAAAAATCAAATTCAAACCACGACCTTAAAACCCTGTCTTGCGCGACCGGAAGACAGGGTTTTAAGGTTTGGAAGTTGCAGCGGTGGCCAAAGGGTAGTGAGTTAGGAAGCCAGGCGACGGGTCGCTAGTTCGAGTCCAGTAGCTGATTATCCTTTTCCTTTTTTAGGTTTTAATGCCTTGCAGTCTCCGTTTTTTGAAACTCCTTACAAAACTTTAAATGCGTATAACTTTTGACAAAGACAGAAACAAAAAACAGCTTCGGAATCAGCGTGAAATTCTGCGATTCTCATGTGATTTGGCCAGCACATCTAGTTGGACCTTCTCTTGTAAGTACAAGATTAAAATTTGCATTTATTTAACGCTCACTCTTACAATAAGTTCTTTTTTTTGATAGCAATTTTTTAGAACAAGTTATCCAACGGGAAACTGGTACCTTGAAACGTTTGAAAGGGTCAAATGATCATAGAAGATTGCGGGGGGGGCTTAGATCATAGAAGATTGCGGAGGGGCGGAGCTTAGATTGCGTGGAAAACGTGGACCTCCTCAGTGGGAAACTAACGCTCACTAACGTTCGTGTTTTCCTTTGTTTTTATGCATAAAGTGTGATATACTATACTTTCAAAGTGTCTCCCTTGCTCACTCAGCTGATTATCTTCTAGTTTCGTGGGGAATTTCAGACAAAAGGGGCAGCTACGAAAAATCTACGCAGAAAAAGGAGCGGAGCTTATCCTGAAACAAGCAAGCTTATCCTAAGCCCCAGTTTCGATCATTCCCTTGTGAGAAAACGATGGTGGAACTACATTAGATTGTAGATTCGGGTTTGGATTCGCTAGACTTACTGACTGAGCAACAGCGACTAGACTAGACTGAGCAACACCGTTTACTTTACTACGTTTACTTTACTTTACTTTACTTTACTTTACTTGTTCGGAATTCGATGAACCCTCAAAATGTATCCATCATCGGTTGTCACAAAATGTTCCTCCGCATAGTAATCCCAACGTTTCGCAATGCCTAGCTGAAAGAATCTCTTCGAAAACCTGATCATTCAAACATACAAAATCCAACTCAAGCTCTGGATCGGGCGGAAATTCAGTAGGGAATGCGAGAATAGCAGAAAAAAGTGAAAATATCCAAATTTTCATTTTTGATCTTTTTCAGCAGCTGTCGATTGATTTTTGTAAACAATTTTTGGGCTTTTTCACTTCTGTTATCAGCTTTCGTGTATGTACGTTTTTAGTTTGAATTCGCTTATCTTTCAGTCAAAAAAAATCGGTCTCCAAGAATGTATTTGCAAAAAAAAACGAAAAAGAATTCATTAGTAGAAATATAGCCGCTCGATGTCGATTTGTTGAAAGAGCCACACGCCGACAACGAAACAAACGATCTGAAATGTTTCTGAAGTGTTGAGACTTTTCAAAAGCACACCCATGGCTGTCTCCAAGCCTAAGCCTAAGCCTAACTATGGGGGGGCGCATGCACACCGCCAAACGGGTGCGCCTTAGCTCCGAGAACTCGCTGAGATCCAGAAAATGGGGGTTCAGCCCAACCCAAATAGACTTAGTGCTAGGCGCTAGCCGCTAGCCTTCGCACTAAGTCCAAGCCTAAGCCTTAGCCTAAGCCTAAGCTTAAGCCTTAGCCTAAGCCTAAGCTTAAGCCTTAGCCTAAGCCTAAGCTTAAGCCTTAGCCTAAGCCTTAGCCTTAGCCTAAGTTTAAGCCTTAGCCTAAGCCTAAGCTTAAGCCTTAGCCTAAGCCTTAGCCTAAGCCTAAGTTTAAGCCTTAGCCTAAGCCTAAGTTTAAGCCTTAGCCTAAGCCTTAGCCTAAGCCTATAGCGATAGGTCGTTGCTGTTTTTATCAGCTTTGATGTTTCAATCGCAATAGATCTCTTTTCTCCAAAAATTTCGAGGTACTTCCGTATTAGAGCCCTACAAACTACAAGGTCAAACTACAAACCATTGAAGAAACGCGTAGTATAGATATTTTTGAAAACTTTTTTTGCCAAAAAATCGGGCCAACTTCAGGCTTTCGAATGACACCAAAATCAAGCCAAATCATGTTCTCTGCACTGAGATATACAGTTTTTTTTCCAGGTTTGTAGTGTCGTTCCGTGGGACGAAACTGCAAACGGCTATAAAGGGGTTTTTTTTTATGGATTTTCTTGGTTTTATTAGGTTTTCGGGTTTTGAATGCGGATTCTTATTTTGCGCCCCCCAAAGAATTCAGGGAAAAGAACAGCAGGGTTAGAGTGTGTTGGCAGATAAGCAGATTGCTTATGCTCACATGATCAAGTCACAAAAGCGCTTGCTTTCTACTTTGCCCACCAGGACGCTCAGTTTTACGAGAATGGGATCAGGGATTTGCACCAAAGATGGAGAAAAGTCATTGACAAAAATGGAGAATACCGATTAGCCTCTATTAGCTTTCATTTTCTTCGCAAAAACTATTTTGTTCAAAAATCCGCATTCAAAACCCGAAAACCTAAAAGTGTCATTCGAAAGTCTAAAGTTGGCTTGATTTTTGGCTATTCTACGCAATTCTACAAGAGTTTCTAGTTTGAACTTGTAGTTTGTAGGGCTCATTTCTATTCCGTATTCTTTTTATTCCTTTTCTCTAAAGATTCGGTTCCTTTTCTCCAAAAATTCGGTTCCTTTTCGATACAGATTTGAAAAACAGAGTTCTCTAAAGGTTTGGTTTCTTTCTATACAGATTTGGCTCCTTTTCTCTAAAGGTTTGATTCCTTTTCTTTACAGATTTGGTTTCCTTTCTCCAAAGATTCAGTTCCTTTTCTCTAATGGTTTGGTTCCTTTTCTATTCCCTTGCCACACGTTCATATGCTAATTTGCATCATCTGCATCTTCTGCATCTTCTGCATCTTCTGCTTCTGCATCTTCTTCTTGGCATTACCTCAAAAATCTACAAGCACTGGCTTTATCATAATTTAATGTAATTATCAGACACCGCCAGTTGAGCAGAAAACTTATCTAGCGCTATGAAATCTCACTATCAATAGATTATGTTGTCGCAAAGGCGGGGAAACGACAGAGGAGAATTAGCATTTATCTTTTGACTGACGGGGAACGATACGGAAGTACCAATTTCTAAGTTTTGCTTAAAGACTAATTGTAAGTTATGTATAGATTACTATTATGATAGTTAATGGACTTTTCCTCTACTTTTATAGCCTTCCTTGGTCTTTCATCTATGATTCTATAACTATGCTGATATCTATGCTAGTTTTCTGCGTCTATGACACAGGTTTGATACCATAAATACTGTAATAGTACCGTAATAGTACCGTAATAGTACTGTAATAGTACTGTAATAGTACCACCGCCCTCGTACAGTCGTGTAGTCGCAAAAGTCTTTTAGTATTTCATTCTTTTCAAAGCACCCGTGCCTTCAAGAAATGCGTCTTTGGTATCAAAAAATAGCTGAATTTCAGCTATTTTTTGATAAATAAGCCCGCATTGTAGCATAAACCAGTGTCGAGAAAAACTCGTTTAAAGTTAGACACTCCACACCGTCATTCTGGGGCTGCGGTACTTTTACATTACAGTAGATAGTTAAGGAATTTTTCCTCTAGTTTTTTTCCTCTAGCCTTGGTCTTTCTTCTATGATTCTATAACTATGCTAATATCTACTGTATTTACAGTAGTATTTTTCTTCTTGATTACTTTGTGCGCCTATTTTAAAAAGCTACCGTAATTAAATGTAAACTTAAATGTAGCCAATGTAAACTGACAATTGATCATTGTAATTTTTGAAAAAGATCTTTTAGAGATCTTTTAGAAACGAAACAATCAACAGGAGCACACTTTTTGATTGAAAAAAGAAATTTCCGACCTCGATTATTCCAAGCAGAGTCAGAATGCCGAAAATTGCCGAGAAATGGGTCCGATTCCAGTATTGCAACTCTTTCATACAACCCTGAAAAGAAGGTTTTTGAATGTTTTGAATGTTTTGAATGTTTTAATATTTGATTTTGCTTTTTTTTGATTTTGAGATTTGATTTTGCTATTGATTGCCAAAGGTTAGCGCTTAAAAAAAGCAGTTAACATTATCAGCTCTTGAATGCAGCATCAGATCAATTATAAGTATTTTTTAAAGTGAAACAACAGTTTATTCTTAGGTTTATTGGGTTTAATACTAGATTTAATAAGTTTATTACTAGCTTATTAGGTTTATTACTAGTTTATTACGTTTATTCTTAGCTTTTAAAGTGAAACAACAGCACAACAAAGCCGATTACGCCTCGTCGACTTTTTAGAGCTATAAGTTTTGTGTTTCAGCTTCAATCAACTTAAAATTTTGCTATTCGTCTAGAAAGAGTTTAAAAAAATAGAATTCCTTTTGACTGGCTACGTTTAATTAGAAATTTCACAAAATTTGGATGGTTTTTGAGAGAAATTCAAGCGATTAGGCATTTGGGTTGATTCTGATGATCTATTGCCAATTAAAAGACTTGATCTTTGCTTGCAAACCCTTAAATTTAACACAAAATTGCTATAATTACAAAATTTTATAAGAATTATCAGCGTTGGATAGCTTTTTGTTATCTTAAAAGCTGAATTTGACGACCGAAAAACATGGTGGAAAAAACGGAACTTTTGTGTCACCCTGTAATCAATGTAGCAGATCAAAATCGTAGCTTTTTAGCAGAACAAATTCCGAATTTGAATTTCGATTGTTTGTTTGTTTGTTTGTTTGCTTGTTTGTTTGTTTGTTTGTTTGTTTGTTTGTTTATTTGTTGGTTTGTTTTGCTTGACACTGGACTGCTATTGGGTTGGGTGGGGATGAAATGGCGGCGTCTTGGGATGGAGAGTTTTCAGAAATGAGAGAGGATGTGTTAAAAAGTCTGTGCATTCGATTGGGTTGAAATTTTGGCAACAAAACTTCGATATAAGCAGCAAAACTTCAATTGTTTTAGCAGAAGGTTCGATTCCAGTATTGCAACTCTTTCATACAACCCTGAAAAGGATGTTTTTGAATGTTTTAATGAATGATGAACATTATAATGTTTCAATTATAATTTCTTATAAGAAATCCTACTTGAATGAATGATTAACATTGTAAGAAATCCTACTTATCAAAATGTTTAAGCTGAAAAACGATAGAGTGATCATTACAATGACAAACAAAGGGTCTAAATTTTCTCTGTGTTCAGCCATTTCATTCAAACATAAATATTTATAAAGGCAACTCCACTTTCCTCTAATATCACAAAGCAAAAAATTCTGTACAAAAGGATTGGAATGGTTTAAAGATTGCTTTTCAATTTCCATCTCAAAAAGCCTCATCATCGGAGGTGATCGAGTCACAAAGCCAAAAGCCAACAATGATGCCGAAAACCTGCAAGCGTTTTGAGATGGCAAGGGATCTTGGGTACACCGTAGACATAGGAAAATTCCAATCCAAACCTATTTCACCTTCGTTTTCTTAACTGATTCTTGGCCGATTGCTCTGAAATTTTGTCTACAGATAGAAATCAACATTTTCAGCTTGTAGACAAAATTTCAGAGCAATCGACCAAGAAACGGCCGAGAAAACGAAGGTGAAATTAGGTTCGGCTTGGAATTTTTCCATGTCTAGTAGATTGTTCGGCTCTTGCGTAGTTTCCGGGTATTTTGAAAGAATCCAAGTATTTTGAACGAGTCGTCACGCTTTAAAGGCCTATAACTTTGTCCAGAGATTATATTTTTGTTAACTTTTTATATCATGGTGTAGAGAACATTTCAGGCTTTCAAATGATATAAAATAGAGCTTGACTGGGTTTTTCATTGCCTTGCAAACCAGGTGACACGGCATCCGAGTCGGATAGGCCTCATCTGCTCCGAGTTGGCTCTGATTTTCTTGGACTGGATTAACAAATTAAGCTCAATTTGGTATCATTTGAAAGCCTGAAATATCCTCTGTACAATGATATAAAAAGTTAACAAAAATATAATCTCTGGACAAAGTTATAGGCCTTCAAAGCGTGACGACCCGGAGGATTCTTTCAAAATACTCGGAAGTTGCGCAAGAGCCATTGCGCCCATTGTTCCAACTGACCTGTATAAAAGCAATAAAAACAACGATCCATGCAACGATTTTGAAATGCAAGCTGAGCTCTCTAAACGATTCGACCATCCGCTCATAGCAGCCCTGC